TCAGTCAAATTTACCGTGTGTATATTTTTTATCCTCTTGCTGAGTTGTGTTGGATCATCTTTATGGGCATTTCACAAAGGCCACGGACCGTAATGGACGCTGCCCTGAAGACGCCTCTCAGTCGCAACTAATCGTCCTCGCTAACTGAGGACGAGCATTTGAGACGTCCTTAGTGGTGGTCACGACACTTATGAGGTTGTGAGGTTATTAAATATTCCTGATCCTGCCACTGTCAAGAATGGTTATGCACAATACGTTAACACTGAAACGCCCGGCTGAGACTTAGACAACCTTAACCTCAAGTGCATTGAGTACTAAACATTAACAATGTAAATTATTAGTAGAGAGAAGCAGATGAACTAGGAGAACCAATTTTAGAAGTATGTTTAATATTAACATTTCCTCACTGCTTTGACCCTCATTATCTTATGAAAAAACATGTTTGCTAATTTATATTATGCACACATTATATATATGTATAACATATGCCGTGGATATGCCCTGGATGTTTATGCGATCTGCCAGCTGTATGAGAATAGTGCCTCCCTAAATTGTCAAGTGCTCACTTTAGCCTGTCGCAGCGTGAACAATATGCAAAATCACACACAGACGTGGGACTGAAAAGGTTTGAGTGACTGTGTGAGGTCAGAAACACACTTGGCGATGTGCTTTCTGTGTGCTTCAACAGACGTGTGCGGGTCTCGGCCCACGCACACGCACACACACACACACACACACACACACGTGAGCGGCTCTCGTCCGTGTTCATCGATCAGTTTATCCACACGCTTGTTGTCCGTACCAGACATGTGAAGACGGCGCAGGAAAAACATTCTGTGAAAAGCAAAGACACTGATGTAGATGAAACATTGTAATTCCTGGTGTGATCCCTGATGCGTGACGTGTGCCCCCCCCTGACATCCTTCTGAGCGTTAGATGGGCTGACAGTTGTCATTAACTACTCCATTGTTTATTTCCATCACACACAGTGATGAGAGCTGCTGCGATGGAGGACTTTTCTTTTGCGGATGTGGAACCGCTGCCTCCGGTTTTTAGCTCCACCTTTTTACCAGCGCTGAGTAATGACCCACATGGCGGTCAGGGGTGGACGTGACGGGCCCGATGCCTGTCGGCCTGTCAGAGGAATGTGAGAGCGTCCAGTGTCTGCAGGGACAAACTGGACGCTGCAGCCTGAGGCTCTCAATCACTCCGGGGGGGCTGGCCGAGACACCCAGCGGGAGCCGTCTCTCCCCTCTTTCATTTATCTCTTTCTCTTTCACCCTCTCCATCCGTCATGTTTCCTCATTTTCTGTCTCATTTTGCCGCTGTGCCCCTCTTCCTCGTTTCTCTTTCGCGTTCCCGCTGTCATGTCAGTCTTGTCGGCATCCGCCGGTCTTTCGCAAACATTTCTCACGCTGGCGATGCTCGTGGATCTTCTTAAACTATTCCTCAGCTTGTTCAACTGTAGCACACGTACACCCACAAGCTCGCTCACACACACACGTAATTAACCGCACTCGTACCCACATGAACAAACTCACGAACACGCAGAATTGAACACACTTGATTTTCTAATGCATAATTCCATTTTTAGGGTATATCTCTAACATCCGCACAGGCCCCACACAACAATGGAGAATGGGGATCTTCTATTGGATTAGAGCGGGCTGGAGACAGAGAGAGAGAGAGAGAGAGACAGAGAGAGAGAGAGACAGAGAGAGAGAGAGAGAGAGAGAGAGGAGCAAGGCAGAGTTGCCGTCATTTAAACTGTTCTGCACTGAGGCTTTTCAATTTGATTATGAGGCTCCATTTCATAGAGCCTGGATGCCGCGTGCCATTCAAAATGAAATTGAGCCGTCGGTCCGCTGGACAAGCAACCTCCCTCCGTTGAGGCCATCAGGGGAGGACGAGGGCAACGGCGGCCCACCGTGCCCTTTCAAAGCCCTCTTTAGTGGTGTTGTGGGGGGGTTACAGGGCTCGGTAGCTGGTAGCTGGCTAAGTGGGCGAGTGTGTGGAATTGATTGATGCTGCTTTGAGGCTTTGGAACGGGATGTGAGGACTCCCACTGCAACATATGTGAAGGACTTTAATTTTACAGAGGGAAAGTCAGCCACACATATCGGCTTATTTGCATTACTTTCCATGTACAGACATCCGTTCTCTTATGTGTTCGTATTTTTTCCTGATTCTAACTGCCGACAACGTGTGTTCATACAAAGTGAGCGTCGGGGCGCTCGGTCCTGACCTGGTTCCGTGACGGCGGATCACCACACACGAGTAACTAAAGCTGAGACGTCAGCTCTGCTCTCTTGGTGTCTATAATCGATCCCGTTCATTTACTCCATCGGATCAACACTTCCTGGGACGTTCTCCTCTTACGTGTAAGGCAGTTGACTGTTGCAAGCCGGCCATTAACCATATTGAATCTCACAATTTATAGAAAGTTTTAACGGGTATATTAATTGTGTTTTTTATGCTTATTTGACGTTGCCCCACTTTAACTTCATGAGACATGAATGGACAATCGCGTGCTTTATTTTAGCTACATATGTATTTGAATACACATGAGGTTGTTGAATGCGTGATCATGTTAAAATTCCAAGTCTTGAGAGCCAATACAGGGACTATTGTTGTTTGTCCAGTTTGGAGCAGGGAGGGTTCCTGTCAATCATTGATTGTGCAGTCATCCTTAGAGTTCAGAGCTTGCTCTGCTGTATCGATCCACACCTTGGAGCAATATGAACGATGACGTTCTTTTGACTTGCTGGTGTGTCATAAACTGTGGTGATAGAAGAGGTTGGCTATTAATCAAAGGATTGGTGGTTCACACCTCCAGTATGATGCCGAACTGTGTTACTCCAATTCTGTGTCATTCCATCAAGACATTAGTGAAATGAACACTAAAAATATACTCATCCACTATAAATTCACAAAAGAACGTTTTCTACAAACGCTCTCAACCTTTGTTTGAGATAGTTGTCATTTTTTCTCAGCTATTAAAGTCCAGGAATCAAATTTACATATCAAGCATCTCAGAAAGTTTGACAGTCTAAAAATACTCTGAGCTCAAAACAGGAGCTTCAGAGTTATTTACTTTCTACACAAAGGCAGGAAATTCTTTTCTGAAAATAAGTGACATCATGTTGTGACATTCAGAACCAAGAGAATAATGATGTTTTGTAGTTGCTCGGTTCAAGTTGTGCTGGAGATTTTAACGCGTTCAAAGCAGCAGACGGTTCTACCGTGATTGATGCTGGGAAAAAACAAGCTGTGCACTGATGAAGACGTAAACATTTTACAAAAATCATCTAAAAATCCTACTTTAATGAATGAACTGTACATTTTGATTACATACACCTGTTTTATTTTTTATGGATTAGGAGGATTATTCATCGCGCCTGGTCTTGGTTTTCAGTGATGTTTTTTATATTCTGTGATGTTTTTTATACTGACATTAAAATTGTTTGTGCTTTCTTAAGCCTGTCAGAGCATCTTGTAACTGCATATTATGAGGTGAAAAAACAAGTAAATTACAGGAGTTTCCCATTTGAAGAATAGAAACAACAACTAGAAAGATCCAAACCCCCCCAGTACTACACCGTCTTCCTTTTTTGGCCTGAAATAAGGTGAGAACACTGTCCATTATTGCCATATCAGCATCTTTTTCTACAGTTTTTCCTGTCATTCAAACAAGTTCACTCACCCCACAGTCTTGAAGTCTAAAGGGGTCCTAATGGCACAGATTAAAAAGCAATTTAATATAGAAAAGGGGATTAGAAACACTATGGCTGCACTAATCCTTAACCTTTACTCCTGTTCTCATGGAGCCCAAATATGCGCAAGACGATAACATCACAAGACTGGAGTTAGTAAATTTCCATTAGGGTCGCCCTTCTTTATTCCCACTAGCACATTTAAAGGCATTAGACATGCTTTGTCGAGGCTAATAAAAAGGGCCGGCAGTGCTATCACACACACCCCGACTTGTTTCGGAAAAAGCACTGTTCCATGTGAAGTTTTCATAACCCATTATGATAATCTGCCAGAGTCTCTGAAGGGCAGCGCATAGACAGGCAGATAGATGCGTCTGGGGTGACGGCTCCACAGCCTTTGAGCATTCCCTGTCTGCGTCGCCGGGACAGAAACTCACTCCTATCTGCCAAGAAGAGCAGCGATGAAAGTTGACTCAATGCAAGAGGCGAAAAGTCTGCACGGCATCCGGTCAGAAAAAAAAAATTGGAACATTTTGTACAGGTGACAAAAGAGTAAAAAGTTAAATGTATTCTCACCTGTCTACTCCAAGTTAGAAAACATATTCAAAATATAGTATATTGATTTATTTATTGAACATCATGTTAATGTGTGAATACACGCATGGTTTACCCAGTTTTTTGGCACCTCAACAGACCCTGACAGTGTACACGGTGCTTTGAGTTTGAAAGGAAATGGATTTCCTTGTTTCCTCTTTTAGGTGGAGACTAACATTTGGTCTCTGTGGTACGCCTCATTTCTTGTTCTTCGTTCTCTTTTGGGCAGCCAACTTCTAATCTCTGCAGGGGAAGAGTGTTTCTTTGATAGGAAACAGGGTCACAGCGAACATTAATCATTTATATCTGAATTTGTGCAGTGCAAAGATTCAATTTTCTGCACTTTGTAGGGTCCACTATTTGTTATACGGTTTTATTTATACATCAAATCCATCCATTATTTACTTATTTTTGAACCATCCAATATTTATGCCGTTTTCTGAAAGGAAAAGAAACGCTGTGTTTCTGACTGATGATGGGATTACCTGTTTCTTTTGTTAACGCAGACTTCAAATCAAGTTGAACTGCCGCGTCGTGTCTGCTATCTTCTGCCAGTATTTTGGACTTTCACAGAAGAACTGTTGATATTTTGATGCGTTCAGTGTATAAACCTCTTCGACCGTCTGACAGTTTTTACACTCTTGTTGTTGTTGTGATAGCATTTTATTCATCACTCTTCTTCTTGGTTCACAGGCCTCTACTGAGCAGAAGAAGCTGAGCCATGCTGGATCCAAGCCCTCCCTCTCCGAGAGCAGCGGCCGACTCCCTCAGATAGCCATGAACTCCTGCAAGTACAATGGCGGCGTGGTGAGACCACTGGTGGGCAGCCTGGCGTCCTCGTCGCGCCGCAACCTCGCGGAGCTCGACTCGGAGACCCAGCCCTTGCAGACGCTGCACAGCTCTGGCCTGGAAGTGGTGGTGTCCAAGGGCAACGGCGGCGAAGACCCCAGCAAGGCGTCCAACGAGAGCTTGGTCAGGGAGGGCAGCGCGCGGGGCGGAGGCAGGGCACCGCAGAAGAAGAACAGGGACATTGGCTACAGGCTCGGCCACCGCCGGGCGCTGTTTGAGAAGCGGAAGCGACTCAGCGACTACGCACTCATCTTCGGGATGTTTGGGATTGTCGTCATGGTGACAGAGACGGAGCTGTCATGGGGGGTTTACACTAAGGTAGGTTGTGCATGTGTGTGATGGATGAGTGGGAGCTTGGTCTTTTGTCCTTGTATTGTCCTTTTGCGTAGTTGGCAGCCGTCACAATCATGAACCTCCATAAGAACTGACAAAGATTTATCCAACAACGGTAATGAAAAATAGTACAAATTATTGAGTGTCGCGTTACCAATGACTAACGGCGTATTTACTGGTGGTACATGTTTTGGTATTCAATAAAGGTTTTGTCCCTTTTCTTAAATATCCACTTTTTCATCTGCATTGGAGTTTAGCCAATGGACTGGTGCCACTACCAGTGCCGTGGTGGCTGTCTGAATTCACTAGCTCAAAGTAGGACAGGGAAAAGGAGAGCAGGACAGCAGGGGCAAAGGAATAAAGAGCAATGGATATATAGAGGTTTGGGTAGAGCGAAAAGATGCAGAGATACCTATTTTAATCAATCAACCACATCAGCAGGGCAATACGGTGTCAGGGCCATAGTGACCAGGTGTCCCTCTGTATCAGCACTTTGTCAGGGTATTTTGGGAAGAACATAGTTATCTATTCACCCAATATCCATCACTTGGTGTCTGGATAGTCATTGTACAGGATTTCGTTCAATTGCTTGGACAGGCCATCGATTCAATTCAATTTCATTTTGTACAGCCCATAATCGCAAATATGCCTCAGAGGGCTTTACAGTCTGTGCACAACATCCCCCGTCCCGAAACCCTCATATCGGAACAGGAGAAAAAAATGGACGAAACCATAACGAAAACGTCAGAGGAGGATCCGTCTCCCAGGCGATATACCGGCACTGCTTTGGTCGATTGACCGGTTGATGGCGATCGACCTATTGCCCCCCCCTGCTCTACAGCATCAGTGCGTGGTCCTTCTAATTCTTCTGTTTGCAAGCCACCAAAGAACATGACTTCCAGTGTCTCCTCAGAGACCGTCACAGCTTTCCATCGTAGGGAAAGGACTTTTGTAAATGTACAACGTATTGTAATTCATATTTGCTTAAATTGTCAATATATCCCGAAAAGTACATGCAACAGATAATGTGAAATAATCAGATTCCTGTGTCTCCTTTCGTGGCTGAAATGGCGAGGTTCCAACGCACACGGACAAAGTGAGATTACTTTGTCCGTGTGCGTTGGAACCTAGGATGATTTATGGGGTTTTAGGGAAGTAACAGGTTGTGACTGAACTCCCGAATCCGCTCCCGTAGCCTGTGCTGGTCCATTTTTCGTCCTTTTTCACGTTGCATAGCAGACACTTGAGGCTCAGCCAGGGTTTTCTGAGCCGCGAAGGAAGGAAACACGTAAAGAGGCAGTGAGCACTGGGACTGAAAAATCCTTGAACCTCTGGTAGGTGGATTAATTGGTTTACTTAATGTTATTTCACTAGGGACTTCTCAAAACAATTTCAGCCATTAGAATGTCTTGAGAACATGTCGTCGACCCGAGGGGCAAAGCAATCTAGTTGATAGCTAAAAATAAATTCCGTAATATGGACCAGCGAAGGACAGACTAATACTGAGCAGCTCCCACTGTCATCAGACGGAAGATTTTAAACGATTTCCACTATTCTTGTCGTTTGTTGATGTTGTAATTGAAATAACGACCTTACGATCATTAGCCGGGTGCAGTGCGTGTTTTTACACCATGGCTGTTAAATTGATTTATGAAATGGCATCTTACCAACATCAGGGTAGGGGGGGGGTCTTGTGTTTTACAGGTTCTAATTTTCTAAATCTATGCTGCGTACGCGTACACATACACAACACAGCAATGGCACCCAGCTGGCCTGTTTATCACCAGGAGCACTCACTGTGGTGGCCCCCCTGCTAATGCTAGCCTTGCCTCTTCCGCACCCACAATTAAGTGGAAAGTCCCCCTGTTAGTGCTGGGCCTTGATTAATTGGTAGTTTAGATGGCGGGAACAGAATCCCTAGAAGATATCAGGCTGCACCTGCAGCTGCGTTGTTTAGCAACCTCCTGACCGTGCTGTTTGCTCACTTTGAAATGACGATTAAGCTAATAAGTACCGTTTGTGTGTATTAGGGTGTGTGCGTATAAATGTATGTACCTTTTGCGAGCACAATTGTGTTTAGATGTAGCCTGATTGAAATTATGAAACCGGCCTAAGATAAATTTATTATTAATGTGGGTCCTTTATTTCCCCTGACTGCACTCCTTTGGAGCACCGCATTAATCTGGCAAATTTTAAGGCACTTAAGTGATACTGAAATTGTCTTTCTTATCGTTAAATGACAACAGTAAACACTAGAATAAGTGACTTCCTCCTGTTAAGCAGAAAGAAAAGAACATTCACATCTGTCTCATGCTGTTCAACGCTAACACACAACTACGTTACTGTGGGGTGAGTCGGTCGTCCTCCAATCAGGGTTGGCGGTTCGATCCCAGGCAGCTAATCCGCATATCCATGTGTCCTTGGGCAAGACACTTAACCCACCATTGCTCCTGTAGCGGTGACCACAGTGTGTGCATGTTAGTTACTGATGGGCAGGTGTGTGTGTGTGTGTGTGTGTGGTGGCTCCTGTCATCAGTGTGTGAATGGGTGAATGATGTCATGTAGTGTTAAAGCGCTTTGAGTGGTTGGAACACCAGAAAAGCGCCATTACAAGTACAGTCCATTTACCATTTACAACTAGTCATCCAAAAGTTTCACTGAAGCAGCCTGGATGCTAAGAGGTAAACTCCCACTCCGTAAGCTCCACACCTCACCTGAGCTCAGTAAACTCATCTCATGCTTATTGTTCTTAGCAGCATCTGTCGCCGTCCCTAACGCTGCATGTAGAGAGTATCTATCGAACGGTACAGAAACCTTCTTGCCCCCACTTTGCCCGGCTGGATGTTTCTTCTATTCCTTTAACATTAGAAGCATTTGTTTTTGATGTAATTTGCAAAGACTGCCTCCACCTTTGCTCCGATGCAAACGGAAAGCCTTAGTTCTTTAAGGATCCGTCAATATTTCCGTTTATACCGGCTAAATGTGCAAATGAACTCAAGGAACAGTGTATCTCGTTTTTCTCATAAGATTTCCATGTATATGTATTCAATTTGTGTCTAATTAACCATGTTTTTCTAATACTTCGCTTTGTTCTTTTCTCTCACCACAGGAATCTTCATACTCATTTGCACTGAAATGCCTTATCAGCCTTTCCACTGTTATATTGCTTGGTCTTATAATAATGTACCATGCCCGGGAAATCCAGGTGAGTTAAACACATAAAACAATAGTGATAATGGGGATTTATATTTCTACTATTGGGCCTTGATAGAAACTACTGACATATGGCTTTGATTGTGCCCAACAGTTATTACTGAGAAAATGGATTTATGCTTGCAATAATATCCACATTCATGATATACACGTTTTATATTATACAGTATGCATACTCAAGAGGGTAATTTCATCGTAACGCTACAGTCCAAACAAGTGGTTCATTCGAATTACGCAAGTAAAACATATCACATTTCTATTATGATTATTAAGTTGTCTTGAGCAGTAAAAATAATTCAACAACATCTGTTGATGAAACTTCAGATATTATCCTGGGAACTTCTTAGTTCCATCTAGATTCATGATCTGTTTGTTGTTCTGTTTGACAAAGATACATCTGACTTATTACATCTGAATTGAATGAGATATTTCAAATATTTTTGTTTTATGAAAACAGCATTAAATCAGCATTACATCAAATGATCAAATGATGATTCAACATGTTGTAATGATAAACAGTTTCAAGTGGTTGGGTGTTGACTAGGATGTAAAGATGGCAACAAGAAAAGTAAAAAAGCCTTTAAACCAAGTCCTTGGTGTGTGTCGGTTTCTCTACAGCTGTTTATGGTCGACAATGGTGCGGACGATTGGAGGATAGCCATGACGTATGAGCGGATCTTCTTCATCGTGCTGGAGCTGCTGGTTTGTGCCATCCATCCCATCCCGGGCCAGTACGTCTTCACCTGGACGGCCCGGCTGGCCTTCACCTACACGCCGTCGGTGGCCGACGCCGACGTGGACATCATCCTCTCCATCCCCATGTTCCTGAGGCTCTACCTGATAGGCAGGGTCATGTTACTCCACAGCAAGCTGTTCACGGACGCTTCATCTCGCAGCATCGGCGCCCTCAACAAGATCAACTTCAACACACGCTTCGTCATGAAGACCCTCATGACCATCTGCCCGGGAACTGTTCTGCTGGTGTTCAGCATATCCTCCTGGATCATTGCTGCATGGACTGTGCGCGTCTGTGAGAGGTAAACACAGGGTGTGAATAATGGATGTCGCTGGCGACAGATTGAAAACAAAATGGCTGATGCACATCCTTGTGGATTACTAGACACCTTTATTCCATCGCTCACTTGTTAACCTTGTTTTCAGTTACGCAACTGCACAGGTCCAAAGAGTTGGAGGTGGACTTAGGACAGGTTACATATCAATACTGTACTGTTATACCGCTTAAAGACACCCTGACATCCGTTCTTTAGCTCAGCGATCGCTCCACGACTCCACCGCCCCTTCTTTTTATTGCTATTTTAGATAGCTTGTCCATAATTCATGAGTATAATTGTTTGTTTGCTGAATGGTTTGTTTTGGTAATGCAGAGCAGCCCCCAGGATCCCTTAACCCGTTTTCTCCCCAAAACTGAGCAGCGGGCTTCGTCTCAAGGGGGGCGGCAACGATTCTCCCTGAAAACGATAGAGACGGGGAGAACTGAAAGGCTTTTCTTTTTTTTTTTTCTTTCTCGTTTTGCATTTGCATAGGGAAATGAGACGTTAATGCCAGCTTTGATGTTTCAAAGTCATTTGTGCGTAGTTGGAGTGGAAGGAGGACTTGAGTAGGGTGGGTGGAGAGTGGAAGATCTGTCGCAGCAGTTCCTGTCAGACCCAATGTGAAGCTGTACATGTGCTGCAGTGTAAAAGTCAAGCATCAGCTCTAGCAAAGGCTCTCAGCGGGCCCTGGCGACGGACGCTCAGTGTGCTGCCGCAGCTCACCTGACTTTTACTAAGAACATCCCCTCCGTGGCTCCACCTTTACACCAGCCACTAACCTAACCTCCGCTCCCTCGCACGCCTCCCTCGGACCCTCGGCTGGTGTGTTTTAACTATCAAAGGCTGAACCAGTATTGAAAAGAGCAGCTGACCTTTGACCCCAGCTCCTCTGAAACACAGTGCGATTTAATTGATGTCACCTCAACTAAATGTTGGAACAATTAAAACAACACACGGTCCAATTTGTCTAAAAAGTCGACCTCAGTGGGTTATGATGCATTATATTTTGGGAATTCCGTGGCTTCTGATAACTTTCTTGTTCATAATCTAATAGTTTGATGGGAAATGCTAATCTAACTTTCCTACTGATAATTACTACTGCTGTGTTTGTATTGAGAACTGCAGCAACTGCTTAGCTCAGCTTAGCACAAAGACACGAAACCAGCGGAGACTACAAGTTATTCAGTTTATGTCTTAGATGATTTGGGTTGACAGTCAGGCTAGCATTCTCCAATCTTAATGCTAAGCTTATGTTGCTTGATATTGCCATATAGTGAGCTATGGTATAGGCATTAAAGTGGTATTGATCTTCGGCAGCCTCGGCAAGAACTCAAATGTATTTGCCAAAAATGAATTGCCCAAAAAACAATTACTTCAAATTGAATAAGTCATCAAAGATGATTCATTGATGATTGGGTCAATCAAAGACAAGAGTACCATATGAAATAATACAACAAAACAACTAGAGAATGGATGTCTGACACGGTCCGTTTGGAAATCTGGATTTAAATTAGTGGCGGGACGCGAAGCACAGAAACTCCACCAGAATCTTGGTTTTCTCTCACGTTCTGTGACCCTCTTTCCATTAGCAGCGCATGCCGTTGGTCCTTTGGTTTCAGAATAACATGTGTTCAGATGGCTGGATGTGTGTGTTACTAAGGATGGGTGCGAGCATGCACACGTAGGTGTGTAAGTGCATGTTTGTGAGCGCGTTTGTATAATGTTTTGTTGTACTTTCTATTTCCCCACTATGCTGCTCCGTAGGGATACCATGTGAGTCCTCGTTCTCTTAGCCGTGGAAAAAACAAAAACAAAAACAAAAACCTCGTATCATTTTGCATCGAGCTGGCGCCACTAGTGCCCTAAGTGGGGTTAGAGGGGTGGGGGGCGGTCATGGGGAGACGGGTCAGCCCCTCAAAAGCAATTAGGCAGTGATCCTTTCCGAACTCAGTGTGGCAAAGGGGGGTTTTCTGGTCAGAAAACAGGCTTTCAGTGGCTGTTAGGAGCACATGAGAGACGGACGGTGTGAGCAGCACTTGGAAGCAAGCGACTCTTTGCTAACTATCGTGTGGTAGGCCGGTATTGGCTGGAGGAGGAGGAGGAGGAAGAAATTTGTGGAAAAATGGAGCAGCTCCTTCAAGTCACCTTCATGAATCTGCCAGAGGGCAATTTGTCTTTTCTCATTCCTTTTCTCTCCCTGTCCTTATGCAATTGTTATAGATCCGTGGTGCACAAAAAGTCTTTTTAGCAGCGACTCCAAAGATTTGTTGAGGAGCGAAAGCCTTTCTGTTCGTTGTGCTCACACATTACCATCCCATTACGTGTCTCCCTTCGCAAAATTAATTCAACAGTGTTGAAATGGTTTTGCAGACTTGTTGCTTCTGCCCCAAAGATTTTGCTCTAAAGGTGAAGACAGTTCGTCATCTGTAGCCAAAAGAAAGTCTCATCATGCAAATAGAGGACAAACGTAATGTCATTTGGTTCTGGGGTGTCTTCTAATATCTACCACAGCAGGATTGTGCTCCTGAGAACTTGTGAACTATATATTTCATTTCATGTATATTACATTTATATTATAGCTAGTGAGGCAAATGAGGGCAGTTTATAAAATACATTCCCTGCATATGCTTTGGATTTATCATTTGGCCGGATGGATTTTTTTTAAATCCATGGTCAGTCTAGAAATGTAAAAAAACAGCACGAAGTATTTTACGAAATGACCTTCTATTTTTTTCTCCTGTGATGAAAGCGGAGTCGGCAGTTTTTGTTTACACCCATCACCTGAGGGTCTTCATCCCCCTTTGTCCTCTCCTCTGGTAAACATGAAAACAGCATGCCGGTTTTCATGTTTACTTTTCAATCCCATTATTCCGGGTAACAAAAAAAAAAAAAAAAAGGTGGGTGGGAAAAAGAGGCGCTTGTTCTCCAAAGTGCTGTTGGTGACTTTGTGTTGAACACGCCGTCACGCTGTCACACTGACACCCTCCTGAGCCAATCAAAGGGCGGTACGATGTGGGATTGGACGAGCACAGAGTCTACCTGGAAGATGCCTATGGGGGGAATGAAAGACACACAACCAGGGGGAAAGAGAGGTTTGGAGCTGGGAGGGATGCTAATGTTACAGTAGATGGATTCAATGCTGTTCACTGGACCGCTTTCTGTTCCTTCTTGATACAGCCCATCTTCAGAGCTAACCTGCCTCAACTAAGCTCCTTGACTAAGCTCTTTTTGGCTTCTCCCTCCCAACCACGAGGCTCCCTCCCTCTCTCTCTCCTACTCCTGACTGATCCTGTGCAGATCTCCTACTGTACCCGTCTAACGTGGCATGCTCTGCCGTTTCTCCTCATCTCTCCCCACTGCTGATTCCTCTTCCCTTTGCCTTTCCGTATCCATAACAAGCAGGCCTAATCTGGCCAGAACTCAGTTACACACTCGCATGCATGCCTTGCCTTGCCTGCCTCCCTGGTCCTGCGCTCCTTTTTCTCTTTAACTGTAATCTAGTCCTTTTCCGCTGCTGTTCTAACTTTGTTATCCGAGATAAAAACGCTCTTTTTCGCGGCGATGTGAGACTTTCTGTTGCTCACCTTGCTTCCTCGGGTGAGGACCCGTTGGCAAGCGCTTAGCTGACTTGCCTCTTGGATTATCAGGCTTGAGTTGCCAGTCAGCTACACCTACAACCAAGGACCGACAACCAGATTGTGTCATTGCTTGGATTCAGACAGGCAAGAACAGGCCGTCCGACAAGTCAGACAAACACACAGCGATGTAACTTGAACTTTCTCACTCTGACACAAAATATTCAGATTGACTTTACAACTTTACAGTTTCCAGGCTGCGATTGCCACAAAGCTGTTTCCATTAGTTTGTGATTAGATTCGATTTCAGTATGCCTCTGTATTTTTCTGGCTAACCGGATGATGACAACTTCAATCAATCTTTCAAAGCATTTATGTCCACCATTAATGACATAGATTTGACAGACATTACTTAACAAGCTGAGACTTCAATCCAACTCAACAGTGAGCCCCAAGCATCACAAAAGGAAATGTGTGTAGTTTGCTGTGCATTTGGAATCTACAGTAAGCGGGTAAAACCCCGTTGCCTTAATCTCAATCATTCACAAGATTATTTTAAAAACAAACATAAATCAGATTAATTTCATGCAAATTGCTGCAACAGGTGGATTGTCTATGGTTTGACAACTTGTTGTGATGATTTTTTTCAAACAACCCGACCATAAAAAAAAACGCTGATTTGGTTGAATGCTGCGAGCAGTGGGAAGACTGGGAACGGCGAGATTGAGTGCGGAGGTGTAGTTAGTTTGAAGTGAAACTGGTTGTGTTTTAAAGCTTGTTTTGTCCTCTGAAGGTTGGACACCAAGAGTTAGCAGTAAAGTGAACTTAATGACTGGTATGGGATGAATGCTGTTGAATTTATTATATCTAAGAGCAAATAGCCTCTTTTGGGGGGCGAATTACAGCAGATTTATTTTCATGTGTGCTGTAATAGTACGCTATCTATCTGATAACCCTTAAGACAAAACCCTCTGCAGCAGTGAAACATTTAGATTAAGGGCTTCCTGAACGGTGCCTCCTGTCCAGTGGAATTATGGATTAAGAAGGACAGAAAAGGCCTGACTTTGTGAAGTGCTCAGCTCAGACATGATATTTTTGTAAAGGTAGGGCCACAAGGACTTTGTCAGGGATTGTGGGGAGGTAGGACCCAGACGCAGAGTTCAAAAAGAAAAGGGACTTTAATAGTCAAAAGCAAAAGGCCAAGGGGCAAAAATACACAGGAACCAGGGGGAAAACAGCAGGCAGGAAACTACAAACATCCACGACGATGGACGAAGACATGCGTGGCCAAAGACAATGACGCGACAAGTGACAACAGACACACATGGTTTAAATACACTAGGGGAGGTGCAGGTGATTGGACACAGGTGGAAACTATTAGACGATCACAGGGGATGACGGGACAAGGCAGGAAGTGAAGTTACCCGGGGACACGAGTGGCAGAAAACTACAAAATACAACAGGAAGTGAACCACACCGTGACAGACTTATGTAAGCTGAAGAATCACAAACACACCCACTTGATTACATCTAGCAAAGGAGCCCTGGAGGCTTAAAAATCTGCAAGTCAGCTAATGCAAGCAATACTTTACTTTTGGATTCACGGCTTAGTCGCTTGGCAGCTATGCATTATTTATATGTATATATATATATATATATATATATATATATATATATATATTAAAATGCAATCGTATTGGTGGAGCAAAATCATTTTATACCCTGCAACAAATAAGTCACTCATTCTATTAACTTCTATTAGTATTTTTATCGTTGTGTTTTTACACTTACAAACATTATAGAATACACATGTTATAATTCATACGGTCCAGTTGGGAGAGGAGGTTACTGCTTTTCTTTTGCTTATTGGCTGTGCAGTGAAAAAACTTTTTTTAATTGGGTCATCATCACTTTGAGTTTAATCTGCTCATGTTTACTGCAACTAACATTCTCCCCAAGGAGCATCCACATTTATTTGTCCCCAAGTAATCTCAGCCAGCGCTCAAATGAATTTATACCGACAAGACTTGCACTTGTTTTAATTTGTTTTTGTTGAAATGAAACCAAAAGGCAGCGAGGAGAGGAAAAGTGTTCTTATTTTAAGTAAGCAATAGCGGCAGAATGTGGAGGAGGTCATCTGCTTTACTGTGACGGCTGACCTGCATCGGAGAGCAGAAACAGAGGCGAGGTTGTGGTTCTCCTAAAGAAAGAACATAAAATAAGGTCTGAATGAGGTCTTCCCTCCTGACCGATATGCGTTTTGGGGACACAGGACATAAGAATGTAGTACTTCAAACGGCTTTCTTCTGTTATTCTTGTGTGTGTTATGTATGTGAAGTGATTCACTCCAAAAGGTAAAAAATCAAATATGATTTATTTTGAGTTGTTTTTGGTCTCATTCTTTTAATATTTCAGATGTTTGTGTATGTGGGAGTAGGCTTGCGTGTGTGTGTGTGTGTGTGTGTGTGTGTGTGTGTGTGTGTGTGTGTGTGTGTGTTTTGGCACAAGTAAGTGCACGGCTCTTTCCCTTTTGAGCCATCGGTACTTAAACATCATGAGCTCATCTACTACACAAAGTAAAGATATCCATATAAAAGAACCCCCCCCCCCCCCCCTCCAGTGCCGATGAGGCCAGTTGATAGATGGTGATGATTTGAAGAGACTGCTGTTGTCAACTGTTGCCACTGTTGACTTGTTTGGTTGCAGATGGCGCCATAGGGAGTATTGTCATATGTTGTGTTGTGCTGTACTCCCTCCTCTAACCCACCACAGATGCAACGGTTTGGCACTCATTTGGATCTACAGCATTATTGTGTATATACCGAAGTGGATTAAACACCATCTATGAAATCTTTGAGTAATTGGTTTCTGGTTAAAGCTTTTGCTGCTGAGTGTCTGTCAGGGGGAATTTAAAAGCAGGGGATATACCACTTGTTCTGGATTAGGTTGAAAGTGGTGCCAGCTCTTCTCCATGCTATTCCAAAACTTGACACAGTATATTGAGAGCCTTAAAATGCTATCGATTAGCTCCCCGTTCAGCCACTGTCTCTATTCCTGTACAGCTGCTTCTGCTCTTTTTCTATTAGAAAATTATTCTTCGTGGATCTAAAATATGTTTCCACCATTAGAAAAATAGATATAAAAAACAAAGGCTTCTCTAAAATATATAAAGAAATAAAGATGTGTTCTGCATTCTTCTTCGTACCCTTGAGGGTATATTTACAAGAGCAGGCCGCTGTAAAAGTATCTTGTTCTCTGTGCTGAAAGGTGCAGCACATTTCTGCCTGCCTTGAAGACGTGACTCACTCTCTGCTCGCCTTGATAACAAGATGAATGAAATTAACATACTAGTCACTTGTGATTACAATATTTTGCCAGCTGATCAAGTTTAGCCCCCTGGCAGCTATCAAAGGGCAGCTGGCGACGTGTTGGGATGCAGGTAAAAGAGACAGGGGTGTCAAATTCAATGAGCTTCCTCCTTTGTTATTCATCCAATCCCACCCCACTGTTTACAAATGAAAGCCTGTCCGCGAAGACGTACAGTCCCCTTCCACCGGGTGATCCTGCAGTATATTTGTCAGAGGTGGTTTCATCTCAAAATGGATCTAAGGTCGTCCCATCGCTCCCCTGCTCTCAGTATACTGGTTTTGAAGCATGCAGGATGCAGACATCCTTTTTTTTATTCCTGCATGGCATTGCACAGACTGCTTATCTGCATGTCATCTCAGAGGCTTGAAACCTGACACTGACAGCACACGTTTTGGTCAAAAGATGTTCTTCTACCTACTTTGCCCATGCACACACACTTGTGAGAGTGGGAGTTTTAAGAACTTGCAGGGGCATGATTTAGTTGATTTATGAAATTTGATTACAATGAGCTGTCTTGGAAGAGAATGAGGAGTGATTATTTGCCTTCAATTGGAAACTAAAATTAAAGAAATTTTGTATCCGTGCATTAATTAAAGTTAATTGTTCCAGCCATTTTGAGTCAGAAGACCCTTTAGAAAAGCCTTAACAAAATCCCAAGAAATAAGATTCCTTTGATTTTGTCTTGTCAGAAGGATATTGACAGGATGTCGTCTGTTTAATGAATATTTGATTTTTACTCCAAAGTTAAATCGTATCTGATCTCCTCCTAGACAGTCCATTGGGAATAATTAAACAAGTTGAATGAGGGTGTGTGGATAAGGCAGATTTGCCTCAGTTATGGACTTTTGTCTTGCCGCAAAAGGTATGGGAATGTCATCATCAATCCAGCTTTGTACAGTGTGTTTTTTTATAGATTTCTCTGCATTTGCACTGTGGGCCTTTGGACTGAGAATTCAAGCATATCTGTCAGCTATTTTCAGCAATGCTTGAAGTGATGATTTTGATTGCCAAACCTTTTTTAGGGAAGGGGATAGCGTATACTCCATGGAGACAGTGACCAATAAGCCGATTGTTACTTTGTTTTCATGCAGCACTATGGGCATTTTTGGATGCTTTGTCATTACATTTGTTGGGTTGTCATATTCAAATGAAGTTTGACCTGCAGTGTTTTTTATTTAGTCACGGCGACATGGCCCCTCTTTTTGTCATTTGAAACATGTTGGTTAAAGTTGTCATTTCAATGCAAATGTCCAATAAGAGTAAGTGATTTTGGCCTTTTGAATGCCTATTCACATCATTTCCCTACCCAAATATTTTCATAATGGCACTGAACATGAAAAAAACGTTCAGTGGTGTTGCTGAATTCATTTATCTTTAAACTGAAACCATTTTCTTTTTTTCTGACTTTGTGCCAAACTGCTTATACAAAACCGGTGTAACACCTTGCGCCATGATTTTACCTCCTCCTCCTTGATCTTCACCACCTCCCCCTCCTCCGCCCACCACCACTGTTCGGCTCACACGGCACCACGTCATTCTCTAGCATGCTCACGTTCAAGGGACTGTGTGCAGTTTCACTCACTGTGTATATCCCACCTCTGCTTCTCTTCATCACTTCAGGTATCACGACAAACAGGAAGTGACCAGTAACTTCCTGGGAGCCATGTGGCTCATATCGATCACCTTCCTCTCCATTGGTTATGGGGACATGGTGCCACACACGTACTGCGGGAAAGGCGTGTGTCTGCTTACAGGGATTATGGTGGGTTTCTTAGTTCTTACCTCAGATAAACACATAACACTCTTTGTTATAAAACTAAACCCCAGCTCTCACTGCCAACCCCACACTGCAAAAAAATCTACCACTTTGAGATGACTTTATCTTGTTATTTGTGATTGAAAATTGAATTTTTCTTTTAAACTGTGTTTTCATCGTGAAAAGACATTTCATGACTTTAAGCTGCTGTGTCTCATTTATTTATTTATTTACTGTTTATCTTTTCTGAGTTTATTTAAACGTGTTAATCTATGCAATAAATGTTTGCGACAAAACGTTTTAACATAGTTAACGTACATTTGTTTACTTAAACTAAGTACTTTACTTAAAGTAAACCGGAAGTTGATCGTGGAAACGAAACAGCTGCCAGCTGCAGTCAGTTAAATTGGAGAAAGCAAGACGGTAGCTCAAGATGGAGAGAGATTTTTTGCGGAGGAATTCCTCCAGATGTCAAACAGAAAGGGGGGGGGGATCCACTTAAAGCACCACTATGCTAAGCTAGCTGCTAGGCTAAGCTAGCAGAAAGAGTCGCTAGTTCAACATGTTCCAGCCGATGGAATTCTGCCTCCAAGACGATCAAATGTATGTAGTTTTGTGTTTAAAATAACATTACCAATTAAACTGTGTCTAAAATACACGTTTTCTAAAGTGATTACTTTTTAGAATTTTTTTTTTTTATTAAAAACAACATTGTAACAACAACAACATTCATTAATCGAGATTAATGAATTTCAAAATGTGCGATTAATTAGTTAATTTAAAAAAATCTATTGACAGCCCTTATAATTATTCATGTAACAAAGAGGCATTTTGAAAGCTTTAACCCTATGTGTTTAACAGGGAGCTGGTTGCACTGCACTGGTGGTTGCAGTGGTAGCCAGGAAGCTGGAGCTGACCAAGGCTGAGAAGCATGTCCACAACTTCATGATGGACACACAACTCTGTAAACGAGTGAGTCACAACATACCGATGCTTTTTAGTTATTCCTGTTTTTCAATTATTTGGGAGGTTGTATCTCCGTTTCAAAAGAACGTTTAATTCAGGTTGATATCAATGGATTCAACAGGTCGTCTAGTTTAATATGATCATGAGAACAGAGGCAGCGGCGGTCTCTGAAGGACTGTATATAGGCCGGGATCACCGACAGAGTCCCCCAGGGTCTCAGCGGGATAAAACAGAAGAAAGGATATATTGCTGCTATATAACATTGTTAATTATGCTGGGACTTTATGGATTTAACTGGAGCTCCCCTTGGGATCCTGACATCCAGTTTGAGAGCCACTGGTTTTCGGGCGTCAACATTATACTATCGTGCAAATGTCCAAAGGCGATACTAGACTATTTAGGCCGGCATTTTACTAACCCCTTGCTCCATTTGTTTTCTGTTGATTTCTGTGTTTGGCAATCACGCTACATTCTAGTATTATGTCAAACTTATTTCCCCCTCCCTCCTCCCTCTATGTTGAAACAAAATGTATGTCCTCGAGCAGCCTTTTGGATATTTGCTCCAACACCAACACTGCCCTTTAAGAAGCTACTGTATACATGTCAGGACTTTCTCATCCTTTCTTCACAGGTAAAGAACACAGCTGCCAATGTACTCAGGGAAACATGGCTCATCTACAAACACACTAAGTTGGTCAAAAAGATCGATCACGCCAAGGTGCGGAAACACCAGCGCAAGTTTCTCCAAGCCATTCACCAGTAAGTCCTGCACAGCTTTCATTTTGTGTTCTCTAAAAATATTGTATTTAACTATAAAGTTATGTGTGGTACAGGATCTTTAGGATGTGTTATAAATAGTTGCAGTGCTAATGAACTCAAGATACTTAAACGTAGTTGAGAATATTTCTTGGGTTTGCGATTGTTATGATCACACACATGTAAACTCTCTCTCTCACACACACACACACACACACACACTGCAATCAAGTGTAATGGTCCTCCCTATTTCCCTCCCCGTCCCCCTCTCCCTCCGACCCCCTTTACCCCGTGCTTACAGTGAGAAGTGTAATGGTTTCACTCGTTTCGTGAATGTTGTGGGGTTAAAACTCTGTACTGTGTTCTGTCTTTGTTTTGCTCTATCACTGCAGAGCTCAGAAGTAAGTTGAGTCTTCTATGTATCCTCCTCCTACTGTTTCCTCAACATCCTCCTCCTCTCTCCATGTCTGCGTTTGACATGCATGAAAAAAGCATTTGTAACCACAAAAAAAAAGAAAAGGGCTGGATGCTGAATCGATTTTAGTTATTATTTTTTCTCATTTATACTTCAATGTTTCATTTACTTCCCTCTCCCTCCCATCTCCCCTTTTGAATGAAATGAAACAAAAAAAATAAGCATCAACAATTTGCCACCGGTGTCACAAGTGGCGGGTTGTGTGGAGAGAACGTGTGAAAGAAAAAAGCATCATGCACAGAATGAGCTTGTAGCTTTGTTGGGCTGTTCAGAGGTTCATAATCATCTACGATGTACTGTATAATGTTGCCCATGATTAATATAGCTACTCTGGAGGCTATATTAACCTGCATCAACAGAACTCATCCTACACTGCTAATGGTTTTGTGATGACATGAACACACACACACACACACTCACACTGTAATGTAATTCTGAGGTCTAAATGTTTGATGTTATTATATTGATTTTTGCTTTGTTTTATCCTTGTTATTTGACATGGAAGTCTTAAACTTGCATTTGACATTGATGACTGCACAAAAAGCCGAGACACAACACTAGTTGTTTTTATAGCGGCTTTTAGCCCCTATTCTTTGACGGCCATAAGGGACAACAAAGCCCAGCAAACAGGCACATATGCGCTGAAACGGCTTCACACGGAGATAGAGCTGCAAGCGAGCGGCCTCACTCCGCTCTGATATACTGGGTTACAAATTAATAAATGCCCTTGAACGTCATCCAGTCTTAGAATTAGCCAAACAGGGATGTTTTTCCACTCCCAAATGATGGCTTTGTGATGCCACCGCTAATAATGACACATTATTCGCATCAGCGTCAACAGTTCTTACAAGGCCCTGATGTATTCGAGTAGAGATAAAGAGGCACAATGTTGAAGGCGTCACAAAACATGTCCGACGTATCATTGCACAAGTTATTCGAAATGTCTATATTGCTGTATGTTTAGCAGTGTCATCAGACAGTTTATTTCTGGCAAGCTTCATCTTTTATCTGTGGCCTCCACGCACACGTACACACTGAAAGACCCACGTTTCATTGTGCACTAGTCCCTCACAGTCACTGCACGCTTAATAAATGACCAGTGTGTATATATGTATATATACATATATAGATGTATATTAAGGATTACCAGTGAGCTGTGTGTAGCACTGACAAAGGGCATGTCATCATTTTATTTGTCGATGTCTTACTTTTGGGTGGAAAGAGATGGGAATGTTTTGATTTCAAACAGATTTGGGACTTTTCTTACATGGAAGCATATTGCATTCTTGCAGGAAAAATCGTCATGTTTGTCATGGTAATAGTTCATTTTGGAATTATATTAAGAATTGTTTTCTTTTTTTTGAGCAACAAATTACTTTCTAGTTGTAACTCCAGAAAATACATTGTTGAAGTGCTACTTAAAGCCATCCAATATTATGATAAACAATAGTACGTAACGAAAGAAAACATCCAGATAAAACATGATAAACACTGATCTTTTTTTTTCCTAATGAGTGTAGTATGCTTCTGCAATTCTGCATGTTTTGGTTGGTATTGCATTGACAAAGGCCAGGAATGCTTGTGTATATATTCATATATATTTCTATAAACTATATGTATGTATACATTGAGATATCTAAAGTACATATATTTACAATGCATGCAGGCCTCTTTCAAATGTCTTCAGTGAGAGAGCACATCTGATAAAAAAAAATGTGTTGTTCCTCCTCCTCTTTTCTTCTCTGTCGGCTTTTCTGTCTCTTCAACCCCCCCGAACCACCCGTCTCTCTATACACCCCTCTATTGCCCTTATTCCCTCTGCCACTCTCCTTCTCCTTTGTCCACCTCCTCCCTCCCTCCTCTTCCTGCTCCTACCTCGCTGTGCCTCCACCAGACTGCGCAGTGTGAAGATGGAGCAGAGGAAACTCAATGATCAGGCCAACACATTGGTGGACCTGGCAAAGGTAAGTCTCCTGACATTTAAGTCATCACATGACTACTTGCTTTTTTTAATGTTTTTGATTAACCAACTGGCGAGTACCAAAGGGCACACCATCTCTTCGCGCGACCTCATTCTTCAGGCCAATAACTGGAGACATCCATGCAAACCAGCAGCTATCCCTGAGTTCTGCTGAATGCAGTTGGTTGATATTTGTCAAATACGCAAAAATCTGTGCATGAACTCAATTCACAGTGAAGTGTTCCCACTAAAATCCTTTTTAGAAGCGTAACAGTTTGAGTAACCTGACGCACACCGTAAACAGTATCTAGCTGTAAGAAGGTGAATGCAGTCATGCCTCGGTAGCTTCTGTCCTGTTGCATAGACGTCAGCAGATCCACCCGAGCAGAGCAGAGAGGGGGTTCAAAGGGAGGCGCATGACTGCAGCCTCATTTGATGTGGATGGCATTTGCACTCCAGTGTGTATTTTAAAAGGTTCTGAGGCCAACTCCTTTAATGTGTGTTTACTTGCCCTTACTGTGCTAGATGGTCAGAGCCCTCTATGTCCACCCTACAGTGCAGTCAACGTCTCTCTGTTAAGCACTACGGTGAAATTACCCGTGATTCCTGTACCGAAGACAAAATTCCTAGGCTTGAAAAAAAGCATTGATATGAAATATTTTGAGCTCTACTGCTCTTAAATTATATGTAATAAGGCATTCATTTTACCATAGTAAAATTCAATATAGATGTTATTGTATTTTATAGAACTTACAAGTCTGAATAGAATCGTTAAATGTAAATACCAGATACATTAACAAGTCCTATTGCATCGATTGTGGAACAATAGGTTAAATTATGGAGATGCTTTTTATTATATGAATGAGTTGTGTAAAGCATATACATAATGCATTAAGGACCTCCTCTGGCTATAAATGGATTGGAGGAGCTGGTTGTGAAACTGGGGAGATAAAAATCAATGCTGACTTGCTGTAACTATACAGCTGCCTTTTACACTGCTTTGTGTCATTATGCCCTTCTCTTCAGACTGTGCCAGTTGGATTTAGACTGCAATTTAAGATATGACATTTTTATTGTCTGGCGATGTGTACATGCTACACCTCCTACAAATTGCATTTTTCGCATCTTTTCATGTGGATCTGTTGTAAAACCGATATCTATCTCGTCTCTCTCACATTCATCCGGCCCGCCTCCTCTTCCTTCTACGTCGTCCTGTTCTCGCGCCTCTCCCCAAACGCATTTGCTTTCTCTCCTTCATTAGACCCAGAATGTGATGTATGACCTCGTGTCAGAGCTGCAGGAGCGCAGTGAGGAGCTGGACAAGCGCATCGGCACATTGGAGGACAAGCTGGACTCGGTGACGGGCAGCCTGCAGGCGCTGCCCTGCCTCATCTCCCAAGCCATAACCCAGCAGCAGCAGGACTTTCTGGACGGCTTTGTTCACCGCTTTCGGCCCGCTTCACTAGCCTCTGAGCGCTCTGAGCGCTCCGAGCGATCCTGGACTTCCACCGCCCGGAGGCGGCGCTCTCCCTCGACAGCACCACACACGTCCTCTGATAGCGGATAACCGTGACGAACCCACTGCAATCGCATTCCAGCCCCAACTTTCCCCAACGCAAATCGTCACCTTGCTCCGTCCTATCCAAGCGGTCCCTGTAACCACTGGCTAGTCCATGTCTGGACTAATAATGAATCCATATCTTGACCCCGGGGCTGATCCTTACCCGTATTCGCTCCTCTGTCATCAAATCCAAAAACCAATTCCTGTGTGACTGAGCCTCACAGCACAGGACTGGAATCAGAGCTTCTCAAAAAGAACAAAGAAAAGCGAACAGACATAAACCAAGAAAACACAAATGCATACAAAAAAGTAAAAGAGAAAAACAAATTTAAATGACGGAAAAACCGAGAAAAAGTAGAGATATGGTTTATGTTTTAGCCATTGTATGGCTGTTCAAGTTAGCTTTTTTGTAAAAGCCCTTGTATAGTTAAAAAAAAGACTGATTTTAGGGTCGCTGGGGTGAGAGCTGGCTATCACACCGGAGAGTCCTTAACCACAAAGGGGGGAAGTCGGTCTGTGGAGCCTCGGGCTCACCTGCTGGTCCTCTGAGGGAGTGGAGGACACCCCTCCACCCGTCCTCCTGTCCTGTCCCCGTCTGTCTGGTGAGGAGAGCGGGCCGAACTATTGCATTTCCCTTCCAAAGGACTGGAGTCATGGATTGGAGTTGGGTGAAAGTTTTAGGCGAGGCTGCAAAAGCTCTGACTGGAGGTCAGTGTTTGAAAAAAGTAGAAACTGTCCCACAAAAGAAGAGCAAAGAGGATGCATATGGCGTTACTACTGGGTAGAAAAAACTTACACAGTTGCCAACTTCAAGGTTTCCGCTTCCTTGTTCTTACCAGGGGAAAATGAGAGGGACTATCTTTTTTAGTTACATATTGACATGTGATTTTTCAGTGCCTGAATGTATAAATAGTAGAGGGTTATTTAATTACTAATTTCAGAGCTTTTTTACGATGTTAACAGTCTGAATACAGCATTGCATTCCTTTTTCAGATACATTCCTCTCCAAAAATTTAAAGAAAATGTCTTAATGTAATGCATAACATTGCCTCCATCACACAGCAAATCTAAATGTTTTAAAAATCTTTGATTTCTTCTACTTCTACTAACACCGTGAGAAATGAAACGGTTCTGAGGATAAGCAACGGTGAGACAGAGAATATTTGTAAGTGTCTGTCAGAGAACGAGTTCACTTTTAGCTCAACGTTGCACACTCATACACACGACAATGAAACATGTAGTCCTCTATCTTTCTCACCACCACAAATTAGAGCTTCCTGAGGTCTTCAGCGTGGCTTGAGGTCTGCTGGTATGTATGGCCACACAGGCACACGTCACTGGTCAAACTGAGAAGCCAACGCGGCCCTTTGCATGGCTCTGTGCAGAAATCACAACGGAACACAACCTTCCTCAGATGGCTTTTTTTAAATGATTTACATGATTTTTATTTTTGTCTTTTGCCTTTTTTTTCCCTTTCATTTACTTCAAAATTGTACCCGGATATCTTGGGTTTTTATAGTTGCAGAACCTAGAGAGTGGCAGTAATGTGATTCTGTAATGCATTACCTGTTTTAAATGTGAGATGAAGAAAAAACGCTTCAACAAAAGGATACAAATAAAAGTGCTTAAGGAACTTTGCTCAATGGGTTCCTCTATAGATTTAAAAAATATTTTGGGCAGTGCAATTATTAAGTCCAGCCAAGTGTTGGATGAGAAGATTGACACTACTTTTATTTCTGTATAGTATATGAAGCTACTACCAGCAACTAGATAGCCTAGCTTAACATTAAGACGGGAAACTTGTAAGCTTAGATCCTTCTAAAACATTATTCCTTACCTTTTATTTAATCCGTAAAAACTGAAATGCAATCACTTCCTGGAGTTTCCCCTGGTCTCATTTTGACAACACAACTCTAGGAAATAGGGTTCCCGTAAAACCACAAATAGTTGTTAATGCACTTCTTTTGTACGGATTAGACTTAATTGATTTATAAGCTTAATTTATAAGCTTTGGTGCTTATAAGTGGATTTTTTTTTTTTACCTTTTGTACATGCTAGCTGTTTTCATACTTTTTGCTGTCTTTATGTTATGCTAAGCTAACCCGCTGCTAGCTAGCTAGCAAAAAGAGTGGTGTGCGTTGTCTCCTCCAACTCTAAGCAAGAAAGTGAATAAGCATATTTCCCAAAATGTCAAACCATTCCGTTAACATCGGCCTCTGTTTGGTTTCTCCAAGAGACATAATACATGATATCACAAGATAGAGATATTAAAACATTTGAAAACCTCAAAAGCATGGCGTTTGAAGCATCCTAGAGTAGTGAAAAATGTAGGATCTTTGAAGTAATTTCTTTCCAAGGTACATATTAGAAGTTTATCAGGAAATCAGCAGATTAGCGGGCTAGCATGCTGTCCTGAAGAAGTTTGAATGGTAGAAAAGTCTCAAAAGAATGTTTGAGGTAAAAGTCATCTTCATGGCCCCTTGAGATAACTGACAAATAGGATCCGTATTATGTGATACTTCTTAATTGTTTCTGAGCTGCTTTTGCTTGAATTGGGGCGAAGTCTGAGCCCTGTGAGACAGCGAGTGAGACGGCTCTCCCACAGGCTCTCCACTGACCAGAGAGCCCTTCATTTGAGAACATATTCAGTTTGCTACGAGAGGAACTTAATCAAGCATGAGTATTAGCTTTTTTCCTTTCGACTTGAGTTGATGAAGCATGACTCTTTACTGCCCCCACCTCCAGCCACTCCTCGTACAGTGCTGCGCTGCATCCTCCCAGTATGACGGGATCTATCACGCCATTACAGTTAGTGTCATCTAGCAAGTCACGGCGGCTCATGGAAGACTATCTGCTTGGTTATGGCCTTACCTGCCTTTTGCAAACCATGGTTTGCATCTTCACAACGTGTCATGTTAGAAACATCAACCCCCCCCCACACACGCACACGCACACAGAGGCAAATGGCCTGCAGCAAAGACCTTTGAGTGGTTTGAATGGGAAAAAAAACAAACAGACAGACAGGAGAAAGCAGGGGAACCGCCAGTTCCTGTTCCGTATTGCACGGCGTGTGTGGTATCCAGTTACACAGATGCTGAAGTGTCCTCCCCAGAGAGACGTGGAGGAGCTGGTGCTAAGGACTTCATCCTTCACCAGGCAACAGGAGGAAGGTGAGACGAGATTGAAAAAACAAGAAATAAGAGACGAGCCAAAGCTAATTTACTAACATGTTCGTTTAGCACAAGAGAGTGGTTGTCCTGTTAATATGACCTCATTGTAGATGTCGCCAAGTGAACAGGACAACCAGTGAACCGCAGGTTAAAGTAGATGGGTCCAATGCACAGCATGGTGCAAGTTTAGTAGAAAAGAAAAAAAACAGGATACAAAAGATTATTTTAATTTCACACTTTTTCTGATGATGGAGATATAATCTGTTTAAATCCTGTAAACGTTTGTTTTCTTCTTTATTCCTTGTCACCAACAAAGTCCTGCCAAAACACCATTCCAATATTTAATAGGAACATGATTTTCTCCACCAGAAAATAAAAAATGCACAGCATTTTGTAGTGAAGTGAGGGCCATTCATGATGTTCTAATGATGGTAGATGAGTCCAAGTGATAAACGCATCCCAAAGTCTTTTATTATCCTGAAAAGTAGACTTTCCTCATAGAGCAGAAATCAGAATACAGTACTTCTACTTAACAAAAAACAGAGTGAAAAAAACCCAAAAGTGAAGAAATGTAACCCAATCATTGTTCTGTGTACACTGCCACATGATGCATAATGTACGTAGTAGCACTGGAATAAATCAACTTTTAATGGATGGCAAATGGGTTTAACATGTTCTCTGTAAACTGTTTGCGGTTCCTTCATTTTGCAGGTCAACTTTTGTCCGTGCAAGGAGAGACACCAACGTCAAATCATTAAAGACTTTCTTCAGCAAAGACCACAACTCTCCTCTTCATTTGGTAGCAATAGACAAACCTTTTGATTTGAAATCACTTCTAATGCTTTCTTTTTTAGTACCCCAACAAAATAACAATCCCAAAAGTTTTCAATCACGGTCCATCCAGAGGAAAAGGAAAATGACAGCAGCCAAAAGCCAATTGTGAGAGTGAAAGGTGAGTTGGCGCACGTGTTGACAGATACATCAGACATCACACGTCTCTTCCTGGAAGACTGTGAGGCAGGGACATCCTAAAACATGATTACAGGAGGACGTATTGACATCAACATAAACATCGCTCCAGAGGACACACAGCTGCTGGGGGCTCTGTTCCAAGGTGAACCGTGAGCTGTAGGCGACACGCACACACTGAGCCGTTAACGTTCAAATGACAAGCTGCTATTCATGTCCACGTGCACAAACATGGCTCAGCCGGGTTAATTAATGCCAAATCAGGAGGGACTTGGCAGCACATCGATATCCCAGAAGAGTGGCAGAGTCATTCACGCTGCAGTTGTTGCTCCTAAGACGCGCGTTGCTCACCGTCCGTCCCAACAGAACAGCAGCAATAGATGAAATGTTGTGTTTGTATGGTATGGATGGTCTGTGGTTTAAAACAATCACAATGTTGCATCATAGTGACTAAACTAAATTGAAAAGTTTTCCACAGATTCTCCGCTTAATGTCCTGAGCGGATAAGCTTCCTAGTATTTCTTGCTGTAGTAAGATTGGTCTCCTAATAAGCATAACTCATCCAGCTACTACTTATTTTTGTTTTTGAAGTGTGAAAGGCAAGAAAAAAGGGAATTCAATTATGAAACTATCTAGCGATTTCCCCTAGAGGGCACTGAGGACGGGTCCGCAGGGAGAGAAAACGACAAGGGCAGGATGCAGAGGACCGAGGTTGACCCTCGGACTTGGAGAGGACAGGGGGGAGGGGGAGGAGGGGGGAGGATCGTTCGAGAGTGTGAAAAGGTCCTTCGGGGACAGCTTGTGTCAGACGGGGGAATTATTGAATTTATTGCAGTCGTCTCTTTTCTTCCTGTCTGCCCTGGAAGCTGATAGCAAGCTGCTACATTATGCTTAATGCCCTTCCAATCACTTCCAGCATACACTTGGGGATATCAAAGCCAATGGGAGTATTGATCTTGGGTTCGGCCCCTTTTTTTAATGCACAATGCTGTAGCGGTCAAGAGTGAATGGGAAAGGCCTTTTATAATCCGTAACAATCGGTTCTCTCTTTCTACCTATCTGAATGTCTTCCTCCGTTCGTTCGGCTCTCTGTTCGGAGGCAGGATGAACGCACAAATGTGGTTGTCTGTTCGAGGCCCCCGGGCTTCATTTAGCTTTCAGGGGAAAAAGGGCTCATCCGTCCTTGACAGCATCATCATCAGCCAGAAACTTTCTCGCTGGTGATGAACTGTGATCACATCTCACTTAGCTGCAAAGAATGACTCTCTATTCTGCCAACAATATTTGTGTTATTCACTATGCCTCATCTGTTGATACTTGACCACCCACTGTTTAATGATGTACTCAAAAAGTGATTTGATTGATACTTTTGACCCCTTTTAAAAGAACACAAGGCCAGTTCTTGCATCATATACGGTGTTGGAGAAATTACGTAATACGCAATGGAAATCAAGGTTATTTGTGTTGCACCTTTTGCAAACAAAAGCTTAGAAAGGCATGTATACCACATTTATAAACATCTATGCCAACTTATGCTTCATAGTGCAAGTCTTTTGATACCAGGTGTTTTTCTACACATGGTACAACTGTAATGTAGCTGGGAATCTTTGCTGGAAAATACTGTCACGCCGCCTTCAAGGCGACACAAAAGCATTGTGTTCCGACCGTCTAAAGGCGACTTTGTTGATTGAACATATTGTGATATATATGTAAAGGAATTTATTTAAAAATAGGAATGGTGCATAAAACAATTTATAGATTGGCTATTAGGAAATGTTGTGTTTTTGCAGAATCTCCTACGATGCAAGTAATGATTCTTTGATTGTTTTTGCACATTCATTTCCAGAAAGAGGACGAGGAAGAGAGACCTGTATGTTTGCTCTTTTTCCACTTCAGGCCTTTGCTTTATACAGTACGCACTCCTGATAAAGACTCTCGCATATCATTGCAGCTGAGCTGTTACCTACGGCGGCAGTAGAGGACGTGCACAGCAACAACAGATGAGCTCGCCCGCGGCGAGGCCACTGCTGGGACTCGGTACTCACTTGAGAAAGTGGGTGGCATTATGTTGTTACATAGTGCATTGGCTACGATTGCTACTGTGTGTGTGTGTGTGTGTGTTTGGAAGAAAGAGTAGAGCGGGGGAGGGGATGGTGGGGGGGGGGGTCACTACGGATGTCCTTGCCTTCAGCTTTCTCAACATAAAAAAATCTGCCCTGGAAGAATTTCCGGCACATGTGTAGTGATGTCACATTATAATACCAGCGGTCAGACACACACTAATGAACACAACGCGTGTAGTCATTTGAAAAGGTGCAAGAACTGGCCAGAGTTGGAAAAGTGTAATGCGTGAGAGAAAAAATAAAAGAGGGAAAGAGAGACAGAGAGACAGAAGAGGACAAACTGAGTGAGGGGGAGCGAGATGGCGATCAACCATCAGAGTGAGAATCACAGGATCCTGCTGCCCTCTAGTGCCAGCGTCCTCTGTGACAGCAATGTAATATGACACAATTTGGAGGAGAATTAATTATTTATGAATGATGGGATGATAAAGCTGTATTACAGATCTTTAGATATGAGCTGATAGCACATGGCTGATATCAAACGCATGCACTTCTAACAAAAAATACCTCTTATCCTGCCCATAATCCACTGTTTCTAATTGTTGTAAGTGATACTTAAAGTATCACTCGCCGATGCTTGTGTGTGTGTGCACACAATGAATTCTAATGGGGGAATTGTCCATTTTCCACTATCAATAAAACGATGACATTTGAACTCGGCAGCATTAGTGTCCATCCAGGCCCTTTTAAGCACATGTTTTCATTACATCATTTTGCTCAGCTCACCACCTCCTTCTCCTGAATGTCAAACGTTGCCGCCCCTTTCTTTCTCCCTCCGGCTCCCTCCCACAGATTAACACACTAGTGCCAGTCGGCACCAGCTCGACAGCGGTTCAGGTTTAATGTTTGAGCTTTTACTCCCGCCCTCGGTTCTCAACACACACCGTTGGCCAATAACCGCGCTTGTGTGGAACTGAGCGTCCAGCCATTTTACACCAGGTATCATTTCCTGTTGTTTTCCGCTCAAAGTCCATCTGCGCGACCAGAGCAACAAGCTGGGGTCAAACTGGTGAGTGAAGTGTATTTTTAAGATTCTCTCAAACACAAATATGCTTTGTGTTAATGATGTGTTCCCACCTGGTGACGGTTTTATTTTTTTTAGGGTATCAGAAGTTTGAGCCGCGGCCTGGTGTGAGTCACGGCTCAGCTTGAACTGTTATTAGTCAAGGCCGAGCTGTACTCCAGTCATGTTGTGGTTGCTCTCTGAGTTCTTCTGCTGTGGGATCAAGTACTTTAAAGGGATATTGCAGTGGTTTAGCTTTGTTTCGGTCCGCGTTCCACAAATCACATACTGCGATACTGGAACATTAACACAGTTAACTCTTTTTTCCAGACAATGCGGTTGTGTTTTAGAATTACTTTTTTCCATCCAAACACCTGCTTCAATCATGTTCTATTAGCAGCTCTGGAGACAAGTCTCACAACATTACCATGTATATATAGAACAGACAAAATTAAAGGTTTTTGTGGCCTTTATTTGGATTATTAAGTCATTTTTTTTAACTTAAGTCAGAGGAAGTTGATTCACAGTCATTTTAACTTTAATCGAATCAGGAAGTTTTTTCAGCATGTAGCTATGGCATGTTTACTTACATGCTCTGTATACCTGCTAGTAATGCATCTCTCTCCCCTTCTCAGTTTTCTCCCATTACATGCCTCCTAAGGACTGCATGCTTTTTTCTTTCTAAATGAATCACCAAAATCAGTCAGCAGTATGAAAAGCTGGGGCAGCAAACTCAAGAGACAAGACACTGGCAGTGTGGTCGAGTCCTCCTCTAGCAAGACAAACTCCTGTACTGGCCCACCAGTGCCTGTGTGGGTTGCTCACACACCCGTACCAGATAACATTACAGATGATGGTGGTACTAATTCCACAGGCTTACCTTCCAGCACTCCACCGTACGCCGAGAAGGAGGAAAATAAAGGTAGCCTGAAGGATAGACTGAAAACCTTCATCCCTCAATCATGGGAAGGCATCGTCCATAAATGGACAAAGAAGAGTGACAGTTTGAATGGGTCTGAAGCTGGCACCAGTGGCATCCAGATCCTTCCCAATGGGACCAGGGTGAGTCCTCCTGTGAGTCCCCTGCAGGAGCGTAGAAATTGGGGTGACTCACTCAACTCCAGCCAGAACTCCCGTAAGCCTTTGTTAAGGGAGAGCCCCTGTGATGACCTCTTGTATCAGAGCCCACGAGAGGAATCTCTCCTGACCAGTATCCACCCTGCAGAGTACTACGCTGAGAAGCTGGAGGTGTATAACCTGAAGTACTCTTATTTGAAATCCTGGCCAGGGTTGCTCAGACTGCTGGCGGGGCTTCAGCTCCTTTTTGGTGGCATGGTCTTTGCGTGCGTCATCGCGTACATCCAGAAGGACAGCGAGTGGTCCAACAGCTACGGACTCTACAACGGTGCATATAACAACGGGCAAGGCGTGTCTGGATACAGCTACCGAGGCCCCATGACTCCATTTGTACTGGCGGTAGCAGGAGTCTGCTGGATTATAACCTTGACGCTTTTAGTGATGGGACTGACGATGTACTATCGCACCATCCTCCTCGACGCGGCCTGGTGGCCACTGACGGAGGCCTTCATCAACGTGACGTTGTTCCTGCTCTACATGGCGGCCGGGATCGTCTACCTGAACGACTTGAACCGCGGTGGGCTGTGCTACACGACAATAGGAGTTAATCCCATCATGGCCAATCTGTGCCGGGTTGATGGGGGACAGATGGCGGGAACGGCTTTCATCTTCATCAACATGTCGATGTATCTGGGCAGCTTCCTGGTGTGTCTGAAGATGTGGAGGCATGAAGCTGCACGGATGGAGAGAGAGCACTTTGAGAGCAAGGTAGAGGCCATTGATCAGATGATAGAGTTTAGATGAAAGAGAATCTCCTCGCCTCTAAATTTAAAGAGGGAGGAGAATCATTTTCATTAAAAGAATGAAGTGTCCTATTCGAGAGTTGCACTTATCCGGGTATGAAAATTGATCATCATTCAGAGCTCAAGTTCCACTTGAAAGTGTTTACGGGTTTCGTATTCAGCGTCTGCAAATGTTCCTTACACGGTTTATCCTCGTCATGTGTTTACTCTGTCAAACACGCTTCCCTTCGATGTTATTTTGAGTATATATGATGTGCCTAACATCCCATTCATTGTTGACAACAGTCAAGGACACTATTATTGATTGCAAATGAGCCACCAACAGCCCCAAAACAACAACGGCAGATCAAATCCAATAAAATTTAGAGTCAGTCAGGATGATCTGCAGTGAGAATGCAATTTGTCAGTATTGATATGTCAGTTTTTTTTGGCTGGCAGTCAACCAGGATTTGTCCCAAAGCTGTGAATTGTGTTTTTCTTGATTGTATTGACCGTGTAGTCCTCTATGTATCAATGTGCTATGGATAAGTCACATATCTGGTATAAACACATTGCTGGTTTGCATCCTTCCTAATGCAAAGTAATCAGAAAATATTTGCTGCATTTTTTCTTTTAATTGGGATTTCTGTGACATGTATCTTCACCTACATTTTGCTCTAGAGGGTTTATGGTGATGATGGCTCAGGGCTGCACTTCTAGTAGTGTATAGTAATAATTGCACTCAATTAATAATCCTTTTTGTCTTTTACCTTTAGCCCCAGGAGAGGTTACACCAGTCCATCCCGTTAACCCATCTCAAAACCAAGCACATTTCATTCAAGGATGAAAAAGGTACCTCTATGAGTAAAGATGATCTAAATCGAAATGTCGTCATCTCTGATGTCTACAAGAACCCAGTCAGTGTCAACAGAGCCGCAGCGTCTGTATGCACCCCCAAAGTACACATCATCGCCGACTACGTCATGTGAGCGAACGCTGCCTTTAACATTCTAATATGTTCTGAATTTACCGTATGCCTACTTAATCCGGAAAATCCTCCCCTACAGCAAGTATCCAGTGATCAGCTGTGTGGAAGAAAGGGAAACATATAAAGCAGTTTTTAACGACCAGTATCAGGAATACAAGGACCTCCACAGAGACATCGGCACCACCCTCGATAAGTTCAGAGAGCTGGATGCCATGATGGCACGACTCCTCAGAGAGAGAAAAACCCAAGAGGTGAGATCAATGTAAAACCACCTTTATTTAATCATGTCCATCAGCCCTATAAACTATTTGAGTGAGAGTCGTCCAGGATTTAATTTGGGTTGAAAAGGTCATAATTAGGCCTCCTTATCGCACAGACATGTTAAACATATCTCCCTCTACACAATGTGTTTCTGATACGGAGCGCTTTATGTTGTGTTTTGTGCAAACCATGTTTTGTTGATATTCCATTTATTAGGACCAGCAGAGGATTCAAAGCATTTTGAAGAAGTATCAGCGGAAAAAGAATGTAAGTCAGGTCACAAGTCCTCTTTGTTTTCCATCCACTCACCCTCAAGAAATTAAAAAATCTTCCAGCAAATCCACTATTTTGCTACTATTGTGTAAATGACCAATTGGTTTTGTTTTCCTTCCATAAAACTTACCATTGATGCAAATAATACTGCTTCCACCGGGAAACTGACTCTTGGAAATTATCATTTAATGCTGCTAGATTACAGAATCAATCAGGCGGTTCGAAAAATGAAAGATGAAAGCAAAGGAAAATTTGGGTAATAGAGGTTGCTGCCATTAATGAAAAGATGAGTTGATGTGTCTGTTGGTGTGTTTTCACAGGAACCCGGCTTCTTAGAGAAAAAAGAACGCTGTGACTATTTAAAAGCTAAATTAAGCCACATCAAAAACAGGATACGCACTTTTGACCAGGAAGCCATGGAAAACGGCCGGCCATGAAGAAGAACAGAGAGAAATCCCTGCTGAGCGGGCAAAACAAACATTGATTTATTGTTGCCATTTACTCTTTTTATAGGCACCAATTTAACGTGACACCTGGTTTATAACATACATTTTTCACTCCTTTTTTATAACAAGTCATCACACGTTTTCTTGTAATAATTTTGTCATTTATGTCTCTGTGGAGAAACAAGAATTGATTTGTATATTTTGAAACAGTTTCGGTTGTGATTGGAATTTTTACAGAAAAAGGTTTGTGTGATGAAGGTTTTTTCTTTACTAACACGTGTTACTGTTTCATATTTTCACTGCCGTTTTGTGTGCCGTGTAAACGGTTAGTTTATCTAACTGTGGTCTGCTTTGCTTTGCTCCTGCCTCTCAACTGTTGATGATTTTCAGTGTCTTCAGCTTTGTTACATATTACACGGCCATTTTGATAGCAGAGAAAAGTTGTTTTGATGATACGAAGAAAACATTCCATTTGGATCTGGAGTCGACTACTATCAGGTTGAGCTCTCTGGCTGACATTTTCTAAATAAATATCTTGTCATTTTTCTATTTGTGACTTGTCTTATTCTCTTGAAATACATGTTTCTATTTTTGCATACTTATCCTATCTTTGGTCATTTTTTAGGTAACATTAGTTTTTCATGGTCCTCTGAAGCTTGGTAAGATGCTACCAACAAGGGAAATCGCTTTCAAATAACGTTGACTACTTTTTAATCTTTGAGTTTGGGGGGGAAGGTATCCGGTATTTTCAGTCTAGCGTCCTCAATTCTAAGTGAAGACTAGTATCACTGTGTTAAACGTCAAGTCAAACTGCAAATCATAAGTGATGAATTAACCTAAAGTACCGCGTGCTGACATTTATGAGCATAGCAGTTAGGGCCAACAACCTCACATAGTGTCTTTCGATTGATTTCTGTCCTCGTCCTCTTCTGTGTTAAGGACAATGATTCTTGCTTCAGGCTGTAAAGGGAACCCATAAAGTGGACTGTTTAGGCTGTTTTGACAACAGCCATAAACACTTTCCTCATCGAACTGACTTCAGGTCTTGACAATAACTTCTGAATCATTGAGCTAAATTATTATTTTTACAATGAGCCCTGTTGTTTGGTATTTTTTGAAAAAAATAGGAAAAATAGGAAACAATCTCTGTCGGAAAAAAAATGGAATTGATTTCTCCTTTTATAGTTTTATTCATTATTTCAGTTCTGTTTGGCTTGAATGAATGCCGGTATACGACCGACTTCCATTCCGCTGTATTCAACCAATGTTTAATATTTTATTCCCAGCGGCCATTAGCCGTGAAGAACCGACGAGAGGGAGCAGCAGGTGGACCAGTCGGGTCCGCAGGTCGGACTGTGGTGCTGCCAAGACCCACAGACGGGTTTTCTTATCAATGAAAGGGTCCACGCCGATTAATGACCCGGTTTAATGACCCGGTTTACACGCGTGGGTGAAGTACACGTGCGTGGGGAGCAGAAGAGACGTTGAGGAGCGACTTCTGCCGTGCGAGGTAGGTCGAGTTGCAACTGAGAATGTCCCTGTTTCAGCTCTCAAAGGAGCCATATTTATATTTGTTTTTTTTACATTTGATCAAAAGTCGGACCGGTTTGATGTTTCACGAAGACTTTCAATCGCTAAACCAATGGGAGTTTAAGTTGTTGGTCGGATCTACTCTGTGAACGTGGAGCATCGTTTTTTTTTTTTTTTGTTTCGATGTTTTTTGTGTCAACCAAAATGAGTCACTTTTCTTTACTATCAGCTAACCTCACTGTTCAGAGAGCAAAGACTGTAACTGTAAAATAACCGATCTACCACGCGTGACAGGGCTTCTACTCTAGCGTCCTTAGCTGTCACTCAACAGGTGCATTCAGGTAACGTCCGTGCTTCTGCCCACCACTGGTCGCCCGTTATCTGCTTTCTTTCTGAATTATTGAAGGCTGCTGGGTAACATTAGTTCTTCATGGTCCTCCGGAGTGATGAGGTGTGGGTCAGCAACACCACCGAGCGGGTTCAGGGAAGGGTTCCATCCATAGAACCAATTTGCTCACGAAGGCATCATTCCAGAGGCCTGAGACCACATGTAATTGACTATTTGTAACCTTTCAAAGCTGTTTGGAAATGTTATACAGGAAAAAACATACAGTATATAATAGAGGTGAAGAACTGTAATAACTTTCCTTGAATTTACATTTTTCCCTCCTTATTCCAGGTGAAGTTCCAGCGATATCCTCGTAACCATGTATGAGCCTCGGTACTACGATAGCCCCCCCGTGTACAGCCCGCCTTACAGCACCAACTCCCAAAGCTTCTATCCCCCCAGGAGCGTCCACTCCCCCCAGAGCCAGTTTGTCCCCCACACCTTCGATGCCCGCCCTCACCCCAACTACACAGAGGGGAAGCCTCAATACTTCTACCGCTGGTTTTCTCCTCCCGGTTTCGTCAAGACCTTCCAAGGAGTCACAGTACTCATGTGTTTCATTATATTCGCCTGCGTGGCTTCGACCCTGGTGTGGGACATGAACGGGTTCGGCTACGGGGGATATGGGGTCGGGGCTACGGGGGGGATCGCAGGGATGGAGTCTGGATATTATGGAGGCAGCTACGGCTATGGTGGCTCCTACATGACGCCGCAATCTGCCAAGTCAGCCATGATTTCCATGGCAGCAATTAACTTTCTGGTCTCCCTGGGCTTCCTGGTGGGGAGTTTCTCACGGTCTCGGATCATGAGGGGATGCAAGTTCTACCTCAGCGTGTTCGTTTGTGATATCATCTTGGCTGCCCTTCAGGTGCGTCTCACCAAATGTTACAGCAGTTCAATGCAAATTCAGTAAATACCAAGAATAACTAGAAGGTGTGTCTTCGGCCATTTGATAAATGAAGGTCCAGGAAGTGCTCTATATATTGTCAATGTGTGTAACATTGTTGTTGAATGCGGCTTTAAGGTTGTTATGTCGCTTTCTACTCCAACATGCTTTTTCAAGAGGAAAAATATATCAACGGTTTAAAATTAAGGGCATATCTACTGCCTCCACATTGCTGTCAACCTCTGGCTAGAAGCTAATGGCGCTAACATTGGCGCCAGTGTTTACAGAGCTAACAGGGAGTGTTGGTTCTCTGCTTCCACGGCAACACCACCAGTGGTAACCAGCATAGCTCTCCAATAATATAATAATAATAGTCTTCATTTTCTTTTGACTCCCAGGGCATCATCGACATCATCTTCGTGATCGGGGTGAACCCAATGTCTCAGAGCTCTCAGAGCATGCTCTACAATCCCATGCTGATGATGTGCCAGAACATCCAGGGCAGCCCCAGCCTCAGCGGCAGCGTGGGGGCCGGTTTTCCCGGAGGATTCCCCATGTACACTCAATACCTGCACCACTACTGCTACATGGACCCGGAGGAGGTCAGTGGGATTTTGTTCTACTTCGTTCTATCCTCTTCTGCTTTATTCCCCGCTGACCGCTCGTTTCCTGTGTCACCAGGCGGTTGCTTTGGTGTTGGGTCTGATGGTGGTTTTGGCCCTGAGTCTGTCTGCTTACTTTGCCTACAAGACCCGCAGCAAGATTTGGAGGCACGGCAAAGCTAACATCTACTGGGACGAGCCGCGGGTCAGGTCGGCAGAGGGCCAGGATGTACAGGATTGGGTGAGTGATGTTTTATATGAATATATGCACTGATTTCGTGTTAAGAAAATACACTAATTACACCAACGACGTGTGGTTAAATGTTTATTTATATTCCAGCCAGATAACAAATCAGAAATCAATAATCACAAAGTCTCTCAGTTCTTACACTACATTTTGCACTGTCGCCTCACAAGAAGAAGGTCCTGGGTTCGACTCCGGCCTTTCTGTGTGGAGTCTGCATGTTCTCCCCGTGTCTGCGTGTGTTCTTTCCGGGTTCTCCAGCTTCCTCCCACAGTCCAAAGACGTGCTCTGGAGATCAGGTTAATTGGGGACTTTAAATTGCCCGTAGGTGTGTGAATATTGTATGTCTCTGTGTAGCACTGCGATTGGCTGGCAACCAATCAAGGATGTACCCCGTCTATCGCCCTAAGTTGGCTGGGATAGACTCCACCCCCCCTAAGCAGTTTGACGATGGATGGATGGAAACTTAACTGACTGACTCAGAGAACCTTGCTGTTTACCTTTGACACGCCCGGGTATCAGTGTGACTGATCATTAACCAGAGGAGTGATAACACCGTTCACAAATGAGCAATAAAACACGTTACACGATTTACGGTGAAAGGAAACAGGTCAGGAGACTTTGGCGCGCTATGCGCTAGGTTTTTGTTTTGTTTCATGTGCAGAGATGGTTGCACATAATCACACATTTACGGATGGAGTGAACCATTTGAAACCGGTTGTTAATGATTCACAGTGTTTGTAACCAGGAAGAAACAGGTGTGTATTCCAAAAACTAGCATGTACTTACTGATACCCTTCTCTGTGCAACTCACTAAAACATTAGAAAAGGACGCTTTACACATAAAAGGTATGTTTTTAGGGGGACGGATTCTCATGCCGCGCTGGTATTCTAGTGTTCCATCCACCAACAGGACTTTCAGCCATTCGGCAGATCACTTTCTTTTACCCGCCGTCATGATGTTGATAGGTACACTTTTGTTTATGCGCTGTCTACAGTCTGCACAGCACAGCTGATGTTGAAAATGATGTGACGCAACAACGGGAGTTTATCCGGCGAGGCCGTGGCCTACATACTCCCTATCAGTGCGAAGGGTGCACCGAGCCACTTCATTGAGATGCAGGCCTCATTCCGGGGCTCTCTTGTGTTGCAGTGGAGATGTTTGCCTCACAGGGAGGTATATATAATGAATGTGGCATGTATAATGTATAAAAAGGGTTGAGTTTCCTCAGTGTTGCTGTGTGAGCTTCTACAGACTGTGGTGGCGCTAAATGATTCAGTATGAAGGGGATGCTCCGCATTAGACTCAAGACACAAAGTGGTAATCTCCTTCAGTCCTGTGCTTCCTTCGTGTTTAACACAACGAGGAAAATAGTGGTAATTGAGAAAGCAACGATAACGAGATTTATATCAGATGTTTGAGGGTAGAGCCTACCCTCACTTCTATAGTGAGGAAGTATGCCACTCTTCCTTACATATCCTAAAGTGTTGTATGTAGAAAGAAAGTATAAAGAAATATGTTTTAAAAAGCAGCCAACAGAAAGAAATGGCAGCAGGTGACTTGTGATTAATCTTTCATGAAGTAAACTGATCGAGTTGTTAGCGGCAGCTTACTAAATGGTCTGATGCCACCAACGGATTATCCCAAAAAATCAAGCTGCAAGCAAATCTGCAGTTAAAAGAAACTAAATTCTGCGTCTTTGGTCGCACCACAGCAGAAAGGGTCACTTTCACAAACACTGACTGGACTTAATAGGAATTAAAAACACTGTAAGTGCACAAAGCAGCGGCTGTCACGGCAGCGTCTCAGATTCTCTGCAGCTGTCTGGGAGTTTGTTGCACATAGAGGATCATCCTCTAGCTACACATTCATCAGATCTGTTTCACAGGCTGCTCTTTCCAGACATTTGCCTCAGCTCACTGGGCCGATCCACAAATAGGGCAAATACTACAAGGTATTAATGATGCATTATACAGTATTACAGTAGATAACATGAGGCATAATGCATTTTTTGTGTTTAGTTTTCTCTTCCGATGGAGGTTTTCTTTATGACCAATGCGTTTTTTTGTAATGCTTTTACTCCACTTTGCTGCTCTGCTGCAGCAGAAATGTTTGTTCCACTGATATCCCTCCTGTCCAAATGCGCTCATGGTTACTGTCAGGATCTCCGATCCCCCCGAGTTGGTTGATGAGAAGAATCGCAGCACGTTGATTAATTAAAGTCAAAGTCACCAGCACGTATCTCAGCGTTCGGTGTAATGACGTCTCCGAGCAGTAAAAACGCTGAGTTTTTATACACATGTGAAGAACATTCTCCGTGCCAGTTATGAGAAGCTGCAAAGCAGGTTGAGATAAGAACCCAGGTGAAGCTGAGGGTAGCACACACACACACACACACACACACACACACACACACACACACACACACACACACACACACACACACACACACACACAAGATCCTCCTCAGTGGCCGGTGCAAATCATAATTAATTGACATAAAGTAAAAAATGTGGATCCGGAACTTTCGTATCGAATAAGATATGAACCAAGGCCATGAACAGAAGTCCTTTGTTTTGAAGCGTCTATGAGATCGAGTTAGCCGCTCTCCCTTCTCAGGACACAGCTGCAAAGCAACATGTTGTATCATGCTGCTCTTTGCACATCAGGGTCAAATACAGGACACTTGAGACACGGCTTTAGCACAAGACAATGTTATAATATATTTTACCAGTACATGCATCTCACATTACACACGCACGCACACACACACACACACACATCTGCATGCGTTTCGTGTCTAACATAGTTTGTTTTATGTGTTTCTGTCCAGTTAACTGGTTCTGATAGTTATAGAGATATGGATTAACACGAGGGGTCTTTTTGTCAATTTCACTGCATTTCACTGCAGTGTGCAGTGTGTGTGGGTGTGTCTGTGTGTGTGTGTGTGTGTGTGTGTGTGTGTGTGTGTGTGTGTGTGTGTGTGTCTGGCTAAGTAATACCTGTCTGGCAGTGACACAGCCTCGCTCGTCTGACTGTTTTTGGGGGCAGCGTGCCGTGCAGCGCAGAGACCTTTTCAGTTCTGTACTTCACCGATTATGTGACAGATTTACCCCAGAAAAGGTTCTTTCTTGCCAGCATACAAAAGTCTTTGATTTCTCCCAAATCGTTTCTATGCACAAGGATGTCGGCAACTGCTTCATCAACCCATCAACACTACATGATGGGTGCTTTTATCTTGTGTATTTCTGCCTGATTGTAGTCAAGTCTGATGTTGGTCTCCTGCTATTGTCTAACAGGTGAACCTCGTTGGAGAGGTGCGCAGCACCCAGCAGGCACCGACTGTTGCATCAGCACCTGAACTGGGAGCGGAGAATAGCGTGGTCTCCTATGGCACCCGAACAGTCAGCATTCCCAATGATAGAAATGATAAAAGCAAAAGGTGAGTGATGGTTGCAGAGGCCTCAGCATGACCTTTGTCCTGAACTTTAAAATGTACACATTTTACTTCCCCACCAGTGATGCTTGGCTTCTCTCCGGACAGTTATAAAATAATATTTAAAAAAGAAATGCAGTTTTCTTCAGTTGAAATCAAATAAATGAGTTATCTCTTGTTAGTTGTTATTGTTTTTTAGAAATGTCCTAATCAAATAAAAAAATTGTAGGAGACTTGTAGGAGACCAAAACAGATGATTAGTTGACAAACCAACTTGAGGGAACATCCCTACATGTTTTATATAAGTGGAACAAGTGAAATCCATATTTTCAAGTACTTAAATCTCTAAATATAAACATTTTATGCACTCAAGCCCCATTTACTTTTCAAGAACAAAAAACAACGCCAAAAATCTCTTTTTTTCCTCTGAATTCCTGAACTCTGTAAATACGACGTAAATGAATGCAACTGCGAACATTCAAGTACAACTACACAATCAATCATGCACTACTTTTGTCCCGCCTCTTCGTAGCTTCCCTGCTGATAACAGTAATCATCGGGCCGCGGAGCCTTTGTATCAGAACAGCAGGGTGGCAGTTTGCTCCAGCGGCTCCTCAGACGACACCGACAGCATCAGGAAACCTCCTCCTCCTCCTCGCCATGTGGAGAAGGAGCGGAGGAAGGGCCGAGAGCCCGAGCCCGCTGCTCCCGGGAGGGCGGAGTCGCCGTATGAAACCGGTTACACCACCGGAGACACGGCCAATGATCTGGACGGGGACCACGCGGATCACCTCTGCAGGTCAGTACTCAAACCTCCTGGCAAGGACTGTTTATTCTTGCAACGCAGACTGCAAAGGGAAAAGCAAAAAACCTGAACTACAACATGAAATGCAAATGAGAAGAGACTTTTTTTATAAATCAACCGAGCCTATGTAGGAATAATATATTATATCTGAATATTAATACCAATTTGGAAGAAAATGCTGTGATACTACACATCAAGCATCACTACTGTCTTCAAAGCAACACGGGCAGCGTCTTAATGTGATGTAATAATCATTTTATGTTGTTTCAGGCTATACCCAGAGATAACTTCAGACGAGCAGCGCCGGCAGTACAAGAAGGAGTTTGACTTTGATCTGACCTCCTATAAGAGGCTCTGCGCCGAGATGGATGACATCAGTGACCAGATGCACAAGCTGAGCCGAGAACTGGACATGTTGGACGAGGACTCCGTGAAGTACCAGGTAGAGGAAAACAGATGGCAGGAGCATCGAGCGTTTTAATTATGTCTTAACCGCATCAGTCATCCTCATATGGGCCTGTTGTTTATTTAATATCTGCTTGTTTCACCTTCGGGAAATCTGGCTGATACAATATTATAATTGTATTGTTTATGATATCAAATGTAATTTGTATTTCCATTTTCAGGGTGTTGCAGACGAGTATAACCGACTGAAAGCCCTGAAAAGTGTGAGTGGAGTCACATCAGTGGCTGCATACAACCATTCAATATTTTGGGAATTATGCTTATTCTTTTCTTGCCGCTCTCATGTTTGTAGATGGATTTGACGTTTGAGCCAGCAGCCTGTTAGTTTAGCTCTGCATAAAGACTGCAACCCGGTGGAACGGCCTCTGCTCAAAGGCAGCATTGGTGTTATAACCATTACGTTTCAATTGTGTAAGACAAGACACAACAAATAGCCCATTTGGCACATAACTACGACAGCTACCTTCTGTTCCAACACAGCTGGGCATTCAGATAACATTGCTTGGTAAAAAGAGAAGTACGCCCCAAAATAGAAATAAAAATCATATTGTACCTGTATCAATCAATGTAGGATATTTTATTTTGTCTCCTTGTTTTGGAGACGTATTGGCTGTAGAAATGTCTTCCTTCTCTCCAACACAATGGGACTAGAAGGCACTATGAATGTGTTGCTCAATACGACTAAATAGGAATTAAAGAAACAATCGTATTGTCTGATTAAGAATTTGTGGGTTATCTTCAGAATATATGTGTATTTCTGATTTTGAGGTGAACTGTTCCTTTAATATCGAATTGTTTCAATTTCTTCCTGTTTTATATTAGACTTCAGATCATCAAGCAAAGAAGAAGCAGTGCAAAGAGCTTCGACAAAAACTTTTCCACATCAAACGTCTGGTGAAAATCTTTGACCAAGGTCTCTGTTAGTGTGTCTTCAAAATCCAAACAGCCGAGGAACAACAAACACAAAACCTCCATGTTCTTTACGCTTTTACTGCTTGAATTGTGAGACAGTTTGTCCCTCAAACCGACCGTAGTCACTGAAAGTCAACATCTAATGTTTACAACTGGTTTCTCCTGCAGCTGTAGATCTGTCGGATTAGAGCCGCGGATGAGACCTTTTAAAATGTCTTGTGTTCATTTAGCATTTCAATGTGAATTTGTTTTCTTATGTAGAATGTTGATGGTGAGTGATGAATGCTTTTTGTACAGAAGATATTAATAATGAAATAAATTAGCAGTTGAAACTAGTTCACATGCATTAAATAACTTAGAGCATTATGGTACATGTCGCAGTGTTTATTTGGCATTCTTCATACAGATTTAATTACAACACAGTTGGAAAAAACAAAAACCTAAAAGACACATCGTCATCTTTTGAATCTTTTAATAACGTTGCCATACACATGAAATTTCAAAAACATAAGAACTCAGTAACACAAAGATAAGAAAACATTAATAGCATATTTATCTTTTTTTTCTCGATAAAGTTGTGAGTTTCAAAAGGCGGCAGATCATTAAGCAGAGTTACAACTTTCCACTTTTTGTTTAAAACTAAATGCTGGAATATGTCGTATTTGGAGTTGATTTCGGTTTTATCAAATATTTTACTTGTGATTTTGTAAACTCGCCTCTTGAAATACCTTTTTGAGGTAAATTCTGTTGGACCCAAGTCCTTCTAACTGGTCACAGCTAATGTGATGTTTTGGCATTGAAGTTCCACCAGATTTTCATCCATTACAGTGTTGTCTCACATCCTTCACAACAGCAGAGGTTCACTCTCCGTCGCACCAGCGGACACGGCATTAAGAGAAGCTTCCTTTTCGACATCTCAACGGATGACAAGAGGTATTTTCATGTAAATACGTATAGAAAAAAAACAAACATTTAGGAGATAACAGTGAAAGCAATACTTCAATGTTTAAATGAAACTTGATTTACATAATGTAAAGGAATGAAACAGTCCCCACTTTGCAGAAACAAACATTTGAACATGCAAAAAGACAAAAGTCGGCTTCAATATATACACATTTTAATATTTTTTTTCCACGGGGTCTTTACCCTCATAAACAGCAATGGTCACTGTAGGTTGTAGTGTTGGTTATAAACTCTCCCCACCAACTAAATAATTCTTGCATCTTGAGTTCAGCCTGCCGTTTAACAATAATAATAATAATACAAATAAAGAATTGATCCAAACACACGGAATTCATCTTATTCAGCGAGTTAAAACTGAAAAACACAAATGAAAATCACTTGGGGGATGATTTTTTTTTTTAATGATACAAGACGGATGTTTGTGATGCCCATTTGATATTTTATGTGTCTTCCAAATTTATAATGAATAACAAGGCAGTTGTCAAAAAGAAGGCGGGTTCCGGTGAACAACATTTACAGAGGTTTGTGTTTAGGAAATATCAGACTGAAGCGTTCTGATGTCTGCTGAGGTATTACTCCACTCTCATGTAACGACAGCGAGCCCTGGGAATGAAGTTAAATGCATCGTTCATTTGATGGTCAGGCAGTTTCAAGAGGCCGTTCATCGCTTACTCTCTCTGCTAATTATTTTATTTAGAAAAAAACACCTCTGAGGATGATAGGATATACTTTGGTGATTTTTCCTTGGTTCCGTTTTCGTCCCATTTGTTTGGGTCCTCGGTGCCGAGCAGAGCTGAGTGAAGCCTCCACTTTTTCTTATTATTCACTTGATCACTGTTCAATTACATCCATTCTAAATCATGCTACCGTACTGTCATGTTCCATCTGTTTTCTGGATTAAAAAGGTCACTGGCTCACAGATAGTGGGAGCCCGCTGTGTGGGAGTGGGGGGGGGGGGAACGGTTCTGCTGACTTTCAGCGGCAGGACAGTTTTGTCCTCTAGATGTTTTTGTCGCAGGGTGCCGCTTCCCTCCACATGACACTGCAGCGTCTTTAGTCACTACGGCATGTGGGTGGTGACGTGACCGGCCGCGGCGGCCACGTCGCAGCCCAGCATGAAAAGCTGTTCTCTGGCCGGAAACCTGGCAACAGATCGGCTGGGCTGGCAGCAAGACGCATCCTGCCTGGCACCGGCTCCTCCCGTCACTGGAGGCCCGCGTGGAGACAAGAGGGCTTGTTCCGTGAGGGGGGGAGGGGGGTTTGGGGAGTAGAGCGGTTAAAGTACACGTGACGGCCAGCTGGCGCCGCAATTTGTCAACCACACAGATGGACAGTGATGAGTCAGGAGGTTCCCCGCGGGTCCTTGTCGTCACGCGTCCCAGACGGAGACCTCGTCCGTAGAGGCGGCTACTGTCCCGGGACGTAGGGCCAGCTGATGGAGCTTCCGGAGAGCTGCATGTCGCGGATCAGCGTCTCGATGGGAGTCTTTCCGACCAGGCGCATGAAGAAGAGCTGCGAGATGAGGCTGGCGGGGACGGCGCGCAGGGCCGGGAGGCGCAGCAGCAGGCGTCCGAATCGCTGAGGCTGACTGGGATACTGCATCCTCTCGTACTCCGTCAGAGCCACCTGAGCCTTCTCCTGCAGAGACTCCACGTGGACGGGGTCCGTTAGGCCACAGGCGTCTGAGAGGGAGGGAGGGAGGCGGTTATTTAACAGTGTGGGCGGATTATATAAAACGTCGTGATGAGCCGAGAGGAATCCGTTGAATAACGTGATAAAGTGCACACTTTAAAATGTAGTGGCTCTGCATGTCGACACTATAGAAATAGAGCATTTAAAACCTATGAATCCTGACCATGGCAGTTTAAAATAATAACTTAATACACAGTGCTGCCTAGTGATCAGTGAGAGACGTAAATTATGCTGCACATTCAAGCCAGTAGATGGTGACATAGTTGGTTCATTCCCAGGTTATAAAAACAAATTTAATTGCAGCTTTTCAGACTCTCAAATCCTACAAACTCTTTCAATTAAAAGATCTTCCGTTTTGAGGGACATCGATGTGTTTTTCACAATGCATTTTTGTATTAAATTCCTATTCATGGTTGTGGCATCAATAACGTCACCATCTAGTGGTGCTTAACCATTGACGCGCTGATGACATCACTTGTATCTCAGCTTAGACACATTTCGAACACAATACTTTATGTTGAGATTGATAGATTTAGTTTTGCAGGCAGGAGGTATCTGTTGAAAGACGCTATTAAGTTGCATTATGGGAAATGAAGGATCCGGTGTTTCTGGAAATGCTGGAGACTCAAATATTAGAATATCTGCAGAGCAGCGACGTTTACCTGGTGAAAAAAGAGCGATGGCCTTGAGGCAGCTGTACTCCGCCGAGTCCACCTGCAGCCGGGTCAGCTTGTCCACCTGGTCCTGGAACACCCTCACCTGGTCCATGAAGGACACCACGCGCTCCGCAGACATGGGCGAGGAGTGAAAGCCGGCCGCAGCCAACAGGGGAGCCATGTGCAGCGGCAGGGCCGATTGGGCCGCGTTGAGGATGAACAGCTCGCTCCAGCTCAGCCGCAGCAGCGCCACCTGCGGAGTCGTTGGTGTCAATCAGACTGACCTGCGGTGTCTTCGTCCGCTGGAGTCCTTGTACACTCATGTTTTAGTTCAGACTGCGGCACTAACCTGGTCTGACACGGGCAGCTCGGGGAAATAAGGGATGCTTCTGGCCCACTCCACGGTGCTGAAGAGCAGCCTGGCGGCCAGCTCGCAGATGTTGTCGATCCCCATGGCGTTATCCGGACCGGCTTGCTGGTTGTACTGGTGCCCAAACCGACTGCTCGGATACGGCTCGGCCCGCAGCAGCTGGGAAATGAGCTCCGACACCGGCTGGCCGCCTCCGCTTCCTCCGTTGTTGGTGTTGTTGTTGTAGAAGTCGCCGCCTCCGAGGCCGCTGGCGCCACCTAAGGCCGTGATGGAGGGGCTGAGGCTCGGCTGAGGTGGGATGCGACCGCGTTGAACTGCTGTAGTTTGGTTGGGGTACAAAGGGGAGGCGAGGAGGGGAGAATATAGAGAGGAGACAGGGTGGAGATGAAAGCGAGGGGTTGTGAAGTAGATAGAGGGGTGAAGGACATGGGGAGGTATATGCGGGGATTTGGAGAACGGAGAGAACAAAAACTTAAAACTGAGTTCAGCCAGCGGTGTGTGTGTGTGTGTGTCAGATCATCAGCAGGCAGCTCTGACGCAAAACTATACTTCAAGATTAAAAAGGAGGCACAACCAAACCAAGACGGAGTCCTCAAGTTCAGCATAAAAGTATCCTGAACATCGGCGCACTTGTCAGGCTAGGCTAGACTTTTCCACCACACTAATCGATCTTATACTGAGAAAAGAACCAAAAATAATCCCCACTAAGAGCGTAACTGACTAATCCCAGGCAGCAGGGCGGACTACTGATTAGAGAGATCTTCCTTTTGGGGATGTGAACGTACGTGGTGAGCACCAGTCCTTGAGCCAGACACTGAATCCACGCTGTGTGACTCCGAATCGGTCTGCAGGGAGCCACCACGCGTCTCATTAGCGTACTTTACGACGCGCGTCTGCAAGAAGCACCGGATACCTTTTGGAATTTTAAAAACAAAAAACCTACACGATTCGTTTCCACTATTGTTCAATGACGCCGTCGCTTGGGAGCGAAATCCCGATGCTGCATTCTGACTGATCGAACTGGCTCCAGACAGAGGCTTAATGCTGTGGGACACAGGTGTCTTAGCAGCGTAACCCTCTCACTCACTTACACTAGATTAAGCCACTTAGCACACGGCATTGAGTGGACACGCATGGCCGTCTTAGCCATGATAGGGCTGAGACAGCAGACGTGTGGGCCATTCTTTGCACGAAGAGGCGAGATAATGACAAAAGGCAGATTTAACTTTATTAACGTATTTGTTGATCTTCTAAGAGCAGCCGATTAAAGCAATGGAAATGCTCGCTAATAAAACTTTCAACTACTTTTTCCTAAAGTCCTTGAGCAGTATTTGCAATCTTCCACATGTACAATGACAGCGCGTCGCCATCCTTTTTCCGAGGGATCAAAATGGATCAGGATGGACAGATACCTTCTTTGCGCATTCCAACACGGAAGCACTTCTTCAGTCGACAGTACTGGCACTGGTTCCTGTGGTGCTGGTCAATCTGACACTCTCGGTTTGACCTGAGAACATAAACATTCCATTATGGGACTATAGATCGGGTTTTCAAAAGAATTTTACAGACTGAATAAGGTGATTTTGTGCTAATGCATCGTGATCTGCTTTGACCGTGCGAGTGGTTTTCAGATTTTTCTTGCGGATGATAAAAATCTATCCAGACTGTTATTCCAAATATGTAAACAATCCTGTTGTACTCCACATGGATGAAAATCCTCTACTTCCTATTGAATGGCTCTCGGACATTAATATTGCATAGGATTCACCACAAGGCTACAGACAACATTAATTTGCTTAGAAAGCAGATGATTGTACCATTCGCTGTTAAATCAGCAACTACAGTAACATATTTCAAGCCCTTGCCAACGTTAGGTTTTGAATGTTTATATAGCTATTGATTATACAAACAGCTTGTGCATGTTTCAGTGGCGTGCTTTACAAAGCATGCTGTAAACAAGACACCTGCCAAAAGTTTTACAATAAATGAATTCATGGTTTGCACTGGACCAATATGAATCCGATACACATCTAAATGCAGTTTGCTGTCGTAGACAGAAAACAACAGCAGAACATTTGAGAGGATGGAGCCGCAGACCCACATTTGACACCAAATGCTTTGTGGATCCCGATTGCTTTTACCACACAAACCCACGCTGTTTCCTTTGATTGCACGAGTCTCGCTTTTTGTCTTTAATAAAACGCAAATAAACCCCCTCCGATAAACACCAGGCGGAACCAGGAAGCGGGCGCGCGCCTCTCACCTGCAGGTGTAGCTCAGGTTGCGTCGCACGCTCCTCTTGAAGAAGCTCTTGCAGCCCTCGCACGTGAACACGCCGTAGTGCTTCCCGCTGGACTTGTCCCCGCACACCACGCAGTCCACCACGCACGACTTGTCGTCGTCCCCGGCCTCCATGTCGCTCCCCGCCGCCTGCGGAGAGCCGTCGTCCTCCTCCCCCTTCAGGTAGCTCTTGTCCCCCAAGCCGTTGGTGCCCCCGTTGGGATCTCCCCAGCCCCCGCTCACCATGGCCATCGCTCGGTCACCGAACCGCGGCGGAAGAAATCGGGCAGGGGGAGGGAAAGGGGAGGGGGGGGACACGCGGCCGAAAAGATGTCCGGCGGCTGTCACGGTGACATAAATATCGGAGAGAGAGAGACGGAGTCCACGGTGGGTGTTTTCGCCCTCGTCTGGCGGGAATCAGTAAATGAGTAAACGCATGTCAAAAACAGAGGAAGTGACCAGCGGGTTTCAACGGGGGGAGAAGAAGACAATCCTCCGCGTTTCAGAAGCCACAGCCATCCAGTCTCCTCCCACTCCACTATGACCTGGAAGCAGTCGGCGTGGCCAACTTTTAGTGTTCGTACGCCTTTTCGGATTCCGATCCCCCGCTTTTCTCCCCTCTCGCCCCGGCGGGTTTCGTCGGTTTCCCGGAGACGGAGATTCCCGTCAGCGGGGTCGGCCTTCTGCGGGCGGGGGGACCTCGAGCAGCGGGCGCGGAACCTTTCGGGGGAAACAATGAGTCAAACACATGCAGTGAAAAATCGTCCTTCTTTTCAACCACGCGCATGCACGCGCACACACACAAACACACGCGCGCGCTCGGCTAGCTCCGTCTCTGTAGCAACATGGCTGAAAAAAAGCAGCTCTGTTTAGCTCGCCTTAGCACATGCCTGGAGGCTGCTCCTCCTCCTCGACTCTCCGTTCGAAAAGTATGGCGTGTCCACCAGAATATTCGCCTCCCAAACCCCTCCAGAAATGACGTCAAGCTCACCTCGTCGTCAACGCGCGTCTCCGGCTTCCTCCGCCGCCCCGACACGCGAGTCCTTTCCTCGCTCCCTAGATCTTCCCTCCATCCAGCGCAGACGCGGCTCCGCTATTCTGCTGTGATCCCGCCGCCGGCAGCGGCATCGTGACCCACAAAGAAGACGTCCCGCATCACGCGAAAACACGCTGACGTCCAGGCAACAACAACAACAACAACATCACTTTTGTGTGGTCTCGGCTTCTTCTTCCTCTTGCTGCGGCGGCGAGTGGACGACGTGGACCTCGAGACAAGGAAGCGATCTCCCGCTCTCGCTTCCCTCGCTGCTTGTAGCACGAGTGCTCGGTTGTGACGAGATCCTGTGCGCGTTGCTTCCTTCCCGAAACAACAACAACAACATCAACAACAAAAAAATGAAAAATAAAACGGAAGCAGCAGAGTATCCGTCTGCTCAGCCCTCCATAGTGCCACTCATGCGGGCTCCTCTCCCGCAGCCTTTTGTCAGTGCTTGCCCACCAAGAACTAATGACTTGCGGCCTAGCCGTGTGTGTGTGTGTGTGTGTGTGTGTGTGTGTGAAGTCTCTCCCTACAGCTCAGGCAAACATGGGGTGGGGGTGGAAGGGGACGGCTGCTTCTCTTTTTTCCCTCCTATTCGGTCTCGCTCAGGCTTCAGTCCACAAATCAAATTATGATTAAAGAAAAAATGGCCACAGCCGGAAACCGACTGGATTTCTCTGGATTTCTCTTTTTTTTTTCCCCTCCTCGCCTCGCTTTCCCCTTGTCCGTTTTCATCCAACCTATTTATCTGTTGAGAGAGAGATCAAGCAAAGCAGGGTAGGGAGGGAGGGAGGATAGTGTGTGCAGAGGGGGAGGGGGTCCTCTCGGTGTGTGTGTGTGTGTGCTCCCAGGGATTTGACACTGCTATTCAAGCCCCGTGGTTTCCATGGTGCTGGCTGCCTTATATGGCCATTGGAGTCAAAGAGCAAAGAGAGTGGGCTGTGTGGGGCAGACACACACACACACACACATGCAGGAAGGATGTGGAGGATCTCTCCTCAGAGATCCAGAGAGCATGACCTCAAGGCCTCAAAAAAAACAAAACTCCGACAATACCAGATTACCCAGAAGCCGTGCAACAAATACAAACAAGCAGAGCTCCCGCCGGCCCTTTTGTCTTTTAGTTGGAATTGCGGTGCACGTTATAGGAACCCGGGAAACGCAGCGGAGAGCTGATCCCCGTCCCTCAAAGGGAGGCCACGTCTTTCCCTCTTGAATAACACGCTTTGATCCGACATGTGTGAGAGCAGCCCGCTGGAGAACGGCTTATTGTGCGGGAAAGAAAGGTTACCTTTTCGTGGTCATCGCTCATTTGCTCGAGGCCCTGTGTTGTGACGCTTTGTTGAGCACGCAGTGATTTGTGTTCGAGGTTACGCCGAGAGGTCAAATCGACTTTCACACCCCTGTCACGCCTAAAAAGCCCAGCGTCAAATGCAGATAAAGGGGAGTGGGGGGGATGAGAGCTTTAGGAGATACGGGCGGAATCTGCTTGTAAATGTGCAGCTCTTCTTTTGGGGAGGGATGCGGTTGCAGATCTGGCGAGATGAAAGTGTCCGTCCTCTGAGACTATTCGCAACTAGTTGTCTTATCTAGTGCGATTTTAAAGGCATTCTCCCCCCTCCTCAAACACTTCTATGGCATTCCTAAATCGAAACCCAGCTTTACCCCCCGGAGACGGAGTGTGCGTGTGTGTGTGGCAGAGACACATTGTTCTGGCCATTACGCAGCTAATGGTCCATCAGAGGGTTGTGTGTGTGCGTGTGCATGTGTGCGTGTGTGTGTGTGTGAGAGAGAGTTAATTTGACTCAAAGTCCCTTTAATTAGGCCACTGTGTCTGCTTATTGTCACTTTTTGTGTTGGGAAAGATTAGGCTTGTCAAATAAAGGGTGCTTGTAAAAAAACTGTGTGTGGGGTGTATGTGTGTGTGTGTGTGTGTGTGTGTGTGTGTGTGTGTGTGTATTTCAATAGTAGGTATCACCTCAGTCTTTACTTAACTTAAACTTTATATGATTTTCTAAAGTCAGAGTCAAAGCAACATCACTATGCTGATGGTAACGCCCACGTCGACGTTTCATTTAGTCTTTTTATCCCACGCGTACGGACAGGTTTACCTAATCTTGCTTTATTTTAACTCCAAACTTTTCATGTCGACACACATGTACGTTTACCCTTACTTACTAAGCCTTCAGCAGAATATATACGGTTAGTTGGTCCTGTACATTGAAATATAATTTGAACAACAACACAATATTTCACTGAAGACAAAACGCTATGACAAACTACAGACTCAGGGATTTGCTGCACATTGGCTGTCATTTCCACGTCCGGGTGTGTCTGTCTGCGCGCTGCCCCTGAGGGCTGCAGTGACGTGACCTTTAAACCAACAGTCAGGAATATTTTGTTGCTCCCAGTGAGTAATGTGGAAAGGCAAGACTGCAACTGTTGCAAAAACACCCAACAGAACCAACAGACACCGAGGTAGTAACTGTTTATGAAGGCTTGCAGTTTAAAACCTACTGATATACTATAAGCGAAAACCGAGCCTTTCGTGCTGCAATAGTAGTTGCTTTATTTGGCCATTTCTCAGATGATACACCCACACTTCCCTTGTGTGTTCCCTCAAATATAAACATATATATATATATATATATATATATATATATATATATATATATATATATATATATATATATATATATATATATTTGTTAGTCTCTCAAACACATGTTCATTTGGAGACCTATCAATGTGCTTTACAATGGAATTCAGATTGGCCCAACTGCGTTTCTCGTGTCCTGGGTATATTATACATTCCACCCGGTGACAGATCGAGTCTAGCTGGCAGTCTCTTTTTTTCTTTTTTTAAACAAACTAATAAGAATTCAGTCAAAACCTACAACCCAATAAATTACTGTGAATTGAACTTTTAAGAAATTGAACAATTGAGTTCAAAATGTAAAACTTGTCAGAGCAGATGCAAGAAGATGTAAGTGGTAACAACTATATGCCTAATATAATGTAATCTCATTTCTTCACATTTTCTCCCTGAGTTTTCTACATTGCGTAACGTATATGAGAGACTGCAGTTTAATTCAAGTTCAATTATACCTTTTATTGCATATAAAAATAATCATAACTGAAAGTTTATAGGCACCCTTTTAAAACCCTGTAACTAACCCTATCATTTGCTTTCATGTGTCATATTTGAATAAATGTTTAGTTTTGTTGGGCTTGAAATTCTCCCACGTACGTTAATAGTCAAGACCTCAGAATGCATCAATAAACCCCACCCTCTTTAGGGCAGGTCCAGATCACTCGGCTATTGATCCAGTTAACATTTTAACCATTTAAGTTAACCTTTAATGTCTGTTACAAAGGCCCGTCCCATAACAAAATGCGACCCTTTGTGTCTAAAGTTAGGCCGGCCGCCCCCCTGAGGCATCCCGAGCAACCGCTGTAACTCAATCTCAGGGTGTTAGTGTGTGTGCTCTCAACCGCATCAGCATATGGAATGTAGGTCTTCACTGAAAGTAGCCATGAGTTAGCCTTCTCCCTGGGACCGGCTGTTTCACCGCGCTTCGATGGGTGTCAAATGTTTAGAGTTACAGTGACAGCCTCACCCTGCGACCACGGTGACCTGTGACCTTTGGGAGAATGGACAAGCCTGGAAACCAAAACAGAGGCCTTTTGTGCGGGTCAAATAGAAAACATCTGCTGGGCCGAGGACACGGAGAGAAGGGGGAGAGGGGGTAGTGGTGGGGGGGGGGGGGGTGTTAGCTCGCGGGGATTCATCATTAGGTGACTTTAGCCACCTCCGGTTAGGAGGCCTGGTGAGAGCATACTGAAAGCCACTGTACACCTCATCAACCATGACCCAAATCACCCTCATTTGACCCATTAATGCCCAGCTTCTCCCCCTCCCCCCCTCAATGAATAGAAAGGAGAATTTCCTAGATATGAATGCTGCAGTGTCTCTTATCGCTTCACCACAGGAGCCTCTGGTCACAGCGAGTCTTTCATTTTTAGATTGAATTGAAGCCTGAATAAATGATCTGAGCGGATTGCACCTCACGGCGCCCATCGAGAAAATCCATCGGAACAATTTGGGCTTCAGTATCATCACGCATTGTCATGATGGGTGAACGTCGGAGTTGTCTAACCCCACTGAAGCAGTAGCGCAGCGAACAAAAGAAAGTATCAACTTGCTCTTTCTCTCTCCACTTAAGACCAACTAGGCGCATGTTTTTTAGCACCACATTGTTTATTTGTCTCAGGTATTTATCACTAACCATCTGGGTCTGTTTCTGCAGGCTAGCCATCCGGTACAGCACCAGGCTGGGATATGGGTAACAAGACCCTTCAGGGAAGGTTGCAAATCAGCCAAACATCTGTGGAGGGAGACCCCGTGGTGAAAATCTTCATCTTATACAGGCATCGTCACGAGGAACCTTTTTGTTTTGTGAGGGCTGGTAAAAATATAGGGGGTGTGAGAACACTCACGGGTTAAAAGAAAACAAAAAAATCTGATTATTATATTAACTGGATTCCTTCATTTTATGAAGGAAATTTATGCAGCAGTTGCCAGGCAACCAGCAGAGACTCCCAGGTCCCAGACAACAACGATTGTTTTATCTATTCTAACAGATGAATAAAACCAAATGTGTTATTAAAGGCCGAATTAAACATGAAGACAGAGGTTCATACATTTGATGAATAAAACTCAAATAAAGCTATAGTTAGGAGACCATCTTGGCTGAATTTAGCTCAGCTTAGTTTAATTGAATCGTACAGACTTGAAACAGGAGGAAATATCTATATTTGCTATTTCCAAACTTAATAACCAATTGTAAATCTCCACCTTTTTACTGTCATGTCCATCATTTTCCTGAAACTTAAAAATGTATAATATTAGATAATAGCTTTTTATAGTATTTGTCATGTGTTACTACAGTTTCACTGCTTTACCTCAGGGGAATTTATACTGAAATCTTCTTTACATTCATCATTTTAGACACACTAAATACGGCATTGAGGCAGTTATATTGATCTCCCACTAGGCTGCAGTATTCCATGACAAATACCCTGTGTGTGTGTGTGTGTTTGTCTGTGTGTGCGTCTCTGAGTCTGTGCGTGCTTGCGTGCCTTGATTATTACATTAGATTATTGCACGAGACTGTCCTGCGCTATCGATCCAAACAGCAAATTATTACTTCTCATTGTTGCTGCTGCTGATTGAACCGCTGCATGTAAACATGTTGTGCAGTGAGTCCAGCTCAACATGAGGCCAGTTCATGACCCGGCTCAAGCAGGGATCCAGACCAGTGTAACTACTAAAAATATATAAACCATAGAATAAGATTCCTCCCAGTTCACGCATAAAAGTACGTCTGCATATATTTACAAATCAACAGATATCATTGTATATGAAAATCTATAGACATACATGTACATTTTTCCAAAAATGTGGTTTATAGCTTTGATTTTCAATCTAATTTAATTTTTTTGGGGGTAAAAAAAAAGCTGCATGACAAATCGATTATGAATTGTTAGACTCAGGGGGACATCTAGTTCATTCTCAACAAACAAGGCAAGACGACGTCAACAAACCTCTTCAGCTGACAGGAAACCCTGCTGGTAAACACTTCAGTTCTCTTTGTGTCCAACAGAACATTTACAAACGTCAACATGCCAACAAAATATAGCTCTGTTCCCTACTTGACCCAGCGAGGGGTTTAGTCTGTGACACGGAGTCCGCTCCTGCAGAGGCGGATGCTACCTTCAGTAGCCGGATGAGGTGGTGTAACTTGGCCTTAATCATCCTGGAGGTGCTGTCAGATTTGTCCGTTTCACCCCCTCAAGAAATAAACATCAAAACGTTTGGTTTGGATAGCTGAGTAGACCTGCAAACAGACATGTTCTCCAACAGCTTCAGTATGGCCACTTAAAGTTCTATTCGCACGTGTTAATAATGTAAATGGATACAATCCCACTGCTTCTTCATGTTCTAACGAAACTAAACATGTTCTGTGTTGATCTGTTTGATAACTTTGCTGTTAATGGAGGTGCAGCGTCTCAGCGTTTCTGGGTAAATGTAAGGTTCTGTTTCTTAAAATGTCCTTTGGAAAGATGCAGTTATCTGTCGGGGGTTTAGACAACTTCATTGACCATTTTCAAGCAAATTGCATTTGGCTTCATAGTTGTATACACTTTGCGATAGGTAAATAAAAAACGATAAGTAATAAGTGTTCCAAACAGAAAAAATGCAAAAAGTATTAATCATTTTAACTATTAATGCATTTTTTTAAGGTTGCAGAGTGGACAGCTTCGCTTTTTCATGGGGAAGCCTGTAATTATCAACAGTACCTTGAATGTTGTGATTGATATCGCTTCTCATATTTAAGGTCCAGACATCACAAAAAACGCTGTTACATCCAACATCTGTCTGCGCATGGCGAAGTCACACTGCGACTAAATGGCCTTTAACCTACTTTTTCAAAACACAGAGTGTATTTTACATTTTCAGGTCTCTCTTTTTGAAGCACACGCATTATTAGAAGCTTTCCTTTCACAGCTCAGGCAGAACTACTGAGCTGCCGACCGGATACATCGGATACTTTTCTGCTTTCTATATCCGTTCCAAACGCAGACGAATGACAGTATCACGTTGCACTGATTTATTGCATTAAAGACTTAATAAACTGAAATAGAGACCTCTTGTGACAATAAAGTAACACCTCTTACCTGAATTTGATGTATTTTCATAATATAATTTACTAAATGTTGTCAAATTGACACCATCACCAGATTGTAAACGTGACTGTTATAATGGAGCGGCGTCGTTGAGGTTGGTAGGAGTCTGTGATTCAGTGTCTGTAGTGTAAAGAGAAGAGATGTAACTCATGATCAGTGAGCTTTACGGGTGCTGGCCAGTGGGTTTTGTCAACTTTGCACAGCGCCCGACTAGCTGTTTGCCCAACAAGCACAAAAAGTAAATACACATGCTAAACATTAGCTCAAACTATTTCTTTAACTTTCTTTCTTTATTATAATGACCAAAAGAAAAATATCCTGTTTCCTGTTCTAATATCTGCTCTTCGTCAAACCTTCTATTGACTTTCTGTTTAATATGATAATTCTGCTGTAGAGCAGACTTAGCAGAGCTAAACTGCACTGTTTCATTATAATATACTAATTGTTAAGTTACTGCCCAAAAACTGATAATAACCATTAGTGATGCGTGTGAATTCTGCAACAAGCCTCTCTTACTGATTTGAGAGAGCTGGTTTGAAACATCCCGTAATAAATTAGGCTAAATAATTCATACCCAAAGTAGTAATAGAACCAGTCGGCTTCAACCTCAATTAAATCAACAATGTGACTTTTTATTCCTGTTATATTTTGCGTTTCTCTTGCCCCTTTTTATCAAGGATCACGTCTAAAACGTGTCTTAATAAACAGTTCCTCTATGAGTTACTGCTTCCTAGGAAGAAGCTGCCTGGCACCTCAACAATGCCTGGCAAGAAAAGTTGTCTTTCAGGCTCCTCTTCAATTTCAAGTTGCATAGTCTCCCTTTGTGTGTGTGTGTGTCTCCTGTGAGGGCGAGGACAGCTTACCCACGTCATCATGTTGGACTTAGAGTCACGGCATCAAAGAGCCACTGGATGAGAACTTCGGGGGAACAACATGAGCTATTGTCATCCTGGCCCGCTGTGCTCCGGAAAACACAGTTTACGATCCTCTAAAAAAAACAAAAAAAACGTTTGGCACGAGCTTTTTATGGCGTCCCATTTTTCTTTCGCCATAGAAAACAAAGGGTGTTGTCAGTGTAAATGTCAACTTGAGACTGATATATTTCGCATTCTGCATTCTCCCTTTAAAGATTAATTATTATTATTATTATTATTCTGATATGCTGAGAAACTAAAGGCTCATGAAATAAGATTTAATGCTGATCAAATTTTGATTTCACATTTTTTTGTGTGTGACTGGGGACATTTTTGAACATTGCAATGGCTTAATGTCTTGAACACTGTGTTTTTTTGTTGTGTTCAAGTACGTCCTGAAGATTGCATGGATACAGCTGATTAGTGGCGATAACCTCTGCTTAGGGAGGGGCAGCCAACGTTGCGGGGCACCGGCCTCTGCAGGGAGGGGACTGAGTCCAGGACAACTTCCCATCATGGGAAGTGTGTAGCCAGAGGAGTTTATAAAGCCCTACACATGTTTACACCTCAGCCACAATCTGATCAATTCTCATGATATCAACACTCCTGAGAGGAAACGTCTGGTCCACCAGGGTAGAGCCATTGGCCTTGTTAGAAGGAGGAGTGCGAGCTTTGCACAAAGGGACTGTGAAATCCACCAGCTGCTCTGAAGTTACCCAGCATTGAGTTATTCAATCTTTTAGATTTCAGAGCCCAGAGAAGGAACTTGTCCTGCCTCCGGATTTGGAGATGGACCTTGTTTGAACTTGGCTGGCCACTCATCGTAATCCTCGAGCTTCTACCAATTTTTTTCTGACACTCACTTTTGCCATCAGCAGCCATGTATAGCAGTGGCTACTCCCAGGTTTTTAAGTCGAGCCCGCAGGCCCAAAAGAAGGCGGTGTACCGCTCCAAAGGCAAAAGCTGCGGCTACTACATGCGTATTGTCTTCTTCTTCTCCTCACTCATCCAGTCCCTCATCATAGTCAGCCTTGTGCTCTTTCTGGTCTACGGTAAGACGCAGGACTCGGCGTCCCCTTTGCGCATCCACGACCTGGAGGAGAGCTTCAGCCGACTGTCCATAGAAAATGAGGCTCTGAAGCAGCAGAGGAAAAATCTGACCAATTTACTCAACACCACCCTGACGGAGAAAAGCCGCAACGACTGGGACCTGAACAAACTGCGCATCCTCACCAACATCTCAGCGCACCTAATCCAAGATAGGGAGCTGAAGCTGGTGAGAAAGACGGGCCTTTCCATTATATCTAGCATGCACATTTCTGTCTGTAATTTATCTTCTTAGTCTCATAGCAGAAGTAGAACCTTTCAAAAGCCATAGAAATCAAAGTGTTTGTGTCGCTCAGTTACTGTTAGTGTCGGTGTCAATGTTGTTAGAAAGTGCAAAAATACTCTTGCCTTATAACCATGGTAAATATCCAATCGTTTTAACATGTTTGTCTCCATTTGTCAATTGGTCTACAAATCATTAACACAACTTTTTTGACTGATATGAACAGCAAGAGTTCTTCCAGAAGTGGCAAAATTGTGAGCGCACAAAACTACCATTTCAGCCCTCCCGTAAGTATGACATTTCTTCAGTGCGAGCGCAAAATTAATCTAATGAATAAATGTGACATATGAGCTGCGGTGTCTAACCCTCATCTGAAAGACCTATTTGACTTCTTTTTCTCTTTTTTTCATAATCGTTTTTTCTGAGAAGGTATAACACATCCTTGCAACTGTGATCTGATGATTCAAACGCTGAAAACAAGGATCACGCTTTTGGAGGCCAACTTCACACAAACATCCCTCAGGATGAGGGATCAACTGGACCAGACTGCCAAAGAGAGGGACACCATTAACCTGGAAGTCATCCACCTGCGGAGGGAGAAATTCACACACGAAAAGGAGATGGAGTTCTTTAAGCAGAAATGCAAGGAGGACTTTTCACAGTTGTTGAGTGGGATCTCCGAGGTCTCCAAGGCTCTCCTAGAGAAGATCGATTCCCTCTTCCCATCACACATTGCCTTCCAGCTCACCTGTCCAAAACAGAGGGAACACCTGGAGCAGATCCGCACTAATTGCTCCAGCCTGTCCAATGAAGTGGAGGACAAGCTTCAGCGTTACCTGGATGTTGTGGGGGGAAAGATGTCCGACATCCAGGCTGAGAACAGCCACTTGAATGCAGAGAACTTGCGACTGTCTGAGGACTACCGCTGGTGCAGCAATAACCGCACGGGCCTGATCCTGCAGAACAGGCAGAACATAGACAAGCTTCAGCAGAAACATGATGAGGACAAAGAGAAACTCCTCGTTGACAAGATGAGGCTAAATGAAAAATTTGAATTGGAGATGCTTACCGTCCAGTACAAAAGTAAATTGATTGATGAGCTTACAGAGCGAATTAAGCAGCTCAACGTGTCCTGCGCAACAACGGTAAGAAAAAAAGTAAAATGAACGATTACATGAACATGTTAATAGCTCTGCATGGATGAATGCCGCGGCACTTTAAGTAAAGCTGTTTTGCCTGTAGCAGAGAAAAGACAATGAGACTTTCATCGCAGGAATAAACAGCAGCAGATATTAACGCTGCTGAGATGAGGTTGAGATTCTCTGATATAGCTGTTGACGTTAAATATAAAACAGCTGTTAAATGGAATGATCTGGATTAATTAGTGAAACAATTAGGCCATTTTGCACACATTTGGGCTTCTTCTCTGCAGTGTCAAAAGGCATATTTGCTTTTTTAACACCTGTTTTTTCCCCCACATAGTAACATTGCTCTTATTTTATTTCAGCCAGGGTTTGGATTTCCAGGAGGCCCGACAGGTACACAGGCTAAGACAGAGTCCGGATGGGGCTTGGGTGGAACCAACTCTGGCTCAGCCAGCTCTTCTAGTGGGGGTCAACTTGGGAGGTCAGGGTCAGGTGGGTTGAGTTCAGGCTTAGGTAGTTCTACTGGGTCGACCTTCAACAAGCCAGTATCTACTGGGTTAGGTAGCTCTACCGGATCCGCATTCAACAAGCCAGCATCTACTGGGTTAGGTAGCTCTACCGGATCCGCATTCAACAAGCCAGCATCTACTGGGTTAGCTAGCTCTACCGGATCCGCATTCAACAAGCCAGCATCTACTGGGTTAGGTAGCTCTACTGGGTCTGCATTCAACAAGCCAGCATCTACTGGGTTAGGTAGCTCTACTGGATCCACATTCAACAAGCCAGCATCTACTGGGTTAGGTAGCTCTATCGGGTCCGCATTCAACAAGCCAGCATCTACTGGGTTAGGTAGCTCTACTGGATCCGCATTCAACACGCCAGCATCTACTGGGTTAGGTAGCTCTAGCGGGTCCGCATTCAACAGGCCAGTATCTACTGGGTTTGGTAGCTCTACTGGGTCCAACTTCAACAAGCCAGCATCTACTGGGTTAGGTAGCTCTATTGGGTCCGCATTCAACAGGCCAGTATCTACTGGGTTTGGAAGTTCTACTGGGTCTGACTTCAACAAGCCAGTATCTACTGGGTTTGGTAGCTCTACTGGGTCCACATTCAACAAGCCAGCATCTACTGGGTTAGGCAGCTCTATTGGGTCCGCATTCAACAGGCCAGTATCTACTGGGTTTGGAAGTTCTACTGGGTCTGACTTCAACAAGCCAGTATCTACTGGGTTAGGTAGCTCTACTGGGTCCACATTCAACAAGCCAGCATCTGCTGGGTTAGGTAGCTCTACTGGGTCCTCATTCAACAACCCAGTATCTACTGGTGCGGGCTCTTCAAGCTCGTCAACAGGGTCAGGTAGCTCCGGATCCATATTTAATAAGCCAGCATCAACTGGGGGATTTTTCTCAATCTTTGGATCTGCAGGGTTGGATCCCCAAAACTCAGGTGGGACAGGTTCCAATAAGCCAGCACTGAGTGGAAAAGGCTCTTCATCTTTTTGGATCACCTTCGACTTCAAGTGGGATAGGCTCAAATCAGCCACATCAAGTCATGGGGTCATCCTCCGGGTCGACTGGGGTCGACAAATAAAAGTGGGCCAACCAACTCCGGATATTCCTGGTTCCTGACAAGTTACTCCGGCAAAGTAGACAAGAAGCGACACAGGGAGAGGATCCATCATCTGGACTAGTGGTGGAAAGTAGATCGGTCCATTTGATTCAGGAAGACTGGGCTCAAGTTAGGAACATGAATTTCCAACTTTACACTCATATCTCTCACATACCTTCGTACCCCTGGTGTCATCCAACAATGCAGACAAGTTTCATTTGGTTTTAAACTCCATAATAATAATAACTTCTGTCAAACTGATTCAATAGCTCTGATTTTTGTATTCTTTGTAGCTCTTAGAAGAAATGCCAACTGTTTTTAACTTCTGTGGTATTAAATGAATGAATGAATGCCGATTGATTGATTACATCGTGGATAAGCATTAACAAAGTCTTGTGTTTAACCAACAGCCACTGTTGAGCAGCACCTTCGAGATCTGCAACGGATTATCAACCCTTCTGGCCCAGAGTGAGTACAAAGGGTTTTTAGCTGCTCGAGTGTGAACAAGAAAGTGTTGCTGGTGTTTTGCTTTCCAGCTGAACAGTCAATACGGCCTTTTTGTTACTCTCAACAAATCAGATAAAAACAAGAGTATAAACTTATTAGTGTTGCTGTCATCAGATGCATAAAAACACCTCACATATATATTTAGCTTTTAAAGGATTTTCTAAAACAGCTGAGCTCTGGACTTTTCTCCCAAATGTAACACAACCAGAAGTACATAGTGCCTTTGTTGGGTACTATTTGCAGCACTGTATCGATACACATTTTTTTGCTCCAGCGAGTATTTACGGCTCGCTGTACGTAGGATTTACTCGACATATAGAACAGTGCTCATGTTTATTGTATTGAAGGAACATTCAGGAGTGCAACAGTGTGGCTCATTTATGTGTTTTTAACAAATAAATGGAATAATTTAAATTAGGCTTCAAAAACACCATCATCATTAGTCATGGGCTTTGTTGACAATAACAAAATATAAAACATCATCAAACCTATTTATTAATAAAAGCTGTGATTTTCTAAGTTTAATACACTGGGAATACAAATGATGTCTTTCTTTCTTCTTCTCTTTCTTCAGGGATAAACAAGATCTCTCCCGAATGTTGGGTTAAAAAACACAACATGAAAAAAGATTAATCTTCCACTGTATTATTTAGCTCTGCTTAATGCAAACACATTTTAATAATATATAAATGTAACATATTTTACATTTTTGTGACAGTTTATTCATCAACATTATTTGTATTGTCACATATAATACAGTGCTTTGAATCATTTTTGCACTTTTGAATGTCAAATGTGAAGTTTGTGTGTTAATGTTTGTATCTACACAGGATGAATAAGCGCATCTTCTATTTTTAGACTAATTACAGAAATTTAAAAACTTTCTTTGAATGTAATTAATTGAGCCTGCCTCGTCTTTATAAACAGAACTGCTTACGATATATTATCCAATAAAGAGCCGGAAGCAACAGTTTGTCCCCATGTGCGTCACCTATTGTGTTACCTATTGTGTAATTATCTACAAAAGACCCCTCGGCCCCTCCTGTAATGTTTTAGACGAGATTTTCTGGCACCGGCTCTTAATCCCTCGACCGTGTTTATGTTTACCTGCCAACGTGTCAGCAGTCCTGAAGAGGCACATGGGGGGGACTTTTTGGAAGGCTCTTGTATACATGCTTTTGTTAAAAACAATGTGCCATCACTTTACTGTGGAGAACACGGATATCCATTTTCTAAATAAAATCCTAATACATCTCTCACAAAGAAAACAGAAGGATGGAGCTCGTCTTAACCTTTCCCAAAAGATGTGAATCGCCAAAAGCTGACAGATTTTAAATGTAATCTTTGCTGGGTTTATAAAAAAATACAGATACAGTATTAATATAGAAAAATATAACAGGGTTGATTGTGTGCATAAGTAAATAACCCATATTTTAACATTTGTGAGGTATGGATTCAACACCACCATGGAGGAGGGAAACCGAGCATCATGAGAACAGACAAACATCCTGTTCGTTGCACTGTGGAAGGATGGGAACGTTCTTTTAATTCAAGAACCGAGAGTGTATTGTGTTTGGCGCCAATTAATAAAAACAGCACTTAGACTTAGAGCTCCTTCCTGTCTAAAGGATATCCTTTGTTTAACGGCAAGTGTTTTTCCACGTTTGGGATGGGCAGAGGAGCTGTGAGGATGTCAAAGGTTAACTGGTTGGATACTTCTGCGAATCAGACCGACTGAGACACAGGAAGTGTTAAAACCTCAAGAATGGAAAATCATCATGATGATGCTGGCCAATGTGTTTCCTGTCATTTCAGTGCATTATCCTGCCCACTCTTGACATTTCTTCATTTCCTGTACACAAAGGATGCGATTGACCAATGTTTTTACTGACACAGTTGGCAATGATTGCTAATACATAATTATTCATTTACCTTGTATACAATAAACTACTAAATTACAAACAGACAACTCTGTTCATTCATATGACTAACATTAACAAGGTTTAAAAATCAACAATTGAAATTGAAATTTTACTAGCTGTTTTAAGAATTCAACACCCCCCTGTTGTTAATTTTATTCTTATATTTTATAACAACGTCAATGTCACATGTCACAGTTACTCAGCCACCAAATATATTACACTGTGTCTACAACACATAATATCAACCTAAAATAAGGGAGGAAACGTGTATATAAGCAGCCAGTTGTAAATTAGCCAGTACTTAAGAATTCCTGACTTAAAATGCGAAGGTTATGACCCTAATAAAAAGTGTTTAATATGGAAATGTAAAATGAAAACTCGTACTGAGTTAAGTACCCCGTGAGATGACTCTCAATGCAGATACAACGATGAAGAACAGAGACACCTCCCTTTTATTGAAGCTGGCAGTTGAACCAAATCATACAATATCTAATATTTGATATACATAACAAAAAAAAACTCTCAATCTCTCCTTGTATGCCTCCTTGTCTTTATAATAGGTAATTATTCAGGCCACATTTACCGATAGGACCAGGATTGTCCACATCATCAGTCTCAGGCTCAATGACAGATCTTAAACTCATTAGCAGCTGTGCTTTAAGGATCTTGACACTTTGTGCATTGTGGACAACTGTTACCCAAGACCTGTGTCCATTGTGTCGCAGCCCAGCCACCTCTGTCCGTCCCCTGAGGCAGGAAAGCAAAAGGGTACTTATGATTACGTCCCCCTTCCTCACCTGGGCTTGCAGAACTGCAAACTTGTTTGTCTGTTGCTGCTAATGTTTCCACTTTGCTGTGACTTTTAATTGCATTTCCGATCTGCCGGGCCTCTCTCAAGTCCCACGGCTGCCAAGGCTGGAAAAGACATTAAGTGGGCAAAAAAATCATTTGTCGCGCAGATACTCAAGTGTAGAGGAAGGAGGGTGGTAAGTACAAAATGTTACAGAGCACTGATGTCCTTTTGTGTTGAAGTTCCTCAGCACAACCCTGACAATCACCTTGACCTCTGTCTGCAGAGTTCTATTGCCTAAAGAGAATGTGTGTTTAATCTAGTTTGTGTTTTAAAGGCAAATTGTGCAGTCCTGAGTTTACACATAGACAATGTCACGTGTTCAGTTAGAGCTGTTATACAGCAAATGTTTTTAGAAAAAGAATAGTTGTGAAAATATCTGGGTCACTTGTAAAAGATAAAGTGCACAAGGAAATTCTGTGGAAAAGTTAATTACAACCCTTGAGGTACATTTTCACAATCCATGAGTTTAGAATTCTGTGCAAATGTTGGGTGGAAGCTAAATCACGCTATTGAGAAAAATGTTTGTTTCTTAAATCTGTTCATCTTCAATTCTGGGCTAGACGTTGGCTGAATTCAGCCTTTGACCAGATTCAACTCCATGGCAACAGCAGCTTCGCTCATGGTTATTTAAAGCTACTCGCCAACGCTGTCTCAGAGATAACGTTCAAATAAATTAAACTGGTGTTCCCACTTCAAACCTCAGGTCATTGGCTCATTGTATTACCACACAGTACAACTGACAGGAATGTTAATAGCGTAAAGAAAAAAGTGAGGATCATACAAATATATCACCTGAAAAACAAATTTGTGACCAATGTAAGACCTAAAACCAGATGCTAAAGAAGAACTCCAACACGTCTTGTGTTGTTATTCCCTTGTCTGTCTGTTTAACTGGCCTTGTACCAAGGTTACACTAAACAAAGTTGGAACAAGAGGCTTTACACAGGAACAAATGATTTTTTTTCCCCCAAAGCCTCAGTTGTTGTCCACATTGTGGATGTCATGAGCTGAGCTGCTTTAAGCCGGCACCAGCAACAATAGTGTCCCGTTTATCTATATATCATAGATTATCCATCACATCGTGAGCCTTACTGGTGATACACTGCCGGCAGGGATATCGGGAGGATTACAGATCATCTAGTCTGCTTTAAAAATAGAGCCATGGAGCTAAAGCCACTGCAGTTATTTCGGTTCAATCCCTCCCACCCGTTGAGGGACATCGTTCGTTATTCATTGCATAATGTGTGTTTAAACACATGCGTTGGCGTGAGGGGACGGGAGAATCCTACTCCATCTCTAATCCAGTGATAATAAACTCAATAAATAAGACTTTACTTTGCTGAAGATCGAAGAATAGTATGTTTCTTGTTAACAAATTGTTCAGCAGTAATACGTCTTCTTTTTATATAGTAAAACAGAGGTGGAACACTCCAAAAGCATTTATCAAGAAAGTGATGATTTCTTAAGTTCCTCGGGATCAAACTCTGAAAACATGTTTTAACACAAAGGCCTGTTGCCTCTGAGAGATCAAGTCATCTGACAAAATTAAGTGGTATGCTCTTTCAATTGTCCATTCATCCATTATTTTCGGGACTACACGAGACATTTATAGAGCCTTTTCTGACTTTTTGGTGTCTTCATTCTGATTCAGATATTTTTCTTTTGTGTAATTTTATTGACTTGTTTTTTTTTCTTTTTTGCTTCTCTGCAATTAATGCTGGAATATTGAAAACATCCATCAATTTTGGTTACTAAATATGTTTGCATTACAATAATGCTTCTGAAGCAAAATCACAGATTGTTGATCGTTGATCTTGACTTTTTTAGGGGAAAATCTTTGCTGATTTGAGTCAAGGCTGTCATATGCTGTAAATGCTGTAAAGTCATCGCAGACTGAGATTTGTAATATTGTGGCATCAAGACGGGAGACATTAGTTTTCACCTTAAAGATCACATCTCATGTTGGAATAGACATAATAGTGTTAAAGTGTTTTGATTATAATAAGACCAATAAGGTCTTATAATAAGACTCTCGGTCTTCCCCGATAGCTTCAAACAATCTGTTTCCTCCATCTACTGTCCAAAGAACAGTATTGTCATAGTGATATTGGAGGAAAAATGAATGCCTCATTATTGTGTGATTGAGTTTCCTTGTTCTACTTTGTTTTACTAGTCTAAATTATTTGGTAATTTACAAAGCATGAAGTAAATGTCCACCTCATTATTATATAGATAAGGTGAATTTATTGCAAACCACATCCGAACTTAGAAGAAGAGGCTTTGGAAGGTGGATTATTGTTGTGTTTCCACGCTTGATCAAATAGTATATTACCTGCAACATGTCATTTAACATTTTTTGAGATCTTGTTCATGTCCTGACATGACAGGCAGACAGACGTGCCTCTGAGAAATGTCTCCAACAAAGGGTGTGAATGCATAATTGATCCAATGAAATCTAATTAGTGTCGGGAAAAACTTTTTCTATTAATCGTTGGAAAATAAGATGCAAGAACCACACTGTAAAATAACACCATATAGTTTAATAATTATGCTCTGATTAAACTCTCCAAGCTGTTTACCTTTCAAAGTGTAAATAAGAATCAGCTGTGGAGAAAAACTTGCTGACATAGCATGTGTAAGGATATATTTATTTATATATCATATCATCAACTATTTATAGATATGTCTTGAGTTCTGACTAAAACAGAAAATGAAAATTTTACAGAAGTAACCTCTTATTAGAAACTGAAGAATTCTTACAAAGGCCACAAGAATTGGACTGTTCCATTTCCCCTCTTTAGAGGGGTATGTTCCGTCTCCTCTGTAGTTCTTGGAGGCTACACAGGAGATGTTGTTTTTTCTGCATTACAGTATTTAAGATCCATTAAACATTATAAGAACATTAAGTGCCATATTGCTGCGGTGTATGTGCAGTATTCACCCTTGTTTTGGTGATTCTTGTTCAGCTGAATTGATGTTACTGCTGGACACGCTCACGTGTTCACTGTGTTAGTTTCCACTGTGCATTGTGGTGCTGATCTTTAGTCAGGTACTAAGTCTCGGTATCTTACCTGTGAAGTGTATAAAGTTATCTAATGTTTAATGGATTGATATGACAGTCAATTGCTTCCAGCTTCTATTCTCTGTACTGATGATCTGTGAAGGTAGCTAACACATAGTGGCCTCATGGTTCCACCTTGTGGCCGTGCTACGCATTGCAGTGCATGCCATGTCGTCTTTGCAGTGATTGGGTTAAATTGTATTTTTACAATTTGTTTGACGATTCTCTTCTGATTACTGAAGTCACGCACTACACCAATTCATAATATTTAAATGTATCTTTGTATATTCTGTCAAGCCAAAATCCACAATAAAATTTTCGCTGGACTATTTGTGATTTCAATCATCTTCCAGAACAACAACCTCTCTTTTATCTTTGTCTGTGTGAGATACATTCAAGGATGGCTGCAAACCAGGAGCCTAAAAATAGTTATTTTTGGTTTGTTAAAGAACTGCCACCTTTGGGCTGTATAATCAATGGTTTTTATTTGAATTCCAAAATTGAGACACGGACGAGGAGATTGATTGAAGCTAATCAGCTTAGGTGTGGAAAACTGCTCACAGTTAGCATTGTACTGTTGGAACATAGTCCGCTTCTCAGCACCTTTTAGTTGTCTTTTTTTTTTCATTGGCATGCCATTTGGACAGCCATACTATTAGCAATTTCATCCTATTTGTATTTTTTGGATAAACTAATCTGAGGTCTGTCAAAAGCGTTTATATCATTTTGATATAATAGATATGACGGTGTTGCGCTTGGTATGCCTGTGCTGCTTTGATATGGCGGGCACAGGTGATAACGCTGCCCTGTCCGCCCCCTCAGGTAACACTGTTAACAGTAAATACATATTCTGTCGTTTGCGCGGTGAGCCGGCGGATTCCGGTGGACATGTTGAGAGCCGTTAAGAAGCCATCAAAATATTCCCATCTGGGATTTTGCACCTTTAAATAGTAATTTATCATTTTTGGGCGGGATATGCATTAGTGTGTGTGTGTGTGTGTGTGTGTGTGTGTGTGTGTGTGTGTGTGTGTGTGTGTGTGCATAGGACATTGTAAAAAACCAAACCTTAGTGACAGATGTATCTGCATGAGGGTGCATTTAAACCACCGGAAGCTCTGCACAGTTTGTGCACGTATGGGATTATTTTTACAGACCTGTAGCAGCCGCGAGGTGTTTCCCTCGACTATGTCGTCACGACTAACGTGCGCGTTGATGCAACGATCATGTTGTCCCTCCTCCTACCAGATAAGAGTAGAGTTCCCCCTCGCATGCAACGTCCATGCAATAAAAACGGGAGTCCTCCGTGCAGTGCGTGTTTTCCAGCCCCTACCCCACCCGGAGCATTCGTGCATCACGATGCAAGCGGGGGCCACCGAAGCACCTGATACAGACGCTGCTGAAAACAGTAGCGCAGCAGACATCGACGACGGCAGCGGGACAGGGGAGAGGATGGAGAGGACGGTGCCGCCGCCAAGCGACCAGCAGGACCGGACCAGCAGCCAGCAGCAGCAGCAGCAGCAGCAGCAGCAGCACACGTCCCTGTCGCCATCCGGAGTGCTCGGTGAGTCCCAAAGAGAAACGGCTGTAAGAAAAGCGGTGTCCTGCGGGCGTGCAGCGGAGACGCGAGGTAGATGTTCATTTATGGGCTCTTTTTTTTTTTTTTTGCACGAAAAAAAAGCGAGAATGTCTGAAAGACATCCGGCTGCTGTGCATCGACGATACGGTGCAGCCGCTGGTGCTTCATAGACTTCACCGAAAGGCTCCCCGGAGACTTAAGTGAATGCTCTGTGAGTGGGTTTTGATGTCGGTGCGTCTTTCTTTTTCCCGCTATACGTAGTGCGCATTTGGATTTCGACAGGCCCAGGAGGCTGAGGGCTCCAGGAGCCCACAGGTGCATGCAGTGGCCATATGCCTCGGAGCTCTGGGTCCCGACGGGCTGTGCCAGACTTTGACGAAGAGTAAAGATTGTGTTGCAGGCTCACGTCTCAGGGTCCGTTTCGTCTCTGTGCTGCAGACAGAGAGATGTTTCAGAGATGAGTAAGCAGAATATGGCTTTGTGATTCATTCTGAAATTGCAGTGTGATGATTATTAAGCACCGCTGAAGATGTGATATTGAGGCTCATCGGGTATTTATGTTATATGAGCTTTGAGATTACCCAGGGCCTTATTTGGGGTCCCCTGAAATCTTGAGTTTTATGTCCACTATATCTGGCAAGAGTAGAAACTGAAGCCCCCAATCTGGACTTTTAACTTTTACATTCGAGCAACGTCACTGCAGTTGTTGCCCTAGATTTAGTTTTTCACTTCAAGCCAACAAATGCTACCTTTTGAGGGGAAATCTCAACCTAATTTATATGGCTAAGGAAATGTGGTAAAGATGAAAATACACTTTCCTGCCATCTCTTACTTCTGTATAAACAATTTTACCACTCGAGAGAATTAATTATTATGTTGTAAATGATGACATTATTGTGGCATAAGGACTGCTTGCATTCTGGTAAAGGCACAAACCCGGTCACCCTGATGCACAATCGTTGACTCTGGATTATGGATTATGTAGGGAAACAGAAATGTTAAAAACGTGGAAATTGTTAGTGCAAAGTTATTATGAGGAGCCTCCTATCTTCCCACATGGTAAAACCAGTGTAGTTCTGCCAACTGTGAGACATGAAGTGGGATGTACTATGTGGGTGGGCATGACCTGTATCAAGAACAACATTTTAACTCTACTACACTACTTTGACAACAGTAATCTTATTTTTTGTATAAATCCATGTATTCACTTCCTTTATCATGTTAGCTTACTTGATATCTTTTTTTTCCAAATATTGCAAGATGAATAGTTAGTGAGGCTGGGCTACTGTTCAGTTCATAGGCTTCTATTGCAAGTTCAGATATGAGTTAAATTAGCTGGTCAAAAGATTAATAAAATTGATAATTTGATCAATATAATTTATCCTCAGTCTCAATTGAGTGACGTTAAAGTGAATTGAAAAAAGCAATTATGTGCCTGTCAATATCCACAATTAGTATTTATTGCTAACCTCATTATTGGCTAATTATAAATTGAGCTGTATCATTAAACACAATTTGTTAATTAATGATTATATTTAAAAAGAAAATCCTACGCTATTAAATTAGTAGATGATAAGCCAAAGCGAATACATTTAAGAGTTAGACCGTATTTTTCTAGTTCTTCGTGAGTTGGCATGCTGGCCTGAAGAAGAATAAAACCACAGAGAGAGGACGGCCGCCCCGATGGCTGGATGAGACATGCTGAAAGTACGTGATGTGAAGTCTTCATCGCAGACACGCACTGAGAGAGCCTCCCTCAGTGAACAATAAAGAGATCGGTCAGTCACTGAGTCTTTTTTGTTCCTGCGTGAGACGCAGAGTATGGCTCGAGAGTGTCATTTTAACACAAGAACCAACGTGTGAAAGACAAAGAAGCAGTAAAATGTGGACTTGGGAGCGTTCGCCGTGCTGTGGGAAAGGACCGCCCGCTTATGTGATGTTTAGAGACATAGTCTTGATAAGCCAGTAGGTTCATGGCTGTTTGCGCACCACTCAGTTTACAGGTCATCTATTTGTTTAGAGCATTTTCTAGAAGTCTTATGACTACTGAAGCACGGTCAACTTTTAAGTGGGTTGGACAATTGCTTTTGACATTCCCGTCCTTCTTTGTTACACCGTAAAGTCTCCATGACAGAGCGAAACATTGGGAAATATGGGAAGGAAGTAACGTCCGTGATGAGTGCCAGAGCGATTGTAATGACCTGACATCTGTGTCCTAAATCACCCCCATGAAAAATATCCCCATCTGTCTGTCCCTGTTTCTCCCCGACACATTAACATTCTATCCTTAATTCTCTGTAATGATTTTAGACTTTATTAACTCCTGCTGCTCTGTTCCTTTTCAGATAAACTCTTTGGGAAGCGCTTCCTGCAGGCCAGACATTACATTATGTCTCGTAAATCCTGGCTTAAGATGGTGCCCACTGAAAACTGTGATATCCTAATGACTTTCCCAGGTACAGTAAACTCAGCCTCCCGGTTTAATCCCTCACTGTAGAGAGAACAGTGCGTTGTCATTAAATGTTTTTGCTGGTCAGCCAGCCACTCAGACGAATGACTAGGACTTCAAACGGTCTCCAGGGATTAGATGGCACCCATTTATTATGCATATTTCTATAGAGCGGCTGCAGGAAGCTGCAGTTGGGGAAACAAAATGAGCCTTCAAACTATCTTTACAAGTTGAATCAGAAAAAAATCCACCTGTGCACGTTTGCTTGTGTGTTGCTCAGAGGCAGTCCGTTAGGAAAGGAACTGACATTTTAGTGATTGAACACCAACCCACAGCTTCCTGTGGCAGGGTGGTGAGAGCGGCCTCATGTCACCGTCTTTATGCAGCGGCAAACCCGTCATTGCCTGCCTCTGGCAGACGTGCTTGCAAACCTGCCAATTAAGCAAAATCACACAAACAGTTGTCTAAAGAAGAGATTTATTTTGATGGTTACATGTCAAACTCGGGATAAAACAAAAGTTTCCCCCTCCAGACTCGATCGATGACCACACTCTGCTGTGGCTGCTGAACCAGATCCGTGTTGGAATCCCGCAAGTCAGCATTCAGCTCCGGCAGCACAAACACACCCAGGCACACGCCTTCTTCATCACGACCACGTTCGAGAAGTAAGACTCTCAGGCTCAAAAGTTGAGTGAGACATTTTAGTTCTCACTTCCAAGCGGCTGATGAGTCCCGTTGCCTGATTTTAGGATTAATTCCTTCAGTTAGTTATTGGCCACGTTGTATTTAACTGCATATGCATGTTCTATGCGTAGCCTCAGTGCACTTAATCCGTCAAACATCTGCACTCCTCGTCCTCAGCTTACTGCGGGGAGCAGAGCAGATGGGCATGCACAAGGCCGTCAAACCGCAGTTTGGTGGCGGGATGCGGCGCTTTTCCTGCGAGGAAGACAACATCTACGAAAACATAGAGAGCGAGCTCTGCTTTTTTACCTCACAGGTTAGAGGTCAAAAGTGGGAACTTTGTGAGCTGAATGTTGAGGTCTTTTTCAATGATGAGAAATAAAAACAATAGAGATTATCTTTGTCTGTCTTTATTCCAGGAATTAAAAATGATATTCTGTCCTCACAACTGTTTTGTTTTCAGGAGCGTCAGGGGATTATAAAGTATTGGCTGGACAACCTGCGTGCCAAACAGGGGGAGGTGCTTCACAACATTCACTTCCTGGAGGGACAGCCAATCAGTAGGCATTCGCCACGATTCACGATGTGCTGTTTGTCTTCCTCACCCGGATAGCATCAGTACTCTGTGCTTTGGGTTGTATATGGAAAGTTCTGAACGAATGTCACCTCGGATAACCATGTGAAAGTTTCACAGAGTTTTCTCTTTAGTTCCGGAGCTGGAAGCTCGTGGGGTGATCCATCAAATGTTTCCTCTCCATGAGCAGAGGATCCTCAACCAGCTGATGACATCTTGGGTCCAGGCTGTGTGTGAAAGGCAGCCACTGGGTGGGAAATATCAACATTTTATTCTGAAGAAATATAATGTACATTCTTTAATACTGGAAAAAAAAAGTTATAGCTTGTTGTCAAATATTCCTTTTCTCAGAGTGTCAATATTGGCTGTTAACAATTCAATTTGCTTTGCAGATGATATCTGTGACTACTTCGGAGTGAAGATCGGCATGTATTTTGCCTGGCTGGGTTTCTACACGAACTCCATGCTTTACCCTGCTGTCATTGGCTTTCTGCTCTGGATACTGGCAGAAGCTGACCAGGTACTTCAAACCTCTTCGGTGTTAAAATATATATTTTTTTAATGCACATTCTGAAAAGCACCCATTAACTATCACAATATATCACACAATCGCATGTTATCTGCATTTGAAGCCAGGCATGTCAACATCTTCCTGAGATGTTCTCTGTTATCTGCTGTGGGTTCTCAAACATTCTGCATCACTTCCTTTGTGTGCTTTGAAATTATAAGAAGAGGTTTTAGAACAAATTGAAACAACACAAAAGAACGGGATGACACTAGCTTTGCATAGCTGAAAGCCGCCTGGCACAATCAAACTCTCACATGTTACTACACAAGTGTCTTTTAACGCTGCCGTGCTCGCTCACAGACCAGCCAGGACATCTGCTGCGTGGTCTTTGCCCTCTTCAACGTGGTGTGGGCAACGCTGTTTCTGGAGCGCTGGAAGAGGCGAGAGGCGGAGCTGGCCTACAGGTGGGGCACCCTGGACACCCCCGCCGAGTCTTTGGAGGAGCCCAGGCCGCAGTTCAGGGTGAGGATTGTGGTTGAGGTTTGAGCAGCTGCTGCTCTTTTGTTGTGTTGTATCCACTTCCTGCTCACTTGCCAACAGAGCCGGAGACTTCACAACAGTTGACCCCGTTAACAAATGCAAATCCTTTCACTTCAAATCCACATACCCAGAAAGGTCTTTGTGAAGTCGTGACCGTACATGAAGGTAATTCATGTACATTCATGTAATTATATCGTGGGGTATGAGGAGTGCGTCCTCATACCCCACGATATAATTACATGAATGAAGGAAGAAAGGAAGGAAGTTTTGCACCCAAATCCTTTTTGTTAATTTATTCTGAACTAAAAGCAGCACTTTTAATAAAAGTTATAAAGACAGAAACAATTTGGATTAAGGAAACATTTTTTGCATATATAATTTGCATTTTCAATAATCCAGCACAAAACTACAAAAATAGAAGTGGTGCGACCTGGCTAGCGAGCCGTTACGATGGGGGACATTTTGGACAAACATTTCCAATTTATTTTCCAGCGGAGATTATTGCTTTAACTGCTTGCCTCTGCCGTCTCTGCAGGGAGTGAAGCGCTGCAGTCCCGTAACGGGCTGTGAGGAGTTCTACTATCCGCCCTGGAAGAGAGCTCTGTTCAGATGGCTGGTCAGCCTGCCCATCTGCCTCCTCTGCCTCTGCTTTGTCTTCCTGGCTATGCTGCTCTGCCTGGAACTGCAGGTTTAAACGGATAACACGGACACCGAGTTCAAAGACAATAAATGGGGACGATATTCTATGAATTTTTACGCTGTATGCTTAAAATTTATAATAACATAACTGCCTAGGACAGTGGGAATCATATCATTATTACAAACAGGTTACATAAAGCAAGATCCAAAAAGTAATATATCTCAGGAGTAAATACAAATGAGTAGGACGTATTAGACATTTATCACTCTTCTAATGCAGGAGGTGGTGATGGAGATTCAGGAGCTACCTGGTATCACGCGATTCATTCCTAAGATACTCCTGGCTGTGACTGTGACCATATGTGATGAAGTGTATAAGAAGATTGCCTACTGGCTTAATGACATGGGTAAGAGAATCGAAATGAACTCTCCGGGCACAATGCTGAAAATAGTATCTCTGTGATGTGTTGTAAAAATGAGACATTTATCCATAATTGCATGTTTTAGGCTTTAATGAGAACTGATGTAGGAGGTTTGTGGCCATGAGGTTCCTGTCTTTTAAGTCAGATCAGCTAAGATCTAATAAGAGCTTTTCTACATTGACAAGTGCTTCTCTTTTGTCTCTCCATCCAGAGAACTATAGACTTCAGAGTGCCTATGAGAATAATCTCATCATCAAGATGGTTTTCGTAAGCAATGCATTCTTCTCTGTTTGTGCCAGAAAATAGACCATTAATCTTTACTGTTTTTTTGATGTTGCTTAACGTTTTCTGCTTGTGTTACAGTTTGAATTCATCAATTCTTACCTTAGCCTTTTCTACATCGCATTCTACCTCAAGGACATGGAGCGGCTTAAGGAGGTAACAACATCTGTAGACAGTATCACAAACATTGAGGCAAAATACTGGTCACTTTAAGTGGCCACTGACAAATAAGCCCCCTTAGTTAAAGTTGCTGTGTCGGCCTGTCAAGGTTTTCAACTTCTCAAATTCTTTGTCATTTTGAAACAGTCGTTGACTTCAGAGACAGACGAAGCCGGCTTCTGAATTTCAATTTGAATGAAACTAAATTGTTAGTTGCTTAATATTACCGGCGGACTAGTTTCAAAACAACAATCCTGTAAAAAGCGGCCTTAAACACACACTTTATAGCTACACACATGATACCGTGAGACTGAGGCTGGTTTTGCATCTGTTGGGCGAAAGGTCTGTATCCTAAACAATTGTAGTCGATTGTGGTGAAAATTTGTGCAGATCAACAAATTTTTCAATGATTCCTGCAGACAACATTAAATTAAAGAGAATGTATTGATCATCAGTACAGTGTAGAGTGGTTATTGGTGACAAAAAATACAGCTACTGCAGGAGGAACAGTGAGCTCGTTAGCCGCTTCAAAACGACCTGTTTGCTTGCTAAACGTTGGCAGTACAGTAACAGAGCACGTCCTACTCCTCACAGATGCTAGCCACGCTGCTGATCTTCCGCCAGTTCCTGCAGAACATCAAAGAGGTCCTGCAGCCGTATCTCTACGAGCAGAACAAGCTGGGCGTCCTAACGCCCAAAGTGCTGTGGGAGCTACTCCAAACCATCGTCCTCAAGTACGGCCGTCTGGCCCTGGGGAAAGCCCAAGCCTCAATGACCGCCTATTCCTTCCTGGGTCCCAGGGGGATCCCCGTCTGTCACACTGCTAACGGTGACCCGGAGCCCAAGAGGAGAGGAGACCTGAAAGCCGGATTCAGGCTGACCGAAGAAGAGTGGGATATGAATGACGGTAATCTAAAGCAGCGTAAGGTCAGCTTCACGGAGAAAGTCGACTACCAGGATGTCGCCGCAGAAATGCAGGCAGTGGACCGCAGTTCCCTGGAGGACAGTCCCACCATGGTGGAGGAAGGGATGGATCCGTCCAGTATGTTTGACAGCTGCGATGAGGACAGCGATTGTGAATTGTTGGCTCAAGTATGTGATCTGGTTTTTTTCTTTTTAGCCGCGTCCTTTGGCATCTATGTTTACTCTCCATCTCAATCAGTGATTTTGTCTAAACCGTTTGAGAAATTAAGAAAAGCACAAGTTAAATGGTCACATGTAGTTTTACAAACTAAGTTACATCATGTCCGCTGTGATTGATGTCATACATCCAGGAAGTCCACTGAGAGATGAAATTAAACTGAGTTTAAAGGCTCCAGAATTTAAGGTCAACAGTATCGTAGACCAAGCACTATGTCTCTGTGTCCTCTTCAAAGGAATCTGACTCTCTCTGTCAAAGAAGGAACGTTGGTGAAAGGAAGGAGACTAAGAAGTCATGGATTGATCCACCAGAAGAACCCAAAACCGTCAATCTGACCCAGGCTGAAATTGAGACCTGTATGCAGACGTATGAGGTAGGACTCTATGAGGCAAACAAATTCAAATTGAACTTTTTACAATCCATTTAGCATCATCTATATTCAACGTCCACTGAAATAACAACATGTTCTCATGATATACTGTACAGGACACCCTTCAAGACTACCAGGAAATGTTTATCCAGTTCGGCTACGTGGTGCTCTTCTCCTCTGCGTTTCCGCTGGCGGCCATGTGTGCTCTCGTCAACAACATCATCGAGATCCGCAGCGACGCCCTGAAGCTCTGCACCGGCCTTCAGAGACCTTTTGGGCAGAGGGTGGAGAACATCGGCCAGTGGCAGGTCAGCGTGTGTCGCTCCATCGCAGGAGTCCTGCAGCCTGCGTTGTACATTGTAGAGGTAGCTGGTAGCTTTAGCAATCTCTCTCTCCCCCCCGCTCCCTTTTCTCTCAACAACAGACTGCAATGGAGGCCATGGGCTTAATAGCTATTATAGTTAACTGTTACCTGATTGGCCAGTGTGGGCAGCTACAGCGTCTGTTCCCCTGGCTGAGTCCTGAGATGACCATCATCTCCATCGTCTTACTGGAGGTATGCACCGCACCGTGTACGGGGAACGCAGTTTTTTTTCTATGATTTAAGAGAAGACTTGAGTCCCCAAACTGCATGTTTTTTTTAATATTCCAAAAGGAGTACAAATATGCATGGCCTGATTGTTTTCGTTGTGACTTTGAACCTTCAAAGTATATTTTTTGATCCAGATGTATTAATGAACCAAAAGGTTTTGGTATATGCATATTTTTGGTCTGTAAAATAATATATATTATATATATAAGAATATATATATAAGAATATCTCGATGTTACTATGTGTTGAGCCTGTCCTTTTGTGGTCTCGGTGGTTTACAGCACTTTGCAATCCTCCTAAAGTACATCATCCATGTGGCCATCCCTGATATCCCTGGCTGGGTAGCAGAGGAGATGGCCAAGCTAGAGTACCGACGAAGGGAAGCTTTCAAGGTATAGTTGTGTCATAGCTTGAAAGACCTTCAGGCAACTTCAGGCTTGCGTACGTACCCCTTTGTTACTCCGGGGCTCATGGTGTGCATTGTCCAAATATGTACACAAGTGCAGCTCTTTTCTGACTCCATAAGAATGATTTATTTGTTTGACGATGTTTGTCTGTACAGTGTTGTATAAGTGTCATGATGGTGTCTCAGATCATTCTTTTTCAAGGTAGAAAAGCACATTTACACTTTGGAAACATGGAAACTTTGTCGCCCGGGTGAAATAAGAGTTAACGCTGATCTGAAGAAAGTTGCTACTGCTGGCAATACTAGCACACGTGACTTATTCTTAGTTATATTCATTATGCAGTCGTCTCCTCTCCGTCCTTTGGCCCTTCACTCTCTGTGTCTTTCTTCCTGTGGCTTTCTCTCTCCCATTCCGGGACTTTATTTTCAAAACGCCTCCCCGTTTAGAAGCACGAGCAGCAGGCCCAGCAGCACTTCCAGCAGCAGCTCAGACGCAGACGTGAAGAGGAGGAGCTCCAGCGACAGGCCGAGCTGCAGGCCGAGGCCCGCCAGGAGAGCGAGCACAGGGCAGACGCCCAGCACCAGCACCACCACGACAAAGCACAGGGGGGCAAGCCCAAGAGACCGAGCTCTCTGCTGGGGAACAACAACGTCATGAAGCTGAAGCAGATCATCCCTCTCCAGGGAAAGTTCTCCTCCGGCAACTCGCGCTCACCGGCGCAGTCGCCAACGGGAGGCGAGGCGAAGCTGCCGGGGTTTCTGAAGTTCCTAAAGTCACCCGAGGGGAGAAAAGAGTCGGCGGCGGCGGCAGCGGCGGCGGCTGCAGGAGCGGCCGGCTCGACGGCGGCCTCCTCCGTTCCCGCTAGTGGCCAGGAGAGATCGCAGTCCCCCAACAGGACATTCAGTCCGGGAAAGCTGTTCAGTTTCAGCAAATCGGAGGGGACGGTGGTGTGCGCCAACGGGACGCCACCGCTGCCGCAGCCTGCAGACACTCATCCCAACAGGGCGGACGTGAACACCGGCCCGGAGGAATTACCCTCAAACGAGGCAGAGAGAGGAGAATTAAGTCAATTGGCTGATTTGGAAAACTCAAACAGTTAATACATGTTTGAGCACACTGACGTGGTGTTGGGCGTTCTCTGAACAAGCGTTCAGAGAAACACCCGTACGGCAAGAAAACACAAGGAGGAAACGCACGGTCAGCAAGCGTTAAGACTTTCACTCGCGATGCAAATTACTTCACACAAAGTATTACACGGTGTTTGTTGGTTGATTATCTAGCTTCCATGTAAAATATATACAGTAACTACTTGAATGAGGCTTTAATTAAGGTTATAATACTGCATGATTGCCTAGTTTTCAACAGCAGCAGACCTGAATGTGTTGACGTGAAGGATCTTTTTCCAAAAACCAGGACTTGATCATGAATGAGCCCTTTTATCAAAGGACGTGAACAACAGCTTCCCGTACCAGGTTTGTTTCTCACTCTTAAGCCTTTATTGAATGCATGTTGCATCATGTGCATGTATTACATCTCCATCATTTCTTTTCAGTTGTGAAGCGCTTCCAAAATCATCACATTCCTTCCGCAATAGGTCAAATTATATTCACTGTGACCATTAAAAATATTCTATTTTTCTTAACTTTGATTTTCTATGAATTATTTTACTACATAAATTAGAGAATGTAATTCTATGATGCAAATAAATCCCACATGATTAAACACCCTTCAAGAGATACGCATTGGCTGACCCGGTTTATGGAGTAAATTAAAATAATCATTCTTAAATATACATTTGTTTTAAACTGCTTTTTCATATATACAAAACTGCATGTTTCTGGTTTAAACTCATAATTGTATTCGAATTACATCAGTAGCCAATTTGCACATATACTCTAAGTCTTCAAGGAGCAAAATGTAACAAGTAAAAATGTGCATTACTACTCAACTGTCCATTGCGACAGACGTTATTGAATGTGTTGCTAACCGAATGGTAAAAAAATATTAGTATTTATGATGCACAACAGTGTAAAAGTGCAAAGAAATTAGGCATAATTGACTAAACTCTGGCTTTAATCCCACCAACTTTAAGAACAAGGTGTCTTTAACAAAATACAATATTGCTATCCTGGTGAAGAAAATAATTCTGCGTGAGTCATTGTCTGATTAGCTGATAGGAGGGTGACAACAATCACAATATACATACTGTGTAAACTGTACAAATATATACGACAGAGCTGCTAACAGACTCAAGTCGTGCTGTCCAGAGCGTGTAAATCCAAACATTTCCTTTTTCACTCAAAAGAGAAACCTATGAAAGTAGACGTGAACTGCAGATATATATAAATGATTGACAACTGTTCTTACAAGCTGCCTACGCAGCAGCACAGCTACATATTAAATTTAAGCGTACATCAAGTCATCAGCTCCTCCATAAAATGTTGTGCAAAGATACACACACACAGCTTATAATGGGGTTCTCTCTCAAACTACCGAGCATCGTACTTAGAATACGGCTACACAATCTACAATTCTTACTGCACAGAAACAGTTTGCACCCTCCAACATGGCTCTATTGGCTTGAATATGTCTTTAAAGATATGCTCACTTCCATTCAACTCCATCGTGGTTCACTTCTTAACCTGAAACAACAGCGTGAACCAAGTGGGTCCCTCAAATGGACATACTACATAAGGCCATAAATCATCATGAGAAATCGAGAAGATCTCACTTACTCGTCCATAACAAATCCTGAATGCATGAATACATCTAAGCAACAAACAATGACATTAATCATAAACAATGAGCAAAGATAATATTTTATGGACCACTGTCGTTACATAATTCCAAACAAAAAACTAAGTAGTGGAAGCAACAACAGATGGCAAACCACTTGGACTTTCATCAATATGTATAAATCTTCAGAAAAGCTATGAATAAATATAGCTGTAAACCCTCCCCAAAGGAGCTACATATTTAAAAAGAAAGCTGTGGGTGATAAAGTGAAGGGATAACAGAAGGAATGAGGAATCGGGAGGTAGATGGGTTTTTTTTTTCAAAACCACAAAAGACTGAATTAAAAAGGCAGAAGTTTCTTGGAACACGAGAAAATACGGGGTAAAATTAGTAGATCAATTGCTGAAAAAGGATGTTGGTTGAAAAGGAATTATTTCATGCCGGGAGTGTCGATCCCCGTGTGCTTCAGGGCCACGGCCCGGTTGGCAAACATATATCCTTCAACTGCGTTTGCATTTTGTTTATTAGGTCAGTCTCTGCTGGGTGCGCTGCATCCGCTGCACAGCAACTCACGAATCCTCAGTCAGCTCCCGACTGTCTGTTCTGGCTATTTTGCGCGGAGGTGCCGCGTTCTCCACTTCTCCTTGTTCCTGTTCTCGCTTTTTTGCGGAATTCTGATGAAATAAAACAAAACACTGAATATTTTATGGTCTGAAGAAATAAACTCGGCACTAACTTTCTCCTAAATTACTTTAATTTAAAAAAACTACCTTTTTGTCCCATTGTTGATGAAGGTATCGCAAAAGGATGTTTGTCTTCTCCGTGACAATAACTGAGGGGAGAAAAGAAACAGTATAAAAAAGGGAGACAGAGTTTAAAAAAAGTAAAACATGAAATCAGCGGCTCTTAAAATAACAATAACCTAAACAAGTTGGATAATGACTCATCTCGGGACATGGGGATTTCCTTGATGGAAGCCTGAACTTCCAGCCTGAACCTGATGTGACTGCAGACCCCAGTGATCCAATGTGTCATCCATGTGGATAGAATGTAGGATTATGAAAGATCTGCGCACTTACTCTGCTCTGATGGATATTCCCGTGTTGGAAGGTACACAGATGGTCGACGGTTCTGAAACAATTGGTTCCACGTTGGTTAGCTTGACCTCAGACAGCATGTGACATAATCTTTTTTTTTGTACGACGCCCCTACAACATGATTTTCTCGCAGCATTTCAGGAATAAACAAAGACAACTCACCGACGCTTTACACAGAGAGTCCGCATGGAACCTGCTGAAGTTGCTTTTGTTGTAGACCGGTAGTCCTTTTAGGAAATCGGACTGTGAGCAGAAGAAAAAACGAGAATGTGAAAAGACCACTTGCGGGTTGTAAAACCCACTCACGTCACCCAAGCTGTAGCATTACGTTAAGTAACGTGTAACATGAACAGTAAATAACAAAATATTTACGGCACGTCTTGCTTGTTCGTGCTTTAGAAGCAATAGCCGGAAGCCGGAAAGAAGCAACGAGTTAAAACATGACATAAATAATGAACAGTATGAAAACAACAAGCGGTGAAACAAACGTTACCTTCTCCATTTCTGTCCGAGTCACGCTCTTATCTCGTTAGCTGAGAGGGGAAACGAGCAGCCGTGACTGAGCGAAGCGAGGTGACGTTTAGCTACTAAGCCCTGTTGTTTTGTCGCAGCTAAGATACCGCTGCGTGAAAGCCCGGCCGCTTCTTACTTCTACGAAACCTAAACTATATCCGACTTCGGTACAATCGCATGATGCCGCTTCGATCAGCCGGGGATTTCCACTGTTGTATCTGTAGTTACGCCAACAACTAAAAATGAACGTCAAGTAAATGCTAACTTGCTTTCGGTTCACTACTCCATCTTTGTTGTTTAGTCTGCTGGTGGGCGGTGACTCTCCCGGGATTTAAGGCCCCTCATTGGTTGAACGGTACTGGACGCGAGGAGAGACGGAAGAGGAAAGGCACTGATAGGCTGAGAAGGGATGACGTAACAGACCAATCCCCCAAAACGAGCTCGTGGTATTGGCATGAGCGTCTGATGAAAACACAAGTACTTTCCACAGCATGGCCTCCATCTTCATTATGTATTTATCTCTCTGCATGCTTTTGCTTCTCTCTGTTATGCGTTGAGCACATGGACCAGCAAAACAATCTAGAACAATCTAGAGCTCGATATTTGATTGTTTATATACAAGGATTGGATATGTTGACATCAATGGTATAGATTTTAAAGTGGGAAACCAATAGAATGTAAAATATTTTTGCTGGTGTGTGTTATTCTGGCCTGTAATATGAACAATGAATGCGTCCACTTCTTGTCTGATTCATAGCTGTCACAGCTATCATTTTCAACTATATTTTCAACAGAACTCCAATTCGTTCTACTTAAGCCACAAGGACCAGATGTTAGAGGTCAAAACTTTCTTCTGATAACTTTGTACACTGACTGATTATCCCAATCAGGAATTGAAGTACGTTCAAATTCTGCAGGGGAAGATTTTTGTATTGTAACTCTCTCCTGGCAGGTCTCCCTGCTGCCGCCATTCAACCTCTGCAGCTCGACTGGTCTTTAACCTTCTGAAATTCTCCCACACTACTGCACTCCTCCGCTCTCTTCACTGGCTACCCGCATCCACTTCAAAACATTGGTACCAACGTACCATCGGGTCCAGACTACTACCAGGACATGGTCAAACCCTACATCCCACCCCGCTCTGCATTTGCCAAACTGCTTGTTCTTCCCACACTGAGAGCAAAACACTCGACAAGATCACAAGTCTTTGCTGTCCAGCCTCCTAAATGGTGGAATGAGCTCTCTGAGGCCATCAGGACCACAGAGAGCCTTCACATCTTCAAGACACACCTCTTCAGACTCTACCATGACTAAAGAAAAAAAAACACAAAACAAATTGTAGCATTTAAATTGTACTTATAATGGCTGTCATCTATAGAAAGTTGTAAATCGGCTTATTTGATGAAATTGCACTTTGTAATAACTAACTTACTACTATGAAGAAATTGAGCTTGAAAGACAACATTTTTTTTCCTTATATCAAATAACTTCACACAATTAAAAATATCCATAGATTTGATTTAATAATGACATCAACAAGCTTTACAAATTCACTGGGTGAAACTAACTAGCTTTCTCTCAGTATAGTATAACCAGTGAACCCAATACACAACGTTTGCTGAGCACCCCGAGCAATGGCTGAACCAATGTCTGTTTTCTGAAGGTTTCAGGTTTTCCAACAAGGTCCATCAGTGCGAGAGTGATTTCCGTCCCTTTAACATGCGCCGCAGAACCACCTCGATGCCGGTTTGTGAGCTCATCCTCTTGATCCAGCCGTGGGTCCTCTTACGCTTGATGTTCTTGGGCTGATATTCTGTGCCCCTCTTCCTGGTCCGCACCTGCTGGTATTGCCACGGAAGCTGTTGGAACACTCCTCCACCCTCTGCTTGTGAACAAAGTGGCCCACGTCTGGAAATCTGAGGTCCTGCAGCTGCTCTGGGAACAAACCAGTTGCTGAACATTCTAAGGTGAGAGTTGCCAGTTACGGCAACGTTTCCTGCAGGAATGCTGTTGACAAATTGAAAACAAGTTTTTCATCAATGGCAGCATTGCACCAGAAATACAACATTGTAGCACACTAATGGTGCTGCTGCTAATGTGGGGACTAGTCTCATGCACAGATCCTATGCCTCAGTGTCCATTATCCACACTAGGATGTGTTTGCAGATTGAAAACTAATTTTAATTAACTTTATGTCGTTGACGCAGAATAGTGATCATGTAAAATTCTATATAAACTGTATAATCTACCACTAAGCTACAATTTAATTAGTTAATTAAGTCAGTCATCACCTAACTACATATAAGTTCCTATTGCCAGACTGACTGAGTAGCCCTGCTGCTAACGCGCTGCTAAGCTAGCTCGCTCGCGTTAGCATCGTTAATAAACATCATCGTTTTCGTACGACAAGCACGAAAATAAACAAACGAACTATGTTACCTAGTGGAATTGCGTATTCCACCCAGTCGGGAAAAGGACGCCCGTACGAGATTCATCTTTAGATATTCATACAGTTGACACAGACATTGGTGAATGTCACAGGCCTGCCAGCTCCCTGCGAATACGACGCAAGATGATTGGATCGGAGTTTTCAGCCAATTAAAAGGCTTGTTGCTGGCCTGCTGTCTTTGCCCTCCGTAACGTCTTTCAGGTCAAACTCTCGAGTTTGCAGATCGACACACAGCACGTTTCGACAGTAAAACGGTTCACTAGCCATGATAAAGATGCTTTGACAAAACGTGCCTTGACACGCTTGGTTAGATATTATAGTTTCTAAAATACGGGGGATACTAAATTAGCTATGCGTCTGAATTTATAAATAGCCTGATGGGACTCGCTCCTGCGAGGCTTTACTCAGGAATTCTTTTGGACTCTTATTTGAATTTGTTGAACTACAATCCGTTTTTTTCAGTACAGATAACATACATCTTTGAATGTAACGATTAATAATCTGTTATTGCAAGTGTGTGCATTTATCCCAAATAAGTGGACAAACAACAATTTACAATTAATGCAAGAATTAAATTCCTGTCAGTGCAGAAGTCCCAAAAACACCAGCTTCTCCAAAAAGTTAATTGTATTTTTTTGTATCGCATTCACACCGTAGATAGGATATACTCATACATGTTTGAAAGGTTATGTTTGTATGTATTGTTTCAATTCACAATAAGCATGCGTATAAGATGCATTGCATTTATGTATGACAAATATGAGATTGAAGACGATCGGTTTATCTCATTGGCTATCTGGTGTGTGAATCCGCCTATTTGTGCTTCAGCTCTTTTAATACACGCGTTACCATATATAAACACAAAGTAGTTAGGTTTAAAGTAAAGTCGTTTTTTACATCGTAAAATGATAATACAAACCGGTGTGTGCTCAAGCTCTCCGCCCCATAAACGTCACAACAACCCATAAACGTCACAACCCGGTGACAGGCACGAGCCTGTCCCACTACCCCCAATGCATGAGGTCAAGGGGAACGGAGGGAGGCACCACATCTTTATCTAAAAGGGATTCTCCCCCGTCAGTGACGCAGCAACCGCCATCGCAAATATTCCGATTTAAAGTATATTTTGATGCACCAGGTGTAGAATTTGACATGATGGATGAGACACGTGTTCCTGTATCCATGTAGATAATCAGCAGGCTTTTTTTGGTATCATTTCAATCATTCTGCCTGACCAACAGCGCGAGTGCACGCGCACGCGCACGGTGCACGATTCCCGTGTCAGCCTTGGCAACAAGGACAAACCCGTCTCCCATTGGCCGCCTCTCACTCTCTGGTTGTTTGCTATTCGCCCCCCTCGCTGCCACTCAGAAGGCAACATGCCCGAAGTCTGCTGCAGACACCAGGGCGGCGAGGCTGGTCGGAGTGCGCAGTGGATGCCGAGGGACACAAACGTCGTTTGTTATCGTTATGAGTATCTTATTTAGCTGCAGTCACCGCACTTGAATGAATGCATGCTTTGTCATCAACTGAAGCCCCCCCCCCCCCCCCCCGTGTTCTGTGATAGTGGGAATAAGGAGCTTTTGATATTTTTGCAGCATCTCTAGTGCGGACAAATTGTTGCACCAGATGCAACGTTTTCTCAGTTCAGTTTCGTCGGCCCTCGTCTTTCGGTGCAGAAGTCTAATCACCCTAAATCAGCAGTAATTCTGCAGGTAAGGAGTCCGTTTTTATTACATAATGTTAATCAATCACATAATGTTTATAGCACATATCTGCAAAGGCTGCATGCATGTATTATGTGACAGATCAACATAATAGCCTACTATACATGCAGCAATTATGCCCCTCTTTGCCATACTGCCCCTTGATTTGAAATATGCTTTTATTTGTGATACATTCATTATTGTGAATAACCCCCAAAAAATACCAATCAAATTGTTGTACCATAATACAGTACCTACTGCTGGTTTTGGCTATTTATTGGCTTCATATGTGATAATGGTCCGTCTTGTAAAATAATTATACGTATTATATGTGCAGCTATTATGTCAGAGTGCGCCACTGGCTACTGTACCGTGTGTTGTGAAAATAGAGCTGCACACTGCGTACCAAATGTGTGTAACTTTAAGACTTGGCCAACAGAGCAACCTATATTCTGCAATGCAGTCAAAATGAATCTCATGAACGAGTAACCTTCAGCTTCTATGACTTTATTGGGTTTGTTGATCTGAAAAAAATGGCATACCTGCTCCCCCTTAATTAAATTGTGTAGATGGATATCGGTCCGGAGGAGAATCCCTGATTCAGATGACGGGGCTGTTTGTCACTGCTGCTGATGTTTTTTTGTGTTAATGAGCAACTCTTTGCCAGGGTTATCCAAACTGCTAAACACGGTCAGGGGATGTCCTGCTAAATTGGTAGAATACAGACCATTAACTTTTCCTCATTGGACAGTTTTTGCTTTATCATGTACTTGTAGCTGATGTGGCTCAAATGATTATTTCATAATAAAATGTTAACATTCACTTAGTTCCAGGATGTAAATGAATAGCATTTTGAGTTCTGACCTTCAGACCGGCCTGTCACCAACAACGACACCACACGCACACACACACACACACACACACGCACAGACACCTGAACACATGAATTCCCCTGTGCTGAGATAAACCAGCTCCATGTTCCTCTCACTGTAGCGCCAAGCATTCCAAGACTGTTTGGTTATGATGAGTATGTATTCCCCCTATCAATGTGACATTATTATGTATTTAAAGGATTTATTACCCGAAAAGGCCTAGATGTTATGCATTCTTAAGACGAAACACGGGAGCCATGACATAAACTACCGGTCTTGTGCGTGAGTGGTAATGTGAAATATGCCCTGAAGCAGCAATAACAGCGTTCTGTTTCACCCGGTTTTAACCAAGATACAAGAAAGCCTCACGCGCCCACAGAGATCTTCCCACTCTGTTTCCTTGAGATAACCAGCCTGTGTGGGTTATAAAAAATTAAGACTAATGATGCTTTACTTGAAAAACTGCCAAAATGCCATTTAACTGCAGCTGGACCCGAACAGGAAAAAGTAAAAATGGTTTTCCACTCCCCTCCATTGGAAGCAGTATAACTGCCATCATGCTGTTATGACACATACAGTTCACAAGGCATACAGACATGTCTTGTGTTTTCTATATATATATCCTACTTCTGATCATGTGAAAAGAGTTATTAATAGCAAACATCTAAGTAAGCACATTCATGATCCGTCCTCCGTGACATTGAAACCGTAGTGCCAGTATTGTTTTATTGTGTCTGTTTATAAACTTGGGATGCTTGAATGCTGCTTTGTCACCCAGGTGAGTGTGTTAGTACACTGTACTTAAACTGGCTTCAGTATTTATAATTGACAAAGCAGTGTTGATTCCATTCTGACTGTGGTTATATGATATGATGAAGAAGACCGTTTCCTTCTAGCTGCGTTGCTAGGAAACAGCTTGTGTCCAATTTTGCAGGAATCATACCGGGCCTTCATTTGTTCCTGCTGAGCTGTTGACGTTTTCATACACCGCCACGGAAAATTCACAATGCAACAGCAAAAAAGCTAGACGAGGTTTCATAAACGCACACAATCTTTTATTCTTCATCTCAAGAGACTCATCTGAGTAAATAATCTGCTTCGCTGTGTCTGTGTGACGTTGTTTGTGCAGGGAAGCATCATGCTGACCAGCATCACTGAAGGTATACTGTGTTGCCTGACTGGGAAGGTTGCCGGTCTGGTCTTGTCCCTGGAGTCCACAGAACCCTCTGATGGTTTTGAGTTTGTGGAGGTGAAACCTGGCAGAGTCCTGCGAGTGCGGCACATCGTCCCTGAGCGTCAGCCTGTAGTAACCGAGGGGCAAGTTGCAGGCAACGAAAAGAAGGATGCCGAAGATGATGATGATGATGACGATGATGGCGGTGGTGGTGGTTCTGCTCATGATTGCAACGACAGCAACACCGGCAGCAGTGTCCACTGCAAGAGGAAGATCACGGTCTACCGAAACGGCCAGCTGGTGATCGAGAATCTCGGTGATGTTTTGCACTCTGAGATCTTGCAGTGTCGGGACGGGGATCTGGAGCCTTGCAGCACTGTAGAGGTGGAGCTGGCTGACTACAAAGAAATGCCCTCTTCTCCAGACCCCAAACCTGTCACACCTCCAGTTCCTCCACCTCTCGGAGAACAGAAACCGGCTCCGCCTCCTCGCCGCCGCCGCCGCAAGCCCAAGCGCACCGTGCAAATCGACTCAAAGAGGGTGATCTCAAGCTGCAAAGGGACGCACTCGGACGTAGCGCTGTTCTTCGTACACGGAGTGGGCGGTTCTCTGGATATTTGGGGCAGCCAACTGGACTTCTTCTCTCGGCTGGGCTATGAGGTCATCGCGCCCGACCTGGCGGGGCATGGAGCCAGCACTGCCCCACAGATTGCAGCAGCTTATACTTTTTATGCTCTTGCGGAGGACCTTCGTGCCATCTTTAAGAGATACGCTCGTAAGCGCAACATCCTCATTGGCCACTCGTACGGGTGAGGATTTGATGCCGGTTTTTGTCCCAAATCGTCCCCCATATTGATCTAACGAGTGGAAATAAACGTGCTGCTGTTAACATCCTATATCAATCTCATTGTATGTCTTCCAGGGTCTCATTTTGCACCTTCTTGGCACATGAATATCCAGATCTGGTCCATAAGGTGGTGATGATCAATGGAGGGGGTCCCACAGCTCTGGAGCCCAGCCTGTGTTCCATCTTCCAGCTGCCATCGTGTGTCCTTCACTGTCTCTCACCTTGTCTGGCCTGGAGCTTCCTCAAGTAAGATTTGCATTTGTATGATGACAAAATTGACACCAGAGACAATGACAAACCCCAGTAACATCCCTCATTGCTGAAAGAAATATACAGAGAAGTTAACTTCTCTCTCCTATATTTTCCTGTCCTGCAGGGCCGGATTCGCCCGTCAGGGTACCAAAGAAAAGCAGCTGTTGAAGCAGGGCAATGCCTTTAACGTGTCTCCGTTCGTCCTGCGAGCCATGATGAGTGGCCAGTACTGGCCTGAGGGGGACGAGGTCTACCATGCCGAGCTCACTGTGCCTATCCTTCTGGTCCATGGCATGTGTGACAAGTTTGTGCCCATGGATGAAGACCAGCGCATGGCAGAGGTAAAGTACATCTTCATATGGTAACGAGGGTGGAATAATCATGTGAATTGCCATATTTGCGCCGTAGTGTCACCTGTTCATTTTGAACCTGTTCATTCTGCCTTCATTTTGACTCCCCTTTTAGATCCTTCTGTTTGCGTTCCTGAAAGTCATAGAGGAGGGAAGTCACATGGTCATGATGGAGTGCCCTGACACCGTCAACACCCTCCTCCACGAGTTCTTTCTATGGGAGCCCGACATGTCCAGAAAAGACCGCATCAAGACAGCCACAGCTCTCGGTGACACTCTGCACACACTCAAAGTGAATAAGCCTGTGGAAAAATAACCAACGAGGAGTCTAGTTTTATTACACAACCAAGCAGAAGGCCTTTTGTGGCTGGTGTTCTTAGGGCTGCTACCAGGCTGAGAGCTGTTGTAAACAGGGCCTCATCTTAAGGATGCAAATGGCCACTGGTGCTGCAAGATAAAGCGGGATATAGGGAACAAGGGAACGATGGAAAACACATAAAGATGAGAAGAATGGATGCATATACAGTCGGTTTCTGCTTCGCTTTTTGATACCAGATCTGCAAAATGACCCAAAACCTGGAGGACTATGTCCATTCGTGATATGTGTTTGAAATGTATATGGCAAAGACTACTGCACGATGCAAAAAGCTAAAATCCATGAAATGGTGTGGGAATTCCTCTATTTTAAATATTCTGTAAAGTACTGCAGAGGTTCTGTTCAACCTTTACAAAATGTTTATTAACTCATCTGCTTTCGGTGGGAAACTGTCAAAATGATGTGCTGTGAAATGAGGAATTGCGGATTTGATTGCTGATTTGCCGGTACAGTGAAGGACAGCTTACAGTAAAAAGTGTTGATAATAATAATGTATTATCAAATACGGACTGGGTAAGAGAGGGTCGTGTGTTAAAATATTAGATATATACTGAAAATATCATTAATAATTTCACCACATGCATATATATATACATATATATGACTCCTTAACTGCAATCCATGGTTATGATGACCACATTCATACAAGGTGATGTCTACAAAATTGAACAAAAGTTGGTTCACCTATTCCAAAATAACATCAATATATTTTCTGTATATTGAATAATATCAAATTTAAATCTAAAAAGCTATGTGTGTCTTTGTTAAGCACAATGTTACCAATTTATCGTTTCACTGTTGCATGAAAATTAAGTCATATTTAATGAGTTTTATGTGAACTGGATGCCAAAATGTTCTCCTCTTTTATTTTGGCAGACATTTCTTCAATGTTATGTAATATCCTAAGGACACAAAGGCTGTGTTTAAGTTCGCAATATGTAAAGGAAGGAGGGTTTGGTCAGACAGCAATATATTTTCATATTGAAAAATTCCTTGTGCACTTCTCTTTAATCAAATGACTGTTCCTTTTGATGTATAAGTATTTTTTTGCTTTTATTTTGAAAAAGTAGCAACTGCCATTACAAATTGTGGTTGTGTTGATCGCTTGAAGCTGCTGGGTTTGTTGCCCTATCTATTCATTTCATGGTATCAGGCAGAAATAATGAGCTCAACATTATGCTCACTAAAAAGATTCACTGATGGGTTCTGCTGTCTCACAGTGGGACAATTAGTTTCAAGGCAAGGCAAGTTTCTTTGTACAGCACATTTCAACAACAAGGCAATCAAATGTGCAACAAAACATGGGGCAAGAGAAAAATCCATTTTAAAAAACAGGTGCAAGTAAAAGTACAGTCAGCAGCAGATATGTTTCCCGAGTACGTATTTGATGACTGGAGAGTTTATGCTGTTATGAGAAGCAGAAGATGTAGATCTAAGACTGGGATGTAGAAAGCCTAAAATCAAATATGAGTAAGCCAAAGCAGGAAGTCCCCTAAAAAGAGAGGCATTTTTACTGACCATGGTGGTCTATTATATATGCATTTTGACAGAATGCTGATGCAACATTACTGGTTTTATGCAACTGGAATAAAATAGAGAGAAATAGAATAGAAATAAACTGACTTGGCATCTTAACATTATACATTCCCTGTGGACCTTCCAAAAAACAACCCGTGCTCCTGATGCAATGTCCTGTATGTCTCTTTTTATGTAAAAGGTCGGTGTAACTGTATGGACAACAGGGTGCACATGTACTTCCTCTTATGCTAAAAGTGTGCATATACAAATGGTCAGTGCTCATGTGTGCTATATCTTTTGTGGTTAACTAAATGTGTCAATGTTATTGTTGCATTTATTTATGGACAACTTAATATATGCACTGCCTGAATGTTGATGCATATAAAGTTATATATACAATAAAGTTGAATTCAGTATGTGCATTTCCTGTCATTAAATAAAACAAATGTTCACGGTCTGCATGTGGATTTGGATTGTTTTTCTGTTCCTTCTTGCTTCTCTTTCTTCAGTGTTTGTTAGATGTAACAGCATCACGATAGTCTCAGAATTTTGTTTAAAAAGAAGTACACCCAACATTGTCCATATTAGCATTGTAAGATTATCTTTCCAGATTGTGTAATAAATAAAAGTCCTATCCTCATAGCAGTTCACCTAATTTAATCAATGCCCCCAAAATTGTTAGCCCCATTATTAAAATGTATTTTAACGCTAAATGTAATTTAAAGTATCTTTTTCTCGAATGAATTATGCTATTCAATGTTTTTAGTGGCTTTATTTTTATTTGTCAATTACCAGGACCCTAACATTTACATTAATCAATTACCTTGTTATCAGTAAGATTTTATGCGTTAGTTGAAACATAACAATCTGATTAATCGAATGTGTATAATGTTCCTCATTCCGTGGACATATTTTGGTTGGACATATCATTTTCTTAACATTGTAAAATCGCCCTCTCGTATATCGTTAAAGTGTGCAAACACAGACGATATCTTGATTACTTAAATGCATATTTACAGTACAAATCTGACCTGCCGTTATAATCCATCCAGAGACGCTCTGCGCCGGCACAGCAGGCCTCCTATTGGCGGAGCGCAATGCGTGTTGTGGTAAACAAAATCCGAGATGCGTGTGCATGCGTATACGTGGTAATGGAGGATAGTGATCTATTCACAGGGGGTTTAGATAGCAAGCGCTCCTCTTTCTCGTGTGCCGCTAACTGCTCTTTCTATTAATTACGAGATATCTACAACGCAAAGGAATACGGTCTTAGTCAACAGAGAGGTGGTGGTAAGTGTTTGCATGCTTACATCTTACATTACATGTAGTTACCTTACGGCTGGATGTTAGCTTCTTAACTCACAATGCTAATCTGAATGCTAAACTAGCCGGAACTGCTCGACGGCTAATGTCGATGCTAGCGGTCGGGTTTAGACTATTTCCTGGAATTAATATCGCAGGCGTGACAACTGTTAGTTTTATTTTTTTGCATTGTCTGTTTAGGTCAATTTAAATGCGTGTCGGATTTTGTTTGTATCCGTTGGACAGCTCCGCTTTTTGACCTAAGAGAACGCTAACGCTAGCTTATCCAAGTTTGCACATTTCAAACCACACGGATGAGCCTGCGAGTATGCAGCGCAGCAATGGTGTTTATCTTCCAGCAAATAGACCCATCCAATCACGGTATTAACATGAATTTGCTAACTAGTTAGATATCTAATGACCACCACTCTCCCCTTTTAAGACCCCATTGAAACAATAGGAAAGTACCCCTCCACGTGCAGTCGTATACGTTCATTTTGACGATTGTCTTATTTACGGTACCAGAACTAATGTTGAATGGGACAGGAATACCAGTCAAAGCCGTATGCTATCAGATTAGCTAATGCTATATGAACCGCATATTCGTTGTAGGAATTAGCCCATGTTGCTTTAGCAAGTTAGCAAAGAAGCTAGCGGGGCTGGCTAGGCTTCAACTGTGGGGCCGAATTAAAGAGACGCGATTTCCACCAATCAGGGACTGTTTTAGTTGGGGGGAGGCAGGGTTTTCTAGCCTGCAAGCTAGCTGGTCCCCCTCGTAGTGAGGTACGCTAACAAGTAAACATACCACGGTGACCCTAAGTAAGTTGTGTTCTCTCAACTATTCAGAAGAATAGATTGCACATTAACAATAAGAACTTAGTAGGAATCATTTCATTGTGCCACTGACGTTGCAGTGGCGAGCGGCACTGTTTTGAGAAGCTGTGCCGGCTTTTTACAACCATATACAACAATCGGCTATTATAAAAAATAATATCTATTTTTTCAAAACGTTTTTGCACCATCTAATAGTAAACGTTGTTACGTTAAGTATGTGGTCATTTTAGATGAATATCATCACTCCGCTCAGGTCTGCCAGGCTAAACTCTGTGATGTTATTGAGCAGTTAAAGTCGGTAGGTTTAAATGATCTGCAAGGTGTTGGACCCTCTGAAAAATGTTATTCTGAAATAGGCAATGCTTTAATATTATGGTTACTTAGTATTGTAGTACTAACCCTAACGTACATCTCATACATTTTCTACTATTACATTTAGCTATTAATGGCAAAGGCAAAATAACAACACACCCAGTTAGATTCTGTGGTCAAAAACGGATAATGCAATAACGGATTGAAGATATATTTACTCCGCACATTGTAACATTCATTTACAATCTCCTCATTCACAATTTGCAGGAGCGGCCATTGAGTTTTGGGATGGCGTCGGGTGTGATTTCCCAAAACAATGGTTCCAAGGGGATCATGACTTTTTACCCCACCCCAGAGGAATTCAAGAACTTCAGCCGCTACATTGCATATGTGGAGTCCCAAGGAGCACACAAAGCAGGCCTGGCAAAAGTAGGAACTCACACAGAACATTTCAAATAGGACGTTTTTATTATCTTTTTCTTTTTGTTGACAGTAATGCACTTTCCACTTTCCGTCTTAAAGATCGTTCCACCAAAGGAATGGAAACCCAGAAGCTCTTATGATGACATAGACGATTTGGTGATCCCCGCACCCATTCAGCAGGTCGTGACGGGCCAGTCGGGCCTTTTCACACAATACAACATTCAGAAGAAGTCCATGACCGTGAGAGAGTTTCGCAAGATTGCCAACAGTGACAAGTGAGCATTTCAGAACTTTCCTTTGAGTTTTTCATGGTAGAAGTCGTTTAATTGTTTGATATTAATTAACCATTTCATTTTCATAGGTTCTGTAGTCCACATTATGATGACTTTGAAGAGCTGGAAAGAAAGTATTGGAAGAACGTGACATTTAACCCTCCCATATACGGGGCCGATGTGAATGGATCTCTATATGACCCTGTGAGTTGACGTTTTTTGGAGGTCGTTGCTGCAGTTAATATTCTCAATCGCTGTGTCTGTGAACTGATACATTACTGAACGTTGTGATGGTTCATAACCACCAAATCTCATGTTCTGATTTTGTGTTTTCTCATCCACTTCTGCAGGATGTCAAAGACTGGAACATTTGCCACCTGGACACTATCTTGGATACTGTGGAACATGAAAGCGGGATCACTATTGAGGGGGTTAATACACCCTACTTGTATTTTGGCATGTGGAAGACCACCTTTGCATGGCACACTGAGGACATGGACCTCTACAGTATCAACTACTTACACTTTGGAGAGCCCAAATCGTGGTAAGGACACAAAACGTTCCTATGAAATTGTTATGATAATCTTATTATTAGCAGGGTGTTCTATCACAGAGCCCATCCATTATCTCCATTTGCCGATCCCAGCTGACAGAAAGCAAAGGCCGGTTACGCTCATCTGGACAGGTGGCAGACTCTTGTTGCCACATACTGGCAGGCAGCCAGTCGTACCTACATCTATCAGTACATTGATGCAGAGGGAGAAAGTGTGGTGGGATGTTTGGTGATTTGGGCCGATGATGAGGATTTCGGATTTGTAGCTATGGAGCTCGGGAAATTCTCATAATTAGGAGGTTGAGGGAGTCGCCATCTGAGGAGAAGAGCCCGTCTTTGAATCACGATTGAAGAGATTCATACAGTTGATTAGAGTACAGGTGAGTTGGAGTTGGAGGGCAAAAGTTCATTCCAGTATTTTGGACAGAAAAAGGAGGTTGATGATGAGGTTGGATTTGTTGGTGATGTTCCGAGTCATGTGACATAACACGCTGCCCATATTCCCAATCAACAACATTATCAGCTACTGGCGTTGACTCTGTTTCACAAGATGCTCTGGCAACAATGTCACGCAAATCGTGTTACTGCTCTGACCCCTTTTCTTCAGTGACTCATCAATTTCAGCTTTGGTCACAGAGTCTCACTCTGTAAAATGGTTGAGCTGAAGGCTGCATCTCTGGTCCAAAGTGCACCCCGAGCAAAATCTCTGATTCTCAACCACTGGGAAGAAGATGATGAATGGGAAGCAAAACACTTCCTCACGTTAGCTTTAAAGCGAACGGCTGCCAACAACAGAACTCTGCCTGTATTTAGCCCGGTCACCTAATAATTACAGAGCATCGCAATGTTGTGATTTTAGTTTTGAACCAGGATGCAGCTAACAATTGGTTCATTCAATCGACCCGTGACTGCTAGGTGGTCGGTGGCGAGGTGATGCCAGAGGAACAGACCAGGTCCTGGATGTGACCCTGGTTATGGGCGGGGATGTAAATGCTGTGATTTATATATATTAGCTGACACCATACTTAATTGTGTATAAATAAATCCATAATGTAAGTTTATTGTGACTAATCAGACTCATTTGAATGTGCGTAGGTACTGTGTTCCTCCAGAGCATGGGAAACGATTGGAGCGCTTGGCTAAAGGTAAGTGACCAAAACAATATAATCCGCCGGTGTGTACTAAGGCTGTTTCCTATGGTGGACTCTAACATCCGTCTGCTCTCCCTCTAGGGTTCTTTCCTGGTAGTTCCCAGAATTGTGAGGCTTTTTTAAGGCACAAGATGACTCTCATCTCTCCCTCTATACTTAAGAAGTATGGCATTCCGTTTGAAAAGGTACAAGGTCGTTTACTTGTTTCAGATTATTTTCTTCATCCACCTGAACGTGTAAACTGCTGTGACTAACAAAAGTGTTTTACCTCTTCTGAAGATTACTCAGGAGGCCGGGGAGTTCATGGTAACCTTCCCCTATGCCTATCACGCTGGGTTCAACCACGGTTTCAACTGCGCAGAATCCACCAACTTCGCCACCGAGCGATGGATCGAGTACGGGAAGCAAGCTGTTTTGGTGAGGATTGCCAAGTGACGGCAAACAAAACTCCAAAATAATTTGAATCAGATGTAAACTGGCTCGCAGGACTGTAAACGTGTACGCAGTATTATCGACTCTGCGTCTATAGGTAACGTGCCCGTCTTCTTCTTGCTCCTCTTCCCTCTAGTGCTCATGTCGCAGAGACATGGTTAAAATTTCTATGGATGTATT